CAAGAACACTTGGATAACTCTGAACGTTCAATCACAGATAAACAAGAACACTTGTATACTTTGAACGTTCAATCACAGACGAACAATAACACGTGTCTTACTCTAAACGTTCAATCACAGATAAACAATAACACGTGTCTTACTCTGAACGTTCAATCACAGACGTACGAGAACACGTGTCTTACTCAGAACGTTCAATCACAAACAAGAACACTTGTATAACTCTGAACGTTCAATCACAGACAAACAAGAACACTTGTATACTTTGAACGTTCAATCACAGACGAACAAGAACACTTGTATTACTCTGAACGTTCAAATACAGATAAACAAGAACACTTGTATACTTTGAACGTTCAATCACAGACGAACAATAACACGTGTCATACTCTAAACGTTCAATCACAGATAAACAATAACACGTGTCTTACTCTGAACGTTCAATCACAGACGTACAAGAACACGTGTCTTACTCTGAACGTTCAATCACAAACAAGAACACTTGTATAACTCTGAACGTTCAATCACAGACAAACAAGAACACTTGCATACTTTGAACGTTCAATCACAGACGAACAAGAACACTTGTATTACTCTGAACGTTCAATTACAGACAAAGAAGAACACTTGTATACTTTGAACGTTCAATCACAGACGAACAAGAACACTTGTATTACTCTGAACGTTCAATTACAGACAAACAAGAACACTTGTATACTTTGAACGTTCAATCACAGACGAACAAGAACACTTGTATTACTCTGAACGTTCAATTACAGACAAAGAAGAACACTTGCATACTTTGAACGTTCAATCACAGACGAACAAGAACACTTGTATAACTTTGAACGTTCAATCACAGACAAACAAGAGCACTTGTATACTTTTAACGTTCAATCACAGACGAACAATACTTGCAGTACTCTGAACGTTCAATCACAGACGAACAAGAACACCCAAATGCCCCCTTGTCATCTCTTGACGTGTGTGCTGTATATACTGGTGTCCCCTTGTCATTTCTTGATGTGTGTGCTGCATATACTGGCGTCCCCTTGTCATCTCTTGACGTGTGTGCTGCATATACTGGTGTCCCCTTGTCATCTCTTGACTTGTGTGCTGCATATACTGGTGTCCCCTTGTCATCTCTTGACGTGTGTGCTGCATATACTGGTGTCCCCTTGTCATCTCTTGATGTGTGTGCTGCATATACTGGTGTCCCCTTGTCATCTCTTGACGTGTTTGCTGCATATACTGGTGTCCCCTTGTCATCTCTTGACTTGTGTGCTGTATATACTGGTGTCCCCTTGTCATCTCTTGACTTGTGTGCTGAATATACTGGTATCCCTTTGTCATCTCTTGACGTGTGTGCTGCATATACTGGTGTCCCTTCGTCATCTCTTGATGTGTGTGCTGCATATACTGGTGTCCCCTTGTCATCTCTTGACGTGTTTGCTGCATATACTGGTGTCCCCTTGTCATCTCTTGATGTGTGTGCTGCATATACTTGTGTCCCCTTGTCATCTCTTGACTTGTGTGCTGTATATACTGGTGTCCCCTTGTCATCTCTTGACTTGTGTGCTGCATATACTGGTGTCCCCTTGTCATCTCTTGACGTGTGTGCTGTATATACTGGTGTCCCCTTGTCATCTCTTGACTTGTGTGCTGAATATACTGGTATCCCTTTGTCATCTCTTGACGTGTGTGCTGCATATACTGGTGTCCCTTCGTCATCTCTTGATGTGTGTGCTGCATATACTGGTGTCCCCTTGTCATCTCTTGACGTGTGTGCTGCATATACTGGTGTCCCCTTGTCATCTCTTGATGTGTGTGCTGCATATACTTGTGTCCCCTTGTCATCTCTTGATGTGTGTGCTGCATATACTGGTGTCCCCTTGTCATCTCTTGACTTGTGTGCTGTATATACTGGTGTCCCCTGGTCATCTCTTGACGTGTGTGCTGCATATACTGGTGTCCCTTTGTCATCTCTTGACGTGTGTCCTGCATATACTGGTGTCCCCTTGTCATCTCTTGACTTGTGTGCTGCTTATACTGGTGTCCCCTTGTCATCTCTTGACTTGTGTGCTGCATATACTGGTGTCCACTTGTCATCTCTTGACTTGTGTGTTGCATATACTGGTGTCCCTTCGTCATATCTTGACGTGTGTGATGTATATACTGGTGTCCCTTTGTCATCTCTTGATGTGTGTGCTGCATATACTGGTGTCCCTTTGTCATCTCTTGCCTTGTGTGCTGCATATACTGGTGTCCCTTTGTCATCTCTTGACTTGTGTGCTGCATATACTGGTGTCCCCATGTCATCTCTTGACTTGTGTGCTGCATATACTGGTGTCCACTTGTCATCTCTTGATAGTCACGATATGGCTGAAATACTGCCGATGTGACTTTAAATATTAACTCACTCACTCATCTCTTGATGTGTGTGCTGCATATACTGGTGTCCCCTTGTGATCTCTTGACTTGTGTGCTGCATATCACGCTGGTGTCCTTTCTGATGTTGACATGTGTGATGCACATTGTGATAGTCTTCCCTGGTCATCTCCAGACAAACCAGCTGTTTTCAGCATGTGCATGATGTGCAATGATCATCCCCATCAGGTTACATTGACCCACAACCATGTTACACCTAGTAACCACCCATTTTGCAGCTTAGTGAGCTCTATGACAAGCGGGGGCACGGGTGGCCCAGTCGTCTAAGGCGCCGCGATTCGCTGTGCAGAGTTGCGTCCCTTGGGCACACCAAAAGCCTATGATTGTGGGTTCGAATCCCAGTTCGCCCCGATTATGTTTCTAGGTGTGTCAGCACCATACACATGCTCGTGGGTTTCACCGAAGTGGTGAACGTCTTAGACCTGCATCACTTCGGGCTTTCCTCCCACATTAAGCTGACACGCCGTGATATAACTGGAATAATGTTAAAAGCGGCGTGAAACCCGACTCAGTCACTCACTCTATGACAAGCAAGACAGAGGCAGCCGATTCTGACCTGTTGTATCTCTGTAGGTAGCTATCATGCCATCAGAGCTGGATCAAACAGTACATTCACAACATCTGGCACTTAATACTTTTCTCATGAATGCATTTACACAAGTGGTGGTGTGAATAGCATCGGTATCAACTTCAATGAAGATTATTTGTTCCTCATATTCTTTAGTATCTGTTGGGATGCTCTGTCCAAACCATGTCATCGTATCCCAATTGTGTGGATCGATGCTCATGCTGTCAATCACTGGATTGTCTGGTCTAGACTTGATTATTTACAGACCGCCATCATATAGCTGGAATAATGCTGAGTGCGGTGTTAAACAACAAACTAACAAACTCTGTCCAAACCTTGTACTAGTTTAGTGAAGTGTTGTGTTTAAGCCACTTGCAGGATCATGGGTTCAAATACCTGATTTGTTCTGATTATGATTTGGTTTGTTTGTTGTTTAACGCAACACTGAGCAATATGACAGAGGTATGTAAATAATTGAGTCTGACCCACACAATCCAATGATTGGCATCATGAGCATCGATCTTCTCAACTGGGATATGATGACATGCATCAACAAAGCCAGCAAGCATTACCACCCAATCCCACTAGTCGCCTCTTATGACAAGCATGGGTTGCTGAAGACCAATTCTAAACCAGATCTTCATGGGTATTCTGATTATGAATCATTGTCAGCACAATACCTGTTTGTTGGTTTCAACAAAGTATATAGTAAATGTCTTACAACCTGCATCACTTTGGGCTTTCCTCCAACATTCAGTTCAAATGCCACGATATAACTGAAATACTGTTCAAAACAGTTTTAAAACAAGCTTACTCACTCACTATTAATGTGTTTGAAGGCAAGATAAGGTGAGATGGGCCTGAAAATAATAAAGTCTAGACCAGACAATCCTGTGACTGACATTGTAACTTAGCAACGACCGAGGGCATCAGGGTGACATGTAATCAACCAAGTCATACCATATGACCGCCCAATCCATATACTCACCCATCCTTATGAGTGAGTGAGTGAGTATGGTTTTACGCCGCTTTTAGCAATATTCCAGCAATATCAAGCCGGGGGACACCAGAAATGGGCTTCACACATTGTACCCATGTCGGAAATCGATCCTGGGTCTTCGGCGTGACGAGCGAACGCTTTAACCTCTAGGCTACCCAACCACCCCCCCATCCTTATCACAAGCATAGGTTATAGGATAGTCAGCCAAAGGGGTGTTGCTTGTACTTGTCCAGACCAATGCCAGTTTAGTAGTGCTAGCCAATGGAGATACCATGCCATAGTTTAACATCTCTCGATACCCCACTCAGACACAGAATACTGACTCTAGGCCAACCAGTCTTTGTTTTATCCCCTAAATGCCGAGCACCAAGCAGGTTAACATCAAGTACCATCTTTTAACATTCAGTAAACTATATTTATAACGAACATGCCTATAGTGAACCGATGTATATAACAAACTTATGTTTAGGTCCTGACAATTTGCTGTACATATGGTTAAAACAAACTACGGCTATAACTAACTAATATTAGTGGTCCCTTTGACTTCGTTAAAAAACGTAGTTTACTGTATTTTGGTATGACACAGCCAGATATCGAACCACCAAAACTCTGCTGGCATGGCAGACACTCTATCCACTACACCACTGTGGCGGTCCAACCTCATGGTAGGTAGGATAGTATGACAGATAACAAAAAAGGCAAAGCAAAGTCACTCATCCAAAGCCCGAGTCGAACAGTAGTTCTTCCAGTCTGTTAAGGTCAGCTTATCATGCTTATCCCAAACCTAAAATTTACTGAAAATAATGCCAAAATACATGTAAGGGCTTGTGGACATATGGTTTTTGGCATAGACTGCAATGGTATTCTAACATCTTAAAATCTGAGCAAAATCAGTAGACACTTGCCCTTGGACTCCTAAGCTTTTCAGACTGTTATCCCTCGTATAAAGCAAACAGTTATAAACAGTTCAAATGACCATGAAACAAAACTTTTCAAACTATTTATTGCAGTCAACAACCAATATAGCACATTATCATACATCATACATGTTATAGCCGTATGTAGTGATATCACAGACATCTTTAAACTGAACTCTTCCTCTTCTCAACAAGATTCTTGATGAAGAACTCCCCTGCTTTATAGGAGGACCTGACAAGAGGTCCACTTGCTGTGTACACAAACCCCAGTTTGTTGCCAACTTCCTCCCAGTATTTGAACTTGTCAGGATGCACATACTCCTTTACTTTCAAATGACGCTTTGTGGGCTGCATATACTGTCCAAGGGTCAAACAATCGACTCCAATGTTCCTCAGATCTTTGAGAACTGCATAAATCTGTTCATCAGTCTCCCCTAATCCAAGCATAAGGGATGTCTTAGTGACGACATCCGGTCTGTATTTCTTAGCATGTTCCAACACAGCAAGAGATTGTTTGTAGTTCGCTCTGGGATCACGTACGAACCTTTGCAACTCAGACACAGTTTCAACATTGTGGGCAAAAACGTCAAGACCAGAGTCTAACACAACTTCTACCGCTTTAAGATCACCACGGAAATCTGGAGTAAGGCATTCAACCAATATAGATGGATTCTGAGTCTTAATCTGCTCCACCGTTTCAGCAAAATGTTTAGAGCCCCCATCTGCAAGATCATCCCTGTCAACCGAGGTTAAAACGACATAGTCAAGGCCCCATGATACAATAGCCTTAGCTGTGTTCACTGGTTCGTTTGGGTCTGGTGGTGGGGGAGCTCTTGAAGTCTTCACCGAGCAGAAACGACATCCGCGGGTGCATTCATCTCCTAGGACCATTATTGTGGCTGTAGCAGTGCCGTGTTCTCCTCCTCCCCAGCATTCTCCGATGTTCGGACATTTAGCTTCTTCACAGACTGTGTGTAAATTCAGTTCACGTAAATTCTCCTTCAAACGACCATAGTTTTTCCCCACTGGTATTTCAGTTTTCAACCATTTAGGCAAACGTAATCTCTCACCTTGAACCTTCTTGATACCTCCCTCGCCATCGTATGTGAGTGGTAGGTCATCTGATATAAAGTCGGCGAGGTCGGGACCTTCTGCAAGTTTCTCCTTCTGTGTTTCGCTGAGTGTTGCCCGATTTGAGTAACATCGTCCGTGAGATGTTAGAATGGTGTCATTTGGAACGGAGTTTGAGCGAGGTCTGTTTGTAATTATATAAGCACAAGCACTTCTCGAGTGGTTGATGACAGCTGTTTTCTGCAAAATGCGACTAGTACACGCTTTCGTAAGACTTGCCGCCATTGTTGACATTGTCTTAATGATATATTACCTCGAGCGATGTAAGCACTGGGTCATGCAATATGCGGCGACATTTCGGTCAATTCCCATACGGATTGACTTCTTTTGAAGATTAACGGGTTACAAAATCGAGTAAATGCAATTGGAGTCTACAACGATAAAACCGGTCGTGTTGCTAATACACGCAGTATGGGATGCGCAAAGAAGGTGCACAGTCAATAGAAACGGCCCTCGCTGACGTGAACTCAACTGAAAGATATTACATTGGATAAACATCTATAATGTATACTCTGTACACATCCTGTTCACATTGGATATTCATTTATTATTAATAAAAACGTCTACCATGTATACCCTCTACACATCCTGCTCACATTGAATAATCATTTATTTTTATTTTTTGTTGTGGTCGTTTTGACTTTTGTTGTGGCCGTTTTGACTTTTTTTGTGGCCGTTTTGACGACAACCCATTAGAGTGACGATGAAGTCATTCGTCACCACTCACATGTTTCCGTAATTAACCAACAACATGTCCCGGAATGGTCACGAATGGGGATAAAATATTTCAAGATCTGACGTTTCAAAATCGAAGAAAGAAATACCATTTAACAGTTTTTTGAGGTTACTGTCGTGAATAGAAATCTGGCAATTTTTAAATTATTGAGTATGCAAAGCAATAATAACAAACGGTTGCAAAATCCAAAATCAGTTTTAACTTAACAGAAGATACGGTACTTGCCGGGGCACCTGTGAGCTTATCTAGACCCTAGGTGAATTCGTAACCAGACTTATTCGTAGCAATGGAGAATTCGTAGATGTCCCCAACACGTAGACAAAAATCATGGCAGACAAAAAAACAAACAAATATACTTAAATATTGATTTATTACTAATACATATTGAATTATCATGTGGCAAATGTGTTTCAAATCTTACATTTTAAATGGCAGTAAATCTTATTGTTAATCTCTTGCTTGGATATAGTTGCCGGATCATCTACTTATGATAGTATTTACAAAGGATCCTGCAAATTCCATCATAATAAAACATAAGTACTGTAATCCCCTACTTCACCGACTAATCCTCTTGTCCTCCTCCGCTTGGGTTACTTAGCGGATTATTAAAATAGTATTTACAAATGATCCTGCAAACGAAATTCTAATACTTACCGTATTTTCTTTTTATTTAACACTTTATTCACTAAAGAACCTGAAAAAAAACACTCAGAAATATAAACAAAACTTGCAACCAATGAAAATGTGTTTTTCATTTAGGAGTGACGCAACCAATCATATGCCTTCTTGTACAAAAAAACACTTTCCTGGGGTAAATCGAAGACACGTCAATATTCCGCTAAGTATTAATAATATTCAAAAAAAATTTGAATGAAAATGTATCTACGAATTCCTTTCATGTTTGTCTAAGACTCCGCGGCAAATTGTGTCAAAGAGTTGGCGGTGTCCCCGAAGTCACCGCGTCCCATCCAGACCCATGTATTAATTACTATACTCGCTAGAGCTACAGTGGAAGAAGGCTTTGAATATGTGTAATGTCAACGTTATATACTTTTTATCACGAAGAAAATAGTTTATTATACATGATTATATTTAAAAATTAAAGAAAATATTTGATAAATTGTTCTGCATGGCTTATGTATAAGGGACAATATCTTTATCTCGATTTCGCTTTAAACTTGAATCAAAGAACAGTACATCCGGGCATCTCTTCTTTTTCATCGAACTCTAAATGATAACCGGCCTGTACAAGAAACCTGCACATGAAACTCAAGTAATGCAAAAACAATCATATTACAACGGTTGTATTGGAGATATACAGTGAGTTAGAACCGGCTGCTACTCGATACAAGATGGACCTGAACTTTCTGTTCAGACACCACCCCTAATCGATGTAATTTTGGGTACGTAATATATGACCCAGGTTTTATGATACGATACATGTATTTGTGGTGTGTGTGTGTGTGTGTGTGTGTGTGCGTGTGCGTGTCTTCATGATAACTCGCTAATAAGAGATTACTGTAAATACAGAACACCCTACATAATCTGAATGTCCAAACAATGATAATATATCTGAAATAGTATTGTTTTCAACTCACGAAATTGTTATATAATCCGTTGCTATCTATTTGAAACAAGTGTTCAGTTTAAGACCTTTTGGACCAAAATGCTGAACAAGTCTGTTTGTCTGTCTGACAATTGTAAATTAGCTCACGTATATCTGTTTAATTTAGAGTTTGACACATATACATGTATACGAAATATATGACGATTTAAAAAGAAATAATTAGATTATCAAATAATCTACTATACATAATAAATAACTGAAATATAGAGTGATGTTGTTAAATACATAATCTTCAAATTCTATCATAATCGCTGTGATTTGGGGGATCTAGGCTGTCTTCGCCGTTTTCGCCTGTGAAACCTTTAGGCGTTTTGGGACATATTACATCCTGTATATCTATCTAACTTGGACACGACTGTATTTGTTTCTGTTTAACAGCTCCAATGATCAGTGTGTTTTTTTCTTGGGCTGTTACTGTACCTCTGGATGTTTCACCAACTGAAATAACACTATTAAGGCTGTAATAAAGATTGTTTCAGCAAACGAATGAAGTATAACCAACAGATTATGAATATTCATAAGCAGCTCAGAGCGCGGGAGTAACTTCCCTTGACAAATATATGAATATTAATTAGCGCAGCGCCATCTATTTTGCAGTTGTCATTGTTTGCAGATATTAGGCTTCAAACTTTACAATAACTTTGGCTGCGATGTACATGCAAAGAAATTAAGACATGCATGTATCTGTGAACATCCATTTATAGTTATTTTTTCTTGTGCAATTTTTAAATATTTACTACATGAAGTTGCATTTACGATTCTCCCTCCAGATAATCCAAGGGGGACAACTCTAAAGCTCCTCAAGCCCCGACAGATGCCGTTTCTTGTGTCAAATGTATCAAATTTGTAAATATTTAGCTCTTATCATTGATGTACAGTCTCTAACACGGAGACGTGAAGGACAAGTAAGTATCTAGGTGACAGCAAACGACCAAATTACTCTGTAGAGGCCTTTTTCGTTGTGAGATGTGGACACGCACCGCGAACAAATGCGTGGCCATTTGCATGAAACTTTAGCCGCCAGACTTTTTCAACAAAATTGTTCAGCGGTCTTTAAAACAAACGCGGTTCTGAGTTTACTATCCTATTATCTTAGAAATAAGTTGCTTATTTGGAATAATAACCAAATTCTGCTGCAAGGGTTAAAACGAGAGAGCTATTTTCGACAGCTGCTTAGTGTGAAAACGAAGAATTTTTGCAGGTGCCTCTTGTTTGTTGAGGGGAAGAAAGAGCTAAGCTATAAAGCAGGACTTGTGAACATATCCACTTGCTAGTGCTGTGTTTTTACTGCATCGTTGCAAATCTGAGACATATATGAGTTCATCTATGAAACATGAATGAATAAGTTTGCATATAAAATATTAATCATTCTGTTCTTGATCGTGTTTAATTTTGATAAGAGATATTCCATTGTTCCTGCTACTCAGAAAGTAAGATTTGGACAAAATCAATGTCTATCATAATCAGATATAGATCTATAGGCAACAAGTGAACTGAAACTATAACTATCTGGTGAGGGTCTTATGAATTTAATCTATATCAATTTTAACAACAAAGAAGTCACTTGTTATGAAATTCTCTTTGCATGTTTAGCATTCATAATTAAATTTACAATAAGATTTCAAAAGGCAATTATCATTGTAGATTTATGTTGTATCTGCCCACATGTTGTTAAACAGCTCAAAGTATATCTCACATGTTATCAGACTTAGTATTGATTTGTTCAAGATGTTTATCAAACTTGTACTGTGGAGGTAAGTTCCTGTCATGTGAGGGTGCACAAGTGGTCCAGTCATCTAAGGCACCACATTTTCTATGCAGAACGGGTCACTTAGACTTGGGTGTGCCAGAAACCTATGATTGTGGGTTTTAATGTAGTGGAGCCTGATTAGGCCAGGCTTTTTTTCATTTTTAGGATTACAGATTTTTCAGCCCATAGTCCTGGGTTGGAGGAGGAAAAAAAAGAGCCAGATGCATTTTTTTTAATGCAGAATGTCTCAGGCATACTTTATGAACATATTCTGTGCTCAAAAGACATCCATTTGTGACGATAAAGCCCCTTGTAACAATAAAGATTCTACCACTTACAACACGGACAATTGTCAAGGGAGGCTATTTATGTTCGGCTTCGAGATCAGTTATGTATCTCTTTACTAGTTTACAACGGTAAATTCATATGTTTTTCACTAAAAGGTGATGATAACAAATAAAATAACTGACTACATGGCTATCGGCAGGGGGGAAAAAATGGAAAACTGTTTTATTTATTTTGTACCTTTTCTCAAAAATTAGAGTTGGCGGGTCTGTAATCCGAAAAATATAAAACACCTGGCCTTATGTGACTAGGTTTGTCAGCACCATATTCATGCTCATGGTTTTCCACAAAGATGTAAACATAAAAAAACCTGCATCACTTCGGGCTTTCCAACACTGTAAACTGAAATACTATCGAAAGCAGCTTTAAACTCAACTCGCTTACTCCTGTCATGTAAAAGCCAGATTGAACTCTTATATTTGTTCCATACAGTTTCACCACTTTGGGATTGACATATTTACATTGCTCTATTTTGGTCTGCTATGTCATCTCTTCTCCACCCCTCTCTCTCCTGTACCCAGTACCTGACAAAATACATGTCCGCTTGAATAATCTGAACACTCATAATCAAAGTCAAATTCTAGCAAGTAAGGTGAAATTAAGCAAAAACAGTAATTTGAACATTGAACATTGGTTATGAAAACAGGCCTCCCCATTAAGACCCTAACCGGTATTCCCTGCCGGGATATTGCCATTGCTAAAACAACTGTGGGCATTCCAGGTGAGAATAGGTCCCCAGCAACCTATAGTTGTTGTAAGAGGTGTCCAAATGGTTAGGTTTAGCCGTCACACAGCTGGAACATTACTGATTTGGAAACAACAAACTATCAAAACAGTTGCTAGAATACTGACTCTGCCATGTTGACTGTATTGGAGCCTAATAGTTAAAGCGGTCGCTCGTCACACCAAAGACCCGGGTTCGATTCCCGACATGGGTACAATGTGTGAAGCCCATTTCTGGTGTCCCCCGCCGTGATATTGCTGGAATATTGCTAAAAGCGGCGTAAAACCATACTCACTCACTCACTGTATTGGACTTGTAGTGTGAAAACTACAATGAAAAGTGTTCGGAATTGGCAGTAAGGAAGTCCAGTGATGATCTTGCATCATGTATTGGTAATTAAGTGATAGAAACTAAGATTTTTAGTCCACTAGTCTCAATAATGATAACATGTTGCAAAACCCTTATAAATGGCAGATTTCTACTAGTCCTGATACCTTAGCTATTGGGCATTTAGGCAAGGACTATAGGACCAATCTCTATAGTTGTAATTCCTTTTGGATTTGTTGATACTGCTAGAGAGACAATCAACTCTAGATGAATATTTTACAATTTGGTTACACTGTTTTCAGAAGTAAGAACGTTGTGACACTTTTTATACACTGTATATGTTTTTTAAGCCACTACCTCATGACAGTGCGGCACTGAGCGGTATACAAAGCCAGCAGACTGCTAGGCACCATGAGTCTCCAGCAGTAGAAACTAACTGTTTTACTCCACTAGTCCTTATAATGACGACATATAGCAAAACCTATATAAATGGCAAATTTCTTCTAGTCCTTATGCTACCTTAATGGGCGGTCAGGTAGCCTATTGGTTAAAGCGTTAGCTCGTCATGCCGAAGACCTTTTTTAGATTCCAGACATGGGTACAATGTGTTAAGCCCATTTCTGGTGTCCCCCGCCGTGATATTGCTTAAAGCGGCGTAAAACCATACTCACTCACTCACTCACTCACTCACTCACTCACTCACTCACTCACTCACTCACTCACTCGCCTCCATGGTCTAGTTGATAGAATGCTAGAAATTCAATACCCAAATGCATCATAACAAAAGACGTTAAAATATGGTACTTGTTGTTTCCCTGCCAGGCGCTCGGCATTGAGGGGGTAAAACGACTTGTCGGCTCACAGTCTGCGTACTGTGCATGAGTGGAGTATCCATCTTTAACTGTGGTATGGTGTCTCAGTGGGCTTGCACTATAAAAGCAGCTAGTACAAGCAGCCACACACACATGCATGCACATTGCTATATAAGTGTAATAATCATCCACACAACTTTCAACCCCATTTCACCTCACCATAATATCCTATGAGCTACTGCCCTGACTTTTTGGCAGCTCTTTTTATACTCTACTACAGTATGAATATTTGATTCTGACACAATCACAAATGTTTGTGTACATGTTGCAATGTTTGATGTTCCCTATAACAGATAACTGTTAAGCACAAGATATGATACATATGAAGTGTTAGCAATATGTTTGGAACCAAGTTTTTTCTTTCTATTGTTTTAATTCTTCCCAGAATAATTCCTGCATACAGATAATTTACACCACTGTCCTATGGCCATATGTTATTTGTCCCAACTGACTTGTGAAGATCTGGGGTAGAATAGGTCTTCACCAACCAATGCTTGCCGTAAAAGGCGACTGCTTGTCCTAAGAGGCAACTAACGGGATCGGATGATCAGGCTCGCTGACTTGGTTGATGCATGTCATCGTATCCCAATTACATGGATTGATGCTCACGATGTCGATCACTTGATTGTCTGGTCCAGACTGCATTATTTACTGACCGCCATCATATAGCTGGAATATTGCTGAGTGCGGCATTAAACAACAAACAATGTACACGTAACTACCACATCATGGTGTTCACAAGGTACCTATATATGCTGAGTGTAGCATTAAACAACAAACAAAAATTTGTCCTAACCTGACTACATTGTGTCATTGCAGGATGGCCAACAAGAACAAAGAGGAGAAGTTTTCCAATCACCCATGTCACAGACTCAGTGTGCCGGCAGCAAAACGCTTCTGGTGCCGTCATTGCTTCGAGATGTTTGACGACGCCATTTCAAGATGGAGGCATAGCAAATCCTGTAAGAACACCAGCCTCAGCAACATGACCAGACGTCGAGAACAGGAGGCGTCGGCGCTGGAGGCGTACTGTGAGTCCACCACTGGGAAGAAGATGGACAGTGACGGCAGAAACGTTGTCTTGCCGAACCTCAACCCCAAGACCACCAACAAGGCGTATGCAGGACCCAAGGAGAACAGTTGGGTCGATCTTAGCTGCTTCATATGCAAGAAGCAGTTCACCACCATGGAGAAAATGAAGGATCATGTTCGAGTCCCATGTAACAAAGTTATTCCAGTCACCAGCGATGATGTGTTCCCCTTTGCTACACGTTCCACACCGAAACCATCCACCCCAGATCCTGATATTATCTTCCACGGAAACAACAGTCGACAAGGAGCAGCACCAGCGGAAACAGTGTATGAGTTGGAAGACGATTCTTCCGTAGCCAATAAAAGGACGCCATCACCCCTTGACCCATCCAACCTTTCCAGTGAGACCATGGCAGCAGTTGAAGCACTCAACATGATGGCCCGATCAGACAAAGTCAATCTTACTCAGTTCCTCAATCAGTTGTCTGAGGGAGGGTTTGTCATAGAGCAGGCAGCAGGGACGTCATCCAGCAGCGACTCGCAGGACCGCGAGATCGTCTTTACCGTCCAGGGTGACGTAGGCGAGGGGAACCTCCTGCAGCAGGGAGGAGATATTACAGTAGAAGTAGCAGAGGATCTGATACGGATGGCACAGCGGGTGAGGGTAGAGGCAGTGGAGAGAGTTGTCGAGGAACAGGTTCAGGAGGAAGTGGTCCAGGAAGACCTGGTTCAGCAGACCGAGGTTCAGTACATTCAGGATCACACTCAGTACATCCAGGAACAGGCCCAGTACATAGAACAGGCTCAGTTTGTAGAACAGCAGAACCAATATGTCCAGGAACAAGCAGCTCCAGAACAGATGCAGTTCGTTCAGGAGGAGCCTCAGTTTGTTCAGGAACAACCTCAGTACACCCCAGAGGCAGCAGAAGGTCTTCAAGAGTCGACCTATACTATTGTCAATATGGAGACCGGGAAGCAATGCAGTGAGGCAGAGCAAGTGATAGTCAGTGAGGCCCAGCTTTCTAACGTCAAGATAGAGACCTTGACGTCCGACAGCGCTCAAATTCTGGTGGTGCCAGTAGACCAAACTGTTGTCACAAAACAGGAAAGTAATAGCAATGCAAGCATTCCTGGTAGTAAGAGAAAGCTAGATGAGGACAATTCTATGGCTGAGGGAGAAGTGCAAGTCAAACTTGAAAATGGGTCTCAGGTGAAAAAACTATGCACAGAAGTAGTGACTGAGCAAAATGTTCAGGACTGTAATCTTAACGAAGAGGCTTTCGAAGCTAAAAAAAAACTTCGATTTTACAGTGAAGGTTTGATTGTGCAGGAAAAATGCAATAAAAATTCTGAACCATCAGAAAAATGTACTTTGGAGACTGATTTAAAACTGCCATGCGATAATGTTGAAAATTTGTCGGAATTGCCGCATCAAGAAACAACAGAAGCTCCTAGTTATTTATCTGACACACACATTGATACAACTTTCTTAGATGAAATTGATGGCTTTTTCAAGCCAATGACTGAAGATATGATGAAAGTTGAGGAACCTACTGTAGATATTAGTGCATTAATGACTGTTGAAAGTACGAGCCCTGAAAGTAAGAGTCCTGCTAAAACAAGCCCTGAAAAAGAAATGACAGCCATCAAGAAGATACCATGTCGAAAGAAACCACCACCAACTTCACCCAAAAAACTGAGATCATCATCACGCAAGTTGGTCCTGACCCCAAAGAAACAAAGACTGGTTGAAGAAAAGGAAAAGGTTACCAAGAAAAAAAAAATCAATGAAAGTGACTTGAATGTTAAAACACAGCCCCAGAAGGCCAAACCCAAACCAGTTGAGTCATCCCCAAAGAAAGAACTTGTCCCAGCACCAGAAGAAAAACCTAAAAAAGTTCATCCTCCAAAGCCCCTGAAGTGTCGAGCGTGTGAAAAAGTGTTTAATTCAGTAAAGATGCTTCAAAAGCATAAGAGTGTTCCATGTGTTGTGAAAATCACTCGAAACTTGTGCCAAAAGATTTTAAGACCAAAACGTGCCTTGCCTAGACCGCCTGAGAAGAAAGTCGTCAAGAGGAAGCCTGTGAATAAGGACTCGAAGAAACCCAAACTTTTGCCTGTTGGTTTCCGAATACAGGCACAGTGGATCCCTTGTAAACGGGATAGAAAATCTTCAAAGGGCAGAGGAAGACCGAGGAAACAAAATATTCACTATGAGAGGAAGAAACGCATCATCTTACCAGACAGGACAATTGAAGTTTCATCTTTGTGTGAAAAAGAGCAATTTTTCTTTGAACTTGGTTTGGTATGCTCAGATTACATCCTGGAAGAGTTCCGCCGACCTTTACCCCAAGTGGAGATAACTACCTCTTTATCCGTCAGCGTGGAGAACGATATTTGTGACAAGTCATCCTTGAGTGACATTTCACCCCCGCTGTTGGAGAAGATGGAGCCTGTTGATGTTGGAGAGCTGGAGTCGTCACAACCACCAGACTTGACCTGTGAGGAGGATGAGGAGCTAGAGCCGCCATTGCTGGAACCAGTGCATCTTGATCAGGGGGGAGAGCAGAGAGAACCCAAGGAGGATCAGGATCCATGTGATGGATCTCCAGTTCCAGCATCAGAAGATTCAGCTGTCAAATCAGGGAGACATTTCTTAGACTCCTTCACTTCTGATCACAGCTCTGATGTTGACGAAGTTGCTTCTAAAAGTGTTCCTGATCGTCATTTCTCTGATGTTGTTCCACCTCTCGAGGACCAAGGGATGGTGCAGTCTTCCAATCAGCCAGACATGATTCAGCAGCTCAAATCAACATTAAAAACAGTCTGTTCTCCCCAGAAAGTTAGAAGTGCTACATCAAGTCCCACATTAAAAATGCCTGATGTCACATCTGATATGTCCCCCCAGTCAAAGAGGAACCTGTTTGAAACCTTACAAACTATGTGTTCTAGTTCGCCAAAGAAAGACTGCACCAGTCCCTATGCTAACTCCCCGAAGCTGAGTGTAAGTGCACTGTGTACATCAGCCGGGGCAAGCATGACTGTCAGCTCCTCCACCAAATCAAGTCTCGGTTCTCTCTCACCAAAGAAATGTCTAAGTACCAACTCTAGTCCGAAAAAGACCCCTAACATACTTGCCAGAAAAGCGTCCTCAGAATTAGGCGCCAAGGAGCGTGGTAGTAGTATATTGGACATAGTAGCTGAGAGCATGGGTTTGAATGTCTCTGGTTCTAATAGTCCAGTCAGGGATACCCCCTCCACATCAATAGTGTCCCCTGGCAGAGAGAGCCCTCGGTGTAAGTCTGCCGGGCAGAGACACATGGCTACAGAAACCTACCTCCCTGTTCAAAACTGTAAAAAGAACTTGTTTGAAAGTTGTGAATCTCTTCTTCCATCAAATACCCATGACAGGTCTAGAAGTTTGAATAGTACCTGCAAAACGAACTTGTTGCAGCCAGAGTTGACAGGTCACAAAGACACTTCACAAGTAGGTAAAAGCAAAACCTTGGATCAAATCCTGCCTACTGTGTCTCTTACACCATCAAAATCTGGACAAATAATTGTGAGTCCTATTCAGCGTGAGAGGCGCAGTGCTGTCAAGTGTTCCGCAGCCAGTGTCAAGCGCAAACTATGCGATGCTGCTACTCAGTGTGAAGGCATGACAAACTCCTCCCCTGTCAAGACAATGTTAGGTCAGCTGGAACAAAGGCTGAAGCTGCTCAAGTCGGCACTTCGGAACCAGAATGGAGTTCAACAGGACACAGAGGACAGTCTCAAGACAGTGTTGAAAGACAAGAAGGACCTTCTTCCCCAGCTTGTGTCTGTGTTACTAAAGCATGGCTCCAGTGACATCGACAAGAGCCCGATTGGACTCCCATGCAAAGAAAATGGTAAACATATGGACAACAATCTCCCCGATGTTGTGAAAAGTGTAACGGAAAGTCGTGACTTAGATGTGTCTCGGGTTAGTGCAGATTGTGGAGATGACAGCCAAACTGGAAGCTCCTCGTGTCATGAGAAATCTGTTTCGAGTGTCTCAACCAGCTGCAACACAGACAAGCAGGAATTAGATGTTGATCAAAAGAAAAACTCATCTGAAGAAGCATCTACAGACTCTAGTAAAGTGACTGTTCAATATATCAATCAACTCGAGCCTAGCATGGCCAATGGGGTAACCTACCTGTTGATTCAACAAGAAGGCATGGAAGACTACCTGAAAACTTGTTTAAGTAGTGACCTTGACCTAGAGTCAGGGGAGACAATCCATGCGGTGAGTGTTGAGGAGGAGGAAGTGCTTACGGACTCTTTATCAAACAGTCTCTTTGGCAACAGCAGTGTCTCACGGACAGTGGATCATGAAGTGTTTGTAAACTCCTCCGGGTTTTAGCAGCAGTAATACATGACATGTAATTAACTGCCAACTTTTCACACCATAGCTGACACAAGGAATTCATTTTGAAACAAAAGATTTTTTCAGTTAGGATTTAATGTTTTTTAATTATAAATGTTAGCTCTAAGCTAAATGGAATGAATTATTGTCTGATATACCTGAAATTATTAACACACAACGTAAACATGTTAAAACAGATGTCTGAAAATAATTTATTCCAATTGAAAGTAGTAATGGGGAAAGTATTTAATAAGTGTTTTTGATATTAGGAAAAGTTTGTGGTTAAAATCCGTCAAGAGGTTAAAGCACACACTTAATCAGTTAATGATTATTATCATTTAGCAGTAAAAAACAAAATTGTTAAATTATCCATAAAACAATAAATCTGGCATGGAGTCTAATTTTGAATTTTTCTTATACATTTGTTTAGCTTTCAGACTATATATAGACATTACTTGTGTAGGGATGGCTGCAGTGTGTGTTATGTAATTCCACTGTATTCCGAGTGTCAGTTATAGGGGACTTGTGTATAGCAGGTAGTGTGCTCTGTGTGACTGCTTCATGTCAGCTCTATTGTGACTGTACAAGTATGACCAGGCAGAAGGGAAGTGACAAGTGAAAGTGTGTCAAGGATGTGTCAGTTATAGATTCATCAGATCTCCATGTCCACATTGTTACTAGCATCCTAGTTGACTTAAGGATGTCATCTTGTTTTCTTTGTTCTACAAATTTATTTCCAATTTAGTATTTAATGGAAATAATACTTAAATTTACATTGTGTGGGCTGTATTAACAGCATTAGAAACTAACAGTTTTGATCCATGAGTCCTTATAATGATAACATATAGCAAAACCCTCAAAAGGGCAAATTTCTACTAGTCCTTATGATACCTTAACTATTGGGCAGTTTGGCAAGGAAAATAGGACCAGTGCCAATTTCTAAGGCTGATTTAAAAACATGTCTTATTTAGCATCTAAACGTAAGAATTAATCTTTGATAGGCATTTTTGAAGTTTGAAAAATATTAAAACATGCAACTATATCTGGATAACAACTTCTTTATTGTTTGTGACGTTTCAGAGCCTGTTCTTGAGCTTCCATCAGTAATTTCACCTGATGAAGGCCAAGATGTGGCCCTGAAACGTTACAAACAAAGAAGTAGTTATCCTTAAAAAGCTTCATGTCTTCATTCATAATAAAATATAGACCTATTCCCCCAGTTTGGTGTATAGTACAAAACAAAACGTGTAGACAAGAAATGGACCAAACATCCTTTGCCTGTGCTTGATAGCAATCACTTACATCTGTGTCTAACACATGATCAAGTATTAATATTGTCTCTTCCATCAGCATGATGTCTGTTTTTCGATCAGTATTCAGTATTTTCACCCTGGTAAAGTATTTGTGTATTTTCGGTAGAGGTTTTGCAGGTATCAGTTTCTATGTCCTAGATGGTCCATTGTGTTGTTTTAAGCCAGATTTAAATGACATGATGCTAAAAATAGCCATCCAATCAAATTACACGAAAGACACTCAGCTGGGTTAGTGATAAAAGAGAAGATGGTGATGTCAATTATGAAATGAATCTTTGGTGGTGAATGTGTCCATCATAATAGAATGGCAGTGTAATACACTGGATCATCGAGGGTGGTCCAGGGTATTTATCATAATGGAATGGGGGGGCACGGGTGGCCCAGTCGTCTAAGGCGCCGCGATTCGCTGTGCAGATTTGCGTCCCTTGGGCACGCCAAAAACCTATGATTGTGGGTTCGAATCCCGGTTCGCCCCGATTATGTTTCTAGGTTTGTCAGCACCATACCCGTGCTCGTGGGTTTCACCGAAGTGGTAAACGTCTGAGACCTGCATCACATCGGGCTTTCCTCCCACATTAAGCTGACACGACATGATATAACTGGAATACTGTTAAAAGCGGCGTTAAACTCAACTCACTCACTCATAATAGAATGGCTATGTAATACACTGGACCATCTTGGGTGGTTTTCTGACACTTGTCACTTCATCTCTCTGCTGCATGTGGAGCTGCATGTCACTAGCTGCATCAATTTGTATTGAAGGTTCAGAGGAAGGTAAAGCTGTTTGTACGGCCACTCTGTTTGTCTCAATGAAGCTCTGGGCTGAGGTGGATGGTGGACCAGTCTAAAATATACTTGGAGGTAGCAGCTTTGGATTGCAGTACACTGACCTGCTTGATATATCTTGTAATAAAAGATTTACATTTTGAGCTTATTTAGAGGGGTTATGTTTAGGGAATTGTTTAAGCATCAATTTATTCTAAAGTTTTGGAAAATTTGGTAGGGCTGGGACAATACACAAAGCCATGATGTGCATCACAAAGTCACAGAGCTATCTATAATATCAAGGTTATAATATGATATGTAAAGTCGAGTGTACTTGTAAGCAAGAATATATTTGACATATTTGACACAACATACAGCTGTAAAATACAATGCACTGAAATTTTCTGAACAAAACCAAAATACAAGTAACACTTATAAATATGTAACATCATTTCACATCAATATGTGATCTATAATACAATAATCATGTCCAAACTTGATGTACCATAAGGCAGAGACAACAACCATTACGATTGTGAGCCTAAAATTACACTATTACGCTTGTCCTTTTTTCACAATTTGTATAAAAATATGACAAAGAGCAAATTGTTAATGCCCTGACATCATAAGCATTCTACAGCAAGCCTGTTCTGACTAATGGAGTCATGCGCTCAGTTCACAGTGTTAAAACATTCATTAAGCGATGCAAGGTCTCTGAAAGTTATGTTGAACACACTCAAGTCATATTGATTGATCTTGCGGCTGGAGATGGAATTACTGATACTGTTAACATCACACCTTACAACACTGATTACTCTAAAGCTTCAATTGGGTATCTCCTAGATACATCTATGGATCATGGAACCGTCCCAGCTCTACATATTTGTATAGTCTGACATCCAGGGAGACCATCTTGTCCTCTCACCCAGAGTGATGTGCATACAGGGTGCTGTTCAATATACTGTGGTGTGAGAATAGCATGTTGATACTTAAAGTGTTTTGGATATTGTCAGTGTTCACGTGAGGTCCTTTTGGGCTTGTTGTTATGTTACATGGAGAATGAATTGTTCTTGGAGACTTAAGATGACATGGTTTCGACCATGTATTAGTGATGACTTGCATTTGTACATTGTGTCAAATTGTAAAGACGGATATTTCATTGAGTGCTCAATACTTTCAACAGCTAAAAATGTACTTAAGACGACCAGATGTTCAATCTGATTCTATAGCCACAATAACGGGCACATGTTTCTCATGGGCTCCAATCAAGAATTGTATGCCTGGTCTGACAAACATTAATTTCGTATCATTTGGGGCCATGCTGTTTTCAGCACAGGCCCTATTTGAGGAACGTCAAACAGTCAGACTAGATATTATTTATCCTCTTATTTTGCAAGGCTGTTTTCAGCTTGAGCCCTGATTGAGGATTGTCAATCTGGTCATGTAGTTGCAGTGCTTTTGTGTGTGTCAGATATATGATGTTGAGTATATTTTAGTTTAGTGATTTAGTTAAGGTATCCATGGCTTGAGACTTAACATGTATCCTGCTCCTTGTTTTAAAGATGATAGAGTTCTATTTTTCTCAGACACTGTTATCAATATGCATGTTGTTTTCAGTTATGTAAATATATTATATCAGATTTATCAAATCACATTAACATTGTAGTTTACTAACACTGCTGAAGCAGGAGCCATCAATTTTCACTTGATAGTCACTGACTTAGAGTTCTAGTGTTTCTGGTAATAGATGCTGACAGGAAAGATGCAGAAAGCAACCTTGGAAGTGATCATGCCATGATTTTAGAATATTGTTTGAAAGTTATCAGTCAGGGTGACCTCTTGTTTCTGCTGCTTTTCAAGGGATCAAATTTCATAACTCTATGTTAGAACTCAATTAGAGCATTTCAGACCTGCTTTAAATTTTGTCCCTTTTTGTTATCAAACCTGTGCAAACTCACCATGAACTAGACATAAATAGTTATGTATTTTCATGGTAACAGTGACCGCCTCCGTGGTCTAGTGGTAGAGCGTCTGCCCGGAGAGCGGAAGGTCCTGGGTTCGATCCCCGACCGCGTCATACCAAAAGACGTTTAAAGATGGTACTTGTTGTTACCCTGTCTGGCGCTCGGCATTAAGGGGCTAAAGCAAGGACTTGTCGGCTCAGAGTCAGTATACTGTGTCTGAGTGGGGTATTCATGTTAAACTGCGGCATGGAATCTCAGTGAGCTAGCACTTTAAATCAGCATCAGTCCGGACTAGTACAAGCAGCCACACAAACACACACACGTACATGCACGTCGCTATATAAGTGCAATAATCTTGGACGCGACGTTAAACCCCATTTCACCTCACCTCACCTCACCTTACCTCACCTCACCTCATGGTAACAGTAGCCGTGAATCAGAGTGTTCACAGATCGGTGACGCCAGTACACAGGGCATGGAAAGTCATTTAATGTTCACTTCAGTGACTGGCCAAGAATGCGAAAAACCTGGTTTTGTAGTTTTGTAAATAATCCGCATTTTTAAGAGGTCACCCTGACTTGTTATCATCACACAGAAATAGTCTGTCTTTATGTGTGAAATTGTAGGAAATCATGTCAATAAATTCTTTGTGAAGATAATTAAAGGTCATGACAATGATAACGATTTGAATGTCACCAAGTTTCTCGAATCACCTCAAATGTTAAAGTTTGAAAATCTGACTTGTTGTCTACATAATTGACTATTGTAAGCATCATTTCTGATCTGTTGGTTTCACTTTTCATTATATCAGTGAAATATTTTGTAGATGATATACACTGCAACTTTGTTTCTTCATTTGAAATAGTCTGGATCAACGGGTTACACAGATGGACTAGAACTGAGTATGTTTCATCGTCAGTATGTTTCATTGTCAATCAATGTCAGCTGTTTGCCCACTATTTTAAAATACAAACTGTAATTTTGATATTTTCATGCAGATAGTTCAGTACACTTAGGATTAATATAAAACCAAGGAAAAAATAAAATTAGTTTATGAACATTAATCACCCAAATGTGTTCATGTGAACATCAATCTCATTAAAATACGATCTCAGTTCTCGCTACCGCTAAGCAAAGATCCGAGGACAACCCATTAGGGGTCACGTCAGAACGACCTTTCAATTGACCAATCAGAGCGTCGCTTACCAGATCATTAAAGTGACAGTCGGAATGTGATTTCTAATCATGCAACCTCGAAATCACTGGGTATTCTGAACGATAGTTACAGGCTTAATGACTGAATCCATACAATCTAGACCATCTATTAGCCATTCTAGAATGTTTTTTTGTAAGGGTTTCAAATTTCTATTCGAGAATTTGTCAAAATATGTTTTTGAGCGTAGTCGCCAATTTGAAATTAGTGCTGTAAAGTACGGGAAAGCTGCCTTCTGATTGGCTAATGTCAACTTCTTGTCAGTCATTCCATTGGTCGGTCAAAGTTCGAGCAAGGCCGGTCTGACGTGACCTGTAATGGGGTGTTCTCAGATCTTTGTTTAGAGGTAGTGAGAACTAAGATCTGATTTTAATGAGATTGTGTGAACATCAGCAAGATCATCGCTTGACCCTGAGGCCAGTTGATATTAAGGTCAGGGTCACATGGCAGGTCTACAAGACAGGGTTCTGCATTGTAATGATGGATTTAGACCAGTCTATAGTGTAGGCCTTATGTATTAAGAAATGGATTCTATGACCAGCCACATTGATCAGTATTCAGTATTAGTCAGGTCAAAGTCAGAGGTGAGTTATTCAAGCTTCAGCTATCAGTGGTTATCAGATTGTCATTGAGGCAAATATTGATTGATTTGAATCTTAATTCAGTTTCAGACTGGTCACATTTCCGGTCAAATGTTTTGATATTACAGGGGTTAATATTTACTTGGGGATTTCTACAGCTAAGTGGAAGTCTGAAAATATGTTGAGTATTTTCTACTGCTCAAGACCATGTCAAGATAACCAAGACTGTCGTCTCGACAGTTGACACAAAGACATGACAAAAAAAACAATGTATGTTTTAAGTCAAGCATATTTTTCAAGCTGAATGATTTTTGAAAGATTGTCCTAATTCTGCTCAAGAAACTGTCAAACATAGGAGATGCAATACATTTATTAATGTTACACGATTTTTTTGTTCCATCTTTATTTGGTTCACATCTTAAATTAAATGTGCATAAAAAATATTCATAGCATTGGAACATTTTAAATAACACTTTACATTCATGGAGGTGTTGATAGTGCAATCAGTTCAAAATAGTTATGCAAATACACAAATTATTGCCCATCATGTCGATAAATGTTTTCCTTACTTTTTAAGATGCAATTTGTTCTGTCGTCATAAGCAAGAAGCCACACATATGCATATAAGTAAAGTGTCATAAACTAATTTTGGTTGTCATTGCTTTTGGCGATCCTCAAGACGCACACGTTTACTGTAACTCCTTGAAATGTGTGAATTACTGCAACACAAGATATTTATTAAATTGGGTCCCTATGGTCATTTGGTCTAAGAATATTTTTGAAAATACCCCCTTGCCCTGAGTAGAAAATTAAAGGTGTCAGAGGTTCAAGAAAATGATGGGGCATGACAGCTTCCATGGCATACAGAGGTTCTGATAGGTTCGTATTCTAGGACATTGTCTGGTTGTTGTCCTAAATGTCGAAAAACATATATTCAAAACTGGTAATGATACAGATGTCATCAGTAATTGTTAAGATCGTGTATCTTGTAGACATGACCTAATGCCATTTGTCTCCAAATCACTGAGAAGAGGGCAGAGGAAAACTGACCACAGGTCTTCACATTGCATTGTCAGTTAATTTTATCTTTCAGATAGTTGATATATGAGTTTCTCTTTATTTCGTCTGTTGCCCTACACAAGACCAATTCATCATATTCTTTTGACCTTTTTTTTTATTACTTTGGTTACAGATGCATTTTTTTCCAAAACAATACATTTGTGTTTTCTTAAAAGTAGTAAATTGGTTTCTTTTCAAAATTGTACTTTTATTCGACCATATGTACATTTGTGAAATATGCAAACCCAGTACTTAAGAAACCTGTTTTGGTAGGAAGTAGTTGTGGTCTTGGTTTTAACAACAAGGGATATGAACACATAATTGGTGAAATATTTGGGTGACATTCAGCGAATGTCAATCAGACAGGTCTCACTGTTAACTCTATATGGGTCTTGTGACACGGATTGTGGAATAGATATTTTTTTCAAGAAAAAGCATTTCTTGTCTCTAAGCCAACTTGTTCATAATTCTGACATTTTACACACATAATACAACACTGTACTACTAATTTGTGAATCATTTCAATTTGTGTATAGACTGTTTATTATGGTAGACACTGTTTGTTTATACTGAGCTTATGTTGATGTTTTGTAAAGTACAACATTCAGTTGTTATATGTTACAATCCGAAATAAATGTAAAAGATTTAGTAACAATAAAACTATGGGAAATTAAAAACTTGTAAGTCATTATTGATCTCCACAACAGTTGGTTGGTTTTGTTGTTTAACACCGCACTCAGCAATATTCCAGCTATATGACAACAGTCTGTAAATAATCAAGCCTGGACCAGACAATCCAGTGATTAATATCATGAGCATCGATCCACACAATTGGGATCGATGACATGCATCAAGTCAGCGAGCCTGACCACCCGATCCCGTTAGTCGCCTCTTACGACAAGCATAGTCGCCTTTTACGGCAAGCATGGGTTCTTGAAGAGGTATTCTACCCCGGATCCTCACGAGTCCCTCCCCACAACAGAAACCAACAAACACTTGTTGGGTAGCCTAGTGGTTAAAGCATTGCTCGTGTACTGGATTATACCCCGGTTCAGTTCCCATTTGGGTACATTGTATATATATGTCCATCACTCACAACTGTTGTTATGTGGCTTGAATATGAGATTGCATAAATCTTTCATGTCTCATGCAATTACAATAACTTGGTACTGAGATAAAAGACCGAGATAAAAGGTCAGAGACGAGTTTTAACACCTTTCAGCAATGGACTTTACATTGTTCCCATGTGGATAATCCAGTCTGGATCCTCGCCATGATGAGCAAACACGTGAACCATTTGTCTACCCTACCTTCCCTGAGAGTTTGTTGTTTCACGCCGCACTCTGCAATATTCCAGCAATATTATGGCGGCCTGTAAATAATCAAGTCTGCCCAAGACAATCCGGTGATTGTTATTGTGAGCAAGAATCCACGCTGTTTGGTATGATGATATGCTATCAACCAAGTCAACCAACTGACCACCCAATCCACTTGGTCGCCTTTTGCAACATATTAGGACCTATTCTTATCAGGAATCCTCACAGTCCTCCCCTGACCAAGCCAAATTTATAAAGTACTTACATTGATGGGTTGATGGGGGGTAGCGGTCGGGTAGCCTAGTGGTTAAAGCGTTCGCTCATCACGCCGAAGACCCGGGTTCGATTCCGGACATGGGTACAATGAGTGAAGCCCATTTCTGGTGTCCCCCGCCATGATATTGCTGGAATATTGCTAAAAGCAGCGTAAAGCTCACTCACTCACTCACTTACATTGATGAGTGCAGGAAGACTCGCAGCTGGTACCTGGCTAATTGGGTCATGTTGACAGTAACACTGCCACGGGCATTGTTTGTTGTTCAATGCAACATTCAACATTATTGCAGCTACATGTATATGATGGTGGCCTGTTTATAATGGAGTCTTAACCAGGAAAACGGATGATTGATATTATGAACAACATCCATGCCATCAGAATATATTGACACTATCAATCAATAAGTCACAGAGCATGACCATCCCATGACCATTCTGTTGGTGACCACTTGGTTGTGTGATCAAACCTTATTTACTGTACAGGACACTGTGACTGCAGCAATTGTGTGTCTACTGTTTGAAACCTCAGTCACTCATTCACAATCACTTAATACATCTCTGTTCTTGTCTAACTGGTCCATAGCACATTTCAGGGTAGGGGTGGCGGGGTAGTCTAGTGGTTAAAGCGTTCGCTGGTCATGCGGAAGACCCTTGTTCGATTCCCCACATGGGCAACATGTGTGAAACCCATTTCTGGTGTCCCCTGGCGTTATATTGCTGGAATATTGGTAAAGGCAGTGTAAAACCATACTCACTCACTCATTTCGGAGTAGTAAGTTGTGTACAATAATATTTGAAGATGAAACAACTTGTCCGTCTATAGGTTTTCAATATTCTCGGACTAATGGTCTAGTGGCTGTGTCTTTCTCCCAGCTTATGATCTTGCATTGTATATGTAAAATTCCCAGTCCAATGTACCTGTACTAGCTGTGTACACTCATGACTCAAAGAGTTCTTAAATTGGACGCCAAGACAAACAAGCATAAAAATACTCACATCCCCCCGCCAATATGACGTCCGGTTGTGTGCATGGCAAGAAATATTTACGGTTTTCAAGATCTGTTCCGGAAACGAGGACTACCGCCATTATCAAACTTAGTCAAAGTCGTTGCTATTGAAACTCGAAAAATATTTTTTTTAAATTTAAAATCCCAAGCTATCAAAAGCACCAGTTCACCACAATAACGTGACGGACGGACGTATGGATGGACGGAAGGACAACACCCATTCCTCTCTCCCCATTCCACTTACAAAACCATGACGGGGGATAAGTTAGAGGTATGGAGAGGTATGAGAGGGGGATTGGCACCGTCTAACCTAGTGTCTGTGAAGTGTTCGTACAGGACACGTACGACTGGACATCAGTGATCATCATATATCTTATGTTGACAGATGTGTGAACTGTGTCGCTTATAGGAGGGTCGCCCGACAGATACGTCAGTCAAGTCCTAGCTGGAGGATGGTACGCGAGACAGGCTGTCATAAAAGTGTTAACACATTCACAACAAAGAAAAAGAGGTCACGAAAAAAGCGACCAACAGGTATGGGGTGTGATACGAAATAAAGGGTTATAGCTAAAACGGCACCTCAGGTAAATATTTAACCCTGCTTACGTGTGGATAGACATTGATCAAGGAATTGGTATATTATCTTAGCTTCTCAAAAACGTAATTCTCGAAACAAATCACACATATATATATATGTATATTGTCACTATTACATCATAGGCATTATGACGCCACAAATACTACTGTTATGTGCGCCTAGGGCAACAATGTAAGTTAAAGTTTTCATTACACCTGAAGAGCCGTTGAACGGCGAAAGATCTTGTGTGGATAAAGGAGTTTTGACAAGCACGAAAATCTGGACTCTGTTTTTTTTTTCTCCCCGCTTACGTGTGGATAGACATTGATCAAGAAATTGGTATATTTTCTTAGCTTCTCAAAAACGCAATTCTCCAAAGGCATTTAGGCTTAGAAAAATTAATATTCAGAATTGTATTTCCTTACTAAATTTCAGTACTTTCCCATGTAAATCGCTACACCGTGTGTGCCTAGTTAAAGGTTCTGTAATAAGTACTTTAAAAGTACTACTTCTCCATGTTAAAACAAAAACGTATATATTTCTACATCGATAATCGGAATGTTCATGTACCGTAACAAATTTGTGTTGCTCAAGTAAATCAATCTAACACCAAATCAATTTACCGATAAAAAGAAACAAACAACCTTGACAAGAACAAACACATTATGTCACGCGATTAACAGATTACACTTCGCTGAGAGCACCTGTTGACAGAGTGGCCTCCCCTGATTTATGGGATTGTTTACAAATGGCGACTAACGGTTTGGATCGGTGGCACAACACTGATTTGTTTACCTGTTGATGCTTGTGATATGGATTTAATGTCTGAGTCAACGATGTATAGGATATTGAAGTAGACATTGTAAGTCATTTCCAGGAGGAAATCGCAAAATAGGTAATTCCTTTTCTTTATATAAGCTCGTAACCAACGAAAATGTGTGGTTGATTGATTTTGTCCCAGCAGTTGCCTATGGGATGGAGTTGATATCTTAATGAAAGTTTGTCGGTTTTTTTTATTGAACGATCTAGTTTTTTAATAAGATTGTATTAAATTGTCAAGACTTCCAATTTAAAGTAAACTACAGTCCTGACAATTTTAATTTTAATTTGAAGTTTTTTAATAAATAGGCCCTAGATCTATAAAAAAATAAATAAATACAGGAATATCTAATTTTAGTCAGAATTTTTTCTTCCAGCATTCAGAGAAATATATGGGCTGTGCATAGCCTACAGACACTGAAACTGAAGTAGGCCTATGAATTAAATATCAACATAGATTCTATATTCGACTAATTCAGAAAATGAGTACACAATCAATAATATCCATACAGCCTAGCCGAGTACCCTATTTTCAAACAACACCTATTTTCGGACAGCCATGTTGAAAGTGATTTTGTCTTGTTATAACTGTTGCCTTGAGAGCACCCGTTCAGGGTGTCAACGTTGTGTTCATGTAAAGTACTGTACACCTGTCAGAACATTCCCTCGTCATTCAGAATTTTTGTGCCCATGCCATGATGAAAAAGAAGATTATCCAGAATAGTGTGAACATTATCATTTGACAAATATTCATATACATATTATTCAATTACTGTTTGAGTTTTAATTGGTTTTTTTTTGGAATGAAGCTGAATTCTAATGTTGAAGACATCACCTACTGGTGTGAAGCAGAATTTGAGTTTTAAATCGCTTATCCCTCGAAATATCAGCAAAGCCATCTTAACTGTTCGAAAATATATAGTATCCTGAAACCTCGTCCAATAAATCAATAGTTAGGGTTGTAAGGTTATTGTACGATTTCAAACAGGATCTTTGTTTTTTATTTCATATATTCTCCAGTAAATGACTGAGTCACATCCTGAATTGAGGCAGACTTCATAGTGTGATAGACCAACATTCCAAGATGTCGATGCGTACAAAGATCCGTGGGTTTACTGCCTGGGTGAACCTTCGCACCATGTCCAACAACAGTCTGCTGAACAACGTTCTGATGGACTTGCTGACAGGCACACACATGAAGTACCTCATAGAGAGCATTACTGGCAGGGACTTCAAGAGGCTGGAGAGTTTTGATGGGTAGGATGTCACATTTGTTGCAGTTTATTTACAATAATGCTTACCCACTGGTTGGTAGCTGGTAACATTTCAAAAAGGCAAGTGGATCACCGGAAAATTAAAGGCAAAGTTCTAGGCATTTTGCTAGCCCTGCTTGCTAATTTATCTGGAAAACTAGTAAGTCTTTCTAATTAATGGCATGAATGTTTATGAAGATTTTTGTACACTTTTCTGAGATATCTGAAACATTTGGGTTAATTGGATATTTGAAAGGTTTGGGTCAATATGAGGCTGAGCTGAGACATGTTAAGTTTATTCCTTTCACTCATCCGGCCTGTGTGTGACTTTATCAACCAGTCCCAAAGCTGAGTCAAGTAAAATTCTGTTCAGTCTGATGTGTTTGTTTCAGCCATTCTTCCCCAGTCAACGGAGTTAACTGACTATAAAAGTCCAGTTTCCACCCTTGCCGAACTAGGCTGCAATAATGGAGTTATATTTTGGCTGGACTAATGAGTCTATGCATAGTCCAGTCAAAGTCGGGAAACGAAATCAACACCCTGTTCGTAAACTGCCGTGCAGATATCAGTCGACTGCAGGATTTGCAATGCATGTGTACCGTCATCTTGGTGTCAACAGATATTTTCCAAACCTTTTCATGTTTTTATTCAAGATGCCCATATGATTTGATGCACTTTGAGAAGTAAGGCCCCTTTTATTACAACATATATCTTGATGTTTGATCAGGATCGCCTTCAATGGGCGCTGCCGTTTTGTTTGAAACAAATGCAAGCAATATCAGAGGGGGAATCTGATTGGTCAATAGGAGGGATATAGAAGGGACATAACTCGTAATAGCCACTGGTGGCGCGACGATCGAACCCAGAAATTTTGGCTTTGTTCGGCAAGGGTGGAAACTGGATTTTTGTAGTCAGTTAACTCCCTTGCCTCGGGAAGATGGTTTCAGTCTGACACAATGAGTACTCTATGTTTCAGGTTGAGTCAGCAGCAGAAACAGACCCGTGTGGAGTGGGTCTTGGAGGAACTGAAGCGATGTAATGTCATCCCCATTGACACCTACGTGGATGCCAGAATGTTTGCCATGCGGAGTGCAGATCACGTGAGTCAAAACATGCCTTTATTCAAGGCTAAATGTTGTTTTGTCTTGTTTATAGCCAGTAAGACATACATCAACACTATAAAGCTGCTGCTCTCAGAAAATATGTAGTCTTAATTTTTCATACTCACTTTTACTCTCTTTTTTTTTAGAGAATCTCACCCAAGTGTCTTTTGATATAAAATATATAAACTTTTATAAAAGTTTAAAACTTGCCAAGGAATTTTAGAAATTTTGCAACAAGTGTTGATATAAATTATATCAAAAGACACATTGGGAAAATTCCATATGTCATCCAAAATCATTCTTACGTTTTTAGTTTGTAAACAGTAATAAGTAGTGTATTGAGTGTAACAAGTACAGTTAACCAGCTTCAGTGGCAGAGAGATTAGTGATGTCATTTGATTGTGAAGTCATGGTAACCAATGATGTCACAATGGTCTTCAAAGCATGGTGATGCACTTTCATTGCAGTGATATCTCCTAGGAGCCATCACTTGATATCACCCAAGTGATATCTGCTGTGGAAGTCAGTTTGTGATGATGAAAAAAGGTCTTTTCTTTAGGGGGGGTGGCACGGGTGGCCGTGTTGTCTACGGTGCCACGATTCGCTGTCCAGAGTTGCGTCCCTTGGGCATGCCAAAAACCTATGATTGTTAGTTTGAATCCCAGTTCGCCCCGATTATGTTTCTAGGTTCGTCAGCACCATACCCATGCTTGTGGGTTTCACCGAAGTGGTAAACGTCTGAAACCAGCATCACTTTGGGCTTTCCTCCCACATTAAGCTGACACGACGTGATATAACTGGAATAATGTTAAAAGCGGTGTTAAACCCAACTCACTCACTCACTCTTTAGGGCATGTTAAGTGTTGTATACCAATGTACATGTCTTTGTACTGTGAGTGTTTTTGTCCATTGCACAAATATGTCAGGCTATATTAACATTCAATTATTAGTTGTAGACATTGAATTATAGATAATCGTGCAGAGAATCCGTTTGAAAAAGACTAATCCATCAATAGAGTTCAGTTATTTTCATAATTTGTAAAGACAATTTCAGTCTCAATAACATGCTCCAGCAACACTATACATAGACAGGACCCAGTCAAGCCTTGGAGCTTGTGACAGTAATGAAACAACCATATCGACGGTTGACAAACAAATAAATGACATGATTAAAATGAAGCAAATGAGGTACTAAATTACAGTTAAAGGGACCTACGTAAATACTTCGAGTTATCCGAGATTCGACATAATGAAAAATGATAAACAAAGAAGGAATTTTTTCTTTTATTTCGAGACAACCTATGTCCGAGACATCAAATTTCGACAAACAACGGTATTTGACAGTACTGAAAACAAATTAATTTTTTAAACCATGATTTAAAAATGCCTTCTGAACTTGCTTGTATAAGAGAATCACTGTTTTAGTGACAGTTATTAGTCATTCCTGATAAATCAGTAAGCTACCTATTCTTTGTATCAGGTGTTTGAGATGCTATGGCGACTGGTGAGTCATGACATCTGGTTTGTGTGGGAGAGAGCTGAGTACCTTCAACATGATGACCGTGACATCCTCACACAGGTGCCCTTCAAAGTGAGTACATGATACAGACATCCTAACACATGTGCCCTTCAAAGTGAGTACATGATACAGACATCCCAACACAGGCGCCTTCAAAGTGAGTACATTACAGACATCCTAACACAGGTGCCCTTCAAAGTGAGTACATGATAGACATTCTCACACAGGTGCCCTTCAAAGTGAGTACATGATACAGACATCCTAACACAGGTGCCCTTCAAAGTGAGTACATGACAGACATCCTCACACGGGTGCCCTTCAAAGTGAGTACATGATACAGACATCCTAACACAGGTGCCCTTCAAAGTGAGTACATGATAGACATTCTCACACAGGTGCCCTTCAAAGTGAGTACATGATACAGACATCCTCACACAGGTGCCCTTCAAAGTGAGTACATGATACAGACATCCTAACACAGGTGCCCTTCAAAGTGAGTACATGACAGACATCCTCACACAGGTGCCCTTCAAAGTGAGTACATGATACAGACATCCTAACACAGGTGCCCTTCAAAGTGAGTACATGATACAGACATCCTAACACAGGTGCCCTTCAAAGTGAGTACATGATACAGACATCCTCACATGGGTGCCCTTCAAAGTGAGTACATGACAGACATCCTCACACAGGTGCCCTTCAAAGTGAGTACATGACAGACATCCTAACACAGGTGCCCTTCAAAGTGAGTACATGACAGACATCCTGACACAGGTGCCCTTCAAAGTGAGTACATGATACAGACATCCTGACACAGGTTCCCTTCAAAGTGAGTACATGACAGACATCCTAACACAGGTGCCCTTCAAAGTGAGTACATGATACAGACATCCTCACACAGGTGCCCTTCAAAGTGAGTACATGACAGACATCCTGACACAGGTGCCCTTAACACTGAGTACATGACAGACATCCTAACACAGGTGCCCTTCAAAGTGAGTACATGATACAGACATCCTAACACAGGTGCCCTTCAAAGTGAGTACATGATACAGACATCCTGACACAGGTGCCCTTAACACTGAGTACATGACAGACATCCTCACACAGGTTCCCTTCAAAGTGAGTACATGACAGACATTTTTACACAGGTGCCCTTCAGAGTGAGTACATGATACAGACATCCTCACACAGGTGCCCTTCAAAGTGAGTACATGACAGACATCCTAACACAGGTGCCCTTCAAAGTGAGTACATGACAGACATCCTAACACAGGTGCCCTTCAAAGTGAGTACATGACTGACATCCTGACACAGGTGCCCTTCAAAGTGAGTACATGACAGACATCCTGACACAGGTGCCCTTCAAAGTGAGTACATGACAGACATCCTGACACAGGTGCCCTTCAAAGTGAGTACATGATACAGACATCCTGACACAGGTGCCCTTCAAAGTGAGTACATGATACAGACATCCTGACACAGGTTCCCTTCAAAGTGAGTACATGACAGACATCCTAACACAGGTGCCCTTCAAAGTGAGTACATGACAGACATCCTGACACAGGTGCCCTTCAAAGAGAGTACATGAGAGACATCCTGACACAGGTGCCCTTCAAAGTGAGTACATGACAGACATCCTAACACAGGTGCCCTTCAAAGTGAGTACATGACAGACATCCTGACACAGGTGCCCTTAACACTGAGTACATGACAGACATCCTGACACAGGTGCCCTTCAAAGTTAGTACATGATACAGACATCCTAACACAGGTGCCCTTCAAAGTGAGTACATAATACAGACATCCTAACACAGGTGCCGTTCAAAGTGAGTACATGATACAGACATCCTCACACAGGTGCCCTTCAAAGTGAGTACATGATACAGACATCCTGACACAGGTGCCCTTCAAAGTTAGTACATGACAGACATCCTGACACAGGTTCCCTTCAAAGTGAGTACATGATACAGACATCCTCACACAGGTGCCCTTCAAAGTGAGTACATGACAGACATCCTAACACAGGTTCCCTTTAAAGTGAGTACATGATACAGACATCCTCACACAGATCAGTGAGTACATGACAGACATCCTCACACAGGTTCCCTTCAAAGTGAGTACATGATACAGACATTCTCACACAGTTGCCCTTCGAAGTGAGTACATGACAGACATCCTGACACAGGTGCCCTTCACACTGAGTACATGACCGACATCCTCAAACAGGATTTCACTTTTATCACCCTGACTACACACCTGTGTTTTTTGTGTGATCCATTTTCATTACACTAAAAAAACAACTAATGTATACTGTGTGGATAAGATAATGTTTACAACTCAAAAAAAATATATATAATATTTCTACCTGAACAGGGACAGCTCTTGAATTTACCTGTCCAAGCTACATCTTTACCAGTCTGTATTAGACATGTACAAGATACATATATATGTTATGTGGGTTTGAAAAATCACAGATTTACCGTAACTCTCACTCTTTGTCAAGGATCATCTATCCAAAGCCCAAGAGTAAATGCCAGTGACTTGCAGTACTCTGCTTACATGTGGAGTGTAAGATGTAACAATTTTCTTTCGACAGTGGACTCCAGAGCCTCCCCCAAAGAAGAAGAAGAAAACAAAACTGAGAAAGTCTCTGCTCAGCGGTTTTGGGTCAGCATCGATGGTGGAGGAGAAGATAGAGGGGGTAGGTCGGGCGGAGCCCTTGTTGAAACCGATAGGACACAAACACGTGACAGTTTGATGATTTATTATTATACATGCAAAATACAAGGTTATTTTATAAGTTTATTGGTTAAATTATTTTTGGAATTTGACTGCCACTGCCAGTGGATTTTTAATGACTTCTACACAAAGGTTATTGACATTAGAGATTGTTCTTCCATAGACGGGGACATGGGTGGCCCATTCGTCTAAGGCGCCGCAATTCACTATGCAGAGTTGCTTCCAAATTACCCTGGGGAATTCTTTTGGCACATGTCATAATAGGTCAAAAGGCCAAGGTCATGAGATGGAAAAAACTCATTGAAAGGTTTGTGGTCACAGTTACTCAAACTATTTTAATATTTTAATGAATTTATCATTAAACTTGGCATATAACTTCCCTGGGATGGTGTCCTGCTTTTCAAAGGTTTTTGGTCAGGATTAGTCAGAGTCCAAGGTCAGTATTCAGCATTTTGTAAGACTAAGGCTTTTTAGTGCAAAGATGATTGGCAATGTTTCTTGCTTTCATAGATTGAAATATCTTTTATTTGTTCATGTTCATATCTCCTTAACTGAAGGAATACAGAAGTTGACATTTCACACTTTTTATTTTCAGTCGATTTTTCTGAACTTTAAGTGATCATTTTTTATTTACCTGTCTTCTCCAGTTTCTTGTTTTGCAAGGTAGGCATCTGATATCAGAATTTCAAAAACAGAAGATATCCACAAAAGTTCTGTTTTTAGGTTTTGAGAGGATTAGACAATTCAAAAGAAAATTAGGTATTTTGTTCAGGCTTGAAATGGTTCCTTCTTCATTGAAGTTTCCTAAGATGAAATACAACACACTTTGCACATGTTGATTGTTGTCTCTTAGTGGGCACTGGTGGCCCAGTCGTCTTAGGCTGTGCAGAGTTGCGTCCCTTGGGCATGCCAAAAACCTATTATTCCCCGATTATGTTTCTAGATTTGTCAGCACATACCAGTGCTTGTGGGTTTCACCAAAGTAGTAAACATCTGAGACCTGCATCAATTCGGGCTTTCCTCCCACATAAAGCTGACTGTCTGTGATATAACTGGAATACTGTTAAAAGCGATGTTATACCTAACATACTCACTCACTCTTGTCTCCCAGGCTGATGTGCCAGACGAGCAGTGGGTGAAGTACCCCAACTCTGATTTCATGAAGAACTTCAAGAGGAAGAGGACGGCAGGCAGATACCCCAACTCGGATAAGTGCATCCTGGAACTTGTCAATGCTCAACTTAAAGTAAGTAGCAAATAATTTTAAGCCAGCAGATTTACAAAATTGGGACTTTTACAGTTTTAAATATTTCAATATGTGTTTGTTGTTGTGTGATTATCTTTGTTGTGGATCATCTCACAAACATCTCTCTTTCTACATGTTGGTGTTTGTAGTGTTTGGTAAGCTGTCTAATGGAGTCGGGGGGCACAGGTGGCCCAGTCGTCTAAGGCGCCGCGATTCGCTGTGCAGAGTTGCGGCCCTTGGGCATGCCAGAAACCTATGATTGTGGGTTCGAATCCCGGTTCGCCCCGATTATGTTTCTAGGTTTGTCAGCACCATACCCGTGCTCGTGGGTTTCACCGAAGTGGTAAACGTCTGAGACCTGCATCACTTCAGGCTTTCCTCCCACATTAAGCTGACACACCGCGATATAACTGGAATACTGTTAAAAGCGGCGTTAAACCCAACTCACTCACTCACACTCACTCTAATGGAGTGATGACAAACATTTAATTACCCACATGAACAGGGATTTCAAGGAATTATTTGTTAATGGATTACATGTAGCTAGTAAGAGAGCAACTATTTGCTTGGTTGGGGGTTGGGGGGGGTCGGGGTAGGGGCGGATTTTGGTTTTGAGATCAGAATTTTCTTATTGATTATGTGTTTTTTTTATTAAAATAAATAAAAGTAATGAATTGTATTCTTTGGACACTCTAATATAATCTGCAACAAAAGGGCACATTATCATTTTCCTACAATACAAGGCCCATATTACTGGGGATTGGTTATTTTTGTGTCCCAAACAAACAGTTGCTGCCTCAGTTATACATGTACTCTAGATACAGATGTCTTCATCAAATGCAGACATATAACTCATTAAATCACAATTTACAGAAAAAAGAAAAGAATAGTTATTGATAATTGATTTTAAAAACCTTTTCAAACACAACATACTTGTAACTGTATTTTTTACTTTTATTGCAGAAAAGTAAAGAAGGAAGCAATCTGTTTTGTTATGTGAGTGTGAGACCTCCTTAAGCAATACTCCATTATACATATACAAATAGAAGTAATTCCCTCATCAACATATATTAGAACTTATCCAATAATTTACATCAAAATTATTCCTATAAAGCTCTATGCTTTTTGACTTTATTATTATTGAATTGTTTGCTTTCATCAAAGTAGATATAGTTTTTATTTACGTGTACTGCTCAAAAGAGTCAAAGAACACAAGTTTTTGCATATTCTGACAGTTAATCTATCATGGCATGCCAGCTGTTGTAATGTGAAAGAATCAGTGTTCGTTAACTTCTCTTGAGTCATATATAAGCATGAACTAGCCAGCTGTAGTGCTGTGAAAGAACAAGTGTTTGTTAACTTCTCTTGAGTCATATATAAGCATGAACTAGCCAGCTGTTGTTTGCCTGCAGAGCGTGGATGATCTAGTCGACAGCCGAGTGCTGTGCATCCTCATCAACTCCTATGTACCCAACACCTTCACCACAGACCTGCTGCTCAATGACAGGTGAGGCCACACTTGTTTATAGGCCTGGGGATTCACCGACTGTAGCAAATGACTAGCTGGGAATATAAAAATGACAATCCCTTTAACTGACCCTTGTACTAACTTTCCGATCATTGTGTCTGTTGAAAATATAAAACAAATTTATTTATTTACAGAAAACAATTATTCATCTTACCAAGTCAAGAGAGATAACTGACTATAAAGTCCAGTTTCCACCCTTGCCAAAGTCCAATCAAAATCGAAATCCGGTTTGTAAACTGCCATGTAGATTTCGGTTGATTGCAGGATGCACAAAGCATGTGTACCGCCAACTCGGCATCAACAAATATTTTCCAAATCTTTTCATCTTTTTAATCAAGGTGCTCATGTGATTTGATGCACTTCACGAAGTAAGACCCATTTTATTATCACAATATAGATTTTGATTGTCTTGACTGGGCGATGCCAGATTTTGTTTGAAGCAAATGCAAGTGATAAGTGGAATCTGACTGTCAGTAGGAGGGACATAGAAGGGACATAACTCGTAATAGTAACTGGTGGCGTTACGATCAAACCCACCCAGACATTCCAGCATAGTTCGGCAAGGGTGGAAAAGCGACTTTTACGGTCAGTAAATTCCCTTGCCTTGGGAAGATGACAATTATGGTCTTTATTTCCACTCTGACACTCACTTGAAGTCATTACAATAACGTCATGCATTTTCAAACAAATTTCAACAGCAACATATTATATTTTGACTGACTATGACAAGAACAAAAACATACAAATAAGGTTGATTTGTTTTAATTTGTTAAAAATAGAGTCTGAAAAAATCTCGAAACCTACAAAAATAAAATATGATGCTGAAGGGAGTGGAGCTGCGATGGATGTGTCTGGAAGTGATGAAGACATGCCAGCATTTGTAGCTGAGGTTCAGCCCTTGGCTCCGTCCACATGGAAAATATAATGTAACATAGGTTTCATAGTCATAAAATACAGTGAACAGAAGGTGTGTAATGATCGATCAGACTGTCAATTACACTGTAACTGTCCATTGTGAAGCTCAGGAAAAGTTTTAATAGCTGCAGTTGGCATCAATACTGTGTTTGATTATTGACAAGTTGAACAGATGTCATTACATCCGCCTTCATGTTGTAATATATAGAGCATGTGGTTGGTGGTTGAATCCCCAGAGATAATAGACATCGAGTAGTTGACTTAGTTCCAACATTGATGAAACTTGAACTACTTTGGTAATGGTTGCTAGGCAACAACATACTTTTCTGCACTGCTGTTTTCTGTAACAACATCTGTAATATGTTATGTTGTGGCACGTGGTCCTGTGCAGAGAGCACAGGTCACAAATCAAGTTAAGCAACGTTGGTCGCGGAGAGTCTTTAGATGGGTGACTGCATTTCGGGAGTTTGGCTCCTGAGAGTTTCTAGGGCTTCGGTCCCGGCCCACACTGAAGCACATGTAGCACAGTGGTGTCTTCATAGGCAAATGACTGTGCCTCTGTTCACCTAGCAGTGAATGGGTACCTGTTAGGATGAGATGGCAATGTGGTTGTTAACATTCTTGCACCTAAGAGGCAGCTTTGGCTGTATACTCTCCAGGGAGCTGAGAATGATTGTGGGATAATAATAGCGCTATGAGCATGCCCATGTGTGGTGGGGTAATATGCACAATATAAATGGATTATTATTATTGTTGTTGTTGTTGTTGTTGTTATTATCATTATTATTCTCAAGAAAATACAAACGGTCATGTAAATCTTTGCTCTCAGTAGGGGGTGTTTATAAAGATAAAATACTTCCACATTGGTCAAGAAATTGATCAAGGGGTATTTAATGGAACAGGGTGTTTTATACGGAGAAAATGGTACTCCACTTTGAGCTCCTTTTGTAAGTAAAACTGTTTCAATAAACCGGGACACTTCATTTGACATATTATAAATCTGTTGTCTCCAATAACCCAGCCATCCTACATTGTATGCATGTGCTACACAACTGAGTGTTGGCTTGTCGACAGATGGACAATCAATACAGCCTTGAGAGCAGGGGAGAAGATGTTCAAGTTTGAAACACCATTTGACTCTGAAGACTTGGTAGAAGTAAGTGTCTGTTCCTACAGTGATGCGTGCACAGTACTGAGTTATGTATCAGTAGTTATGCATGTAACTCCGTTATTTGGGCTGGGTAGGGACTTTGATGCTAAAACTCCATTGTTACACAACTAGTTGCTAAAGTTCCATCTCCCTGTGGCAAGGGTGTTAACTGACTATAAAAGTCCAGTTTCAACCCTTGCCATACTAGCCTGGGATTCTGAAGTAACATTTTGGCTGGACTAACGAGTCTATGCATAGTCCAATCAAAATTGCATAACAACGACATGGATTTCAACATGCAGATTTGGTTCGACTCCAGGATTTGCAAAGCATGTGCACCGCCAACTAGGCATTGATAGATATTTTGGCATTTTTTCATGTTTTTAATCAAGGTGATCGAGTGATTTCATTCACTTCGCATGGTAAGACCCGTTTTATTCAAATATAGATCTTGATTGTCGATCAGATTGACTTTACTGGGCGACACCATTTTGTTTGAAGCAAATGCAAGTGATATGAGAGATGGAATCTGATTGGTCAATAGGAGGGACATAGAAGGGACATAACGCGTTAAAGCAACTGGTAGCGCTACAATCAAGCCTGGAAATTCCAGCCAAGTTCGGCAAGAGAGGAAACTGGAGTTTTATTGTCAGTTAACTCCCTTGCCTAGGGAAGATGATAAAGTTCACATTTCTTTCTTACTTTGCACACGTTCCTTCTGATCTCATTCCTTTTGAACGCTTCAGTCATCTTCAGTTGACTATGATCATTTTGTGTTATACATGTCTCTAAATAGTTTAGGCTCCGGTAAAACAATCCCCAATTGGACATTTTGTACGCACCTCTTGTGACCTTCAGCTGATACCCGGGTAGGGTCGGTGGTTGGATATCCAATTTGGAATCGTCACAGCCCTATATACTATTGTCCAATTATAAAATGTCATATAGCTGAAACAATGCTGATGTGGTGTTAAATTTGAACTTACTTCAATAAAAGGAACATCAACAGGGCTGGATGTGTTCTGTATATTCTGAAGGATAAAATTAAATCCAACAGTTGGATGCTTGTGTATTTAAACTTAACTATCTAAAACAGCAGTTGTAAGAATGAAAAAAGTAAGTCAACCATTTGAAAGTCTCCGATAATTTCAAACTTTATGGTTTTCAATAACTTTAAAATATGAATTTCAGTTAGCCAAAATCGGCTCTTGTCCTACGTTGTTCCTTTCTTTTGTTCATGAAGGATTTTGGTTGGTTGGTTTGTTGTTTAACGCCGCACTAAGCAATATTCTAGCCATATGACGGCAGTCTGTAAATACTTGAGTCTTAATCAGATAATCCAGTGATTAATATCATGAGCATCGATCCACGCAATTGGGATCGATGACATGCATCAACCAAGTCAGCGAGCCTAACAACCCGATCCAGTTAGTCCCCTTTTATGACAAGCATGGGTTGCTGAAGACCTATTCAAACCCGGATCTTCACGAAGGAAGTATTAGGAATTCCACCTAAAGACCATGTTTCCCCTCCTAGGCTGAGCCCATGGCGGTGTGCTCCTACTTCTGTACATTCTTCATGCTGGCGTACAAGTACCGGCAGTGCAAGGCGGTCATCGACAGAGTGGTGAGTAGGGACTGTACCCACTGATACGTATGTGTTCCAGGATACATTGTTATACATATGTTAGATTTGTATTACGAGGTTTATCCAAATTGCTGGACCAGTGATCATATACGGTAAATCTTGAAATTAACGCGAGCGTGAATTAAATGCAAAAAATGCGAGTTGTCTTGGCTCGCATTATTAAACATCGCATTTATATCAACAATAAGACATTTTGGATAGCAGAAATACCAACATAGACATACGCTGAAAACAAACAATATGTTGTCCACATCACTGTTTATTGAGCAGCACTTGTAACAAGTATATAATTCATATCATTCGAACACTAATTACATTCTGTGAATTGTCACTGCTGAGGTCAAGACAAGAGTTCTACTCACTTATGTCATCACTGATCACACGTCCAGACAGACGCCATCCACGCAACACAGTGTCTTCGTTCTTTGCGACTGCGTCAAAGGCCAACACGGGCCAGCGCGCATGCATTGTTTTAGCGGAAGTACAGTACTCAGCGCTAAGAGAGTGAGACCTGAGTGAGTGAGAAAGACCTGAGTGAGACCTGAGTGAGCGAGACCTGAGTGAGCGAGACCTGAGTGAATGAGTGCATGAATGAGTGAGGCCTGAGTGAGTGTGTGAGTGAGTGAGTGAGTGAGTGAGACCTGAGTGAGGCCTTAGTGAGTGAGATCTGAGTGAAGCCTTAGTGAGGCCTTAGTGAGTGAGATCTGAGTGAGTGAGGCCTGAGTGAGTGAGTGAGTGAGGCCTGAGTGAGTGCATGAATGGGTGAGGCCTGAGTGAGTGAGACCTGAGTGAGTGAGTGAGGCCTGAGTGAGACGCATTAATTTCACGATTTACAGTGATCACTCAGTGAGTGAGACCTGAGTGAGGCTTGAGTGAGTGAGACCTGTGTGAGTGAGTGCGTGAGTGAGACCTGAGTGAGTGAGAGAGACCTTAGCGAGACCTGAGTGAGTGAGTGCGTGAGTGAGACCCGAGTGAGTGCATGAATGAGTGAGACCTGAGTGAGTGAGGCCTGAGTGAGTTCATGAATGAGTGAGGCCTTAGTGAGTGAGTGAGTGAGACCTGAGTGAGTGAGTGAGGCCTGAGTGAGTGCATGAATGAGTGAGGCCTGAGTGAGTGAGACCTGAGTGAGTGAGTGAGGCCTGAGTGAGTTCATGAATGAGTGAGGCCTGAGTGAGTGAGACCTAAGTGAGTGAGTGAGGCCTGAGTGAGACGCATTAATTTCACGATTTACAGAGATCACTCAGGTATATGAGTGAGACCTGAGTGAGTGATTGAGTTAGTGCGTGAGTGAGACCTGAGAGAGACCTGAGTGAGACCTGAATGAGCGAGACCTGAGTGAGTGAGTGCGTGAGTGAGTGCATGAATGAGTGAGGCCTTATTGAGTGAGTGAGATCTGAGTGAGTGAGGCCTGAGTAAGTGAATGAGTGAGACCTGAGTGAGTGAGGCCAGAGTGAGTGAGTGAGTGAGACCTGAGTGAGGCCTGAGTCAGACCTGAGTCAGACCTGAGTGAGACCTGAGTGAGTGAGTGAGACCTGAGTGAGGCCTGAGTGAGTGAGACCTGAGTGAGACCTGAGTCAGGCCTGAGTGAGACCTGAGTGAGACCTGAGTGAGGCCTGAGTGAGCCCTGAGTGAGTGAGTGAGTGAGTGAGTGAGTGAGTGCGTGAGTGAGACCCGAGTGAGTGCATGAATGAGTGAGACCTGAGTGAGTGAGGCCTGAGTGAGTTCATGAATGAGTGAGGCCTTAGTGAGTGAGTGAGTGAGACCTGAGTGAGTGAGTGAGGCCTGAGTGAGTGCATGAATGAGTGAGGCCTGAGTGAGTGAGACCTGAGTGAGTGAGTGAGGCCTGAGTGAGTTCATGAATGAGTGAGGCCTGAGTGAGTGAGACCTAAGTGAGTGAGTGAGGCCTGAGTGAGACGCATTAATTTCACGATTTACAGAGATCACTCAGGTATATGAGTGAGACCTGAGTGAGTGATTGAGTTAGTGCGTGAGTGAGACCTGAGAGAGACCTGAGTGAGACCTGTCACTGCTGAGGTCAAGACAAGAGTTCTACTCACTTATGTCATCACTGATCACACGTCCAGACAGACGCCATCTACGCAACACAGTGTCTTTGTTCTTTGCGACTGCGTCAAAGGCCAACACGAGCCAGCGCGCATGCATTGTTTTAGCGGAAGTACAGTACTCAGCGCTAAGAGAGTGAGACCTGAGTGAGTGAGAGAGACCTGAGTGAGACCTGAGTGAGCGAGACCTGAGTGAGCGAGACCTGAGTGAATGAGTGCATGAATGAGTGAGGCCTGAGTGAGTGAGTGAGTGAGTGAGTGAGACCTGAGTGAGGCCTTAGTGAGTGAGATCTGAGTGAAGCCTTAGTGAGGCCTTAGTGAGTGAGATCTGAGTGAGTGAGGCCTGAGTGAGGCCTGAGTGAGTGCATGAATGGGTGAGGCCTGAGTGAGTGAGACCTGAGTGAGTGAGTGAGGCCTGAGTGAGACGCATTAATTTCACGATTTACAGTGATCACTCAGTGAGTGAGACCTGAGTGAGGCTTGAGTGAGTGAGACCTGTGTGAGTGAGTGCGTGAGTGAGACCTGAGTGAGTGAGAGAGACCTTAGCGAGACCTGAGTGAGTGAGTGCGTGAGTGAGACCCGAGTGAGTGCATGAATGAGTGAGACCTGAGTGAGTGAGGCCTGAGTGAGTTCATGAATGAGTGAGGCCTTAGTGAGTGAGTGAGTGAGACCTGAGTGAGTGAGTGAGGCCTGAGTGAGTGCATGAATGAGTGAGGCCTGAGTGAGTGAGACCTGAGTGAGTGAGTGAGGCCTGAGTGAGTTCATGAATGAGTGAGGCCTGAGTGAGTGAGACCTAAGTGAGTGAGTGAGGCCTGAGTGAGACGCATTAATTTCACGATTTACAGAGATCACTCAGGTATATGAGTGAGACCTGAGTGAGTGATTGAGTTAGTGCGTGAGTGAGACCTGAGAGAGACCTGAGTGAGACCTGAATGAGCGAGACCTGAGTGAGTGAGTGCGTGAGTGAGTGCATGAATGAGTGAGGCCTTATTGAGTGAGTGAGATCTGAGTGAGTGAGGCCTGAGTGAGTGAATGAGTGAGACCTGAGTGAGTGAGGCCAGAGTGAGTGAGTGAGTGAGACCTGAGTGAGGCCTGAGTCAGACCTGAGTCAGACCTGAGTGAGTGAGTGAGACCTGAGTGAGGCCTGAGTGAGTGAGACCTGAGTGAGACCTGAGTGAGACCTGAGTGAGGCCTGAGTGAGCCCTGAGTGAGTGAGTGAGTGAGGCCTGAGTGAGTGAGTGAGGTCTGAGTGAGTGAGACCTGAGTGAGGCCTGAGTGAGTGAGACCTGAGTTAGACCTGAGTGAGCCCTGAGTGAGCCCTGAGTGAGTGAGTGAGTGTGGCATGAGTGAGTGAGTGAGATCCGAGTGAGGCCTGAGTGAGGCCTTAGTGAGGCCTTAGTGAGGCCTGAGTGAGGACTGAGTGAGGCCTTAGTGAGGCCTTAGTGAGGTCTGAGTGAGTGAGGCCTGAGTGAGACCTGAGTGAGGCCTGAATGAGGTCTGAGTGAGGCCTGAGTGAGGCCTGAGGTCTGAGTGAGTGACACCTGAGTGAGGCCTTAGTGAGGCCTTAGTGAGGTCTGAGTGAGTGAGGCCTGAGTGAGACCTGAGTGAGGCCTGAGTGAGGTCTGAGTGAGGTCTGAGTGAGTGAGGCCTGAGTGAGGCCCGAGTGTGTGAGTGAGGCCAGAGTGAGTGAGTGAGACCTGAGTGAGTGAGTGAGTGAGTGAGACCTGAGTGAATGAGTGAGTGAGTGAGTGAGTGAGTGAGTGAACATGCTTATAATGAACTGACGGATATTACAAACTTGATGTTTGGTCGCGGCCAAAAATGTTGTATGTATGCTCGAACTACTAAACAAACAAACTAACATTAGTGGTCCATTCCAGCTCGTTATAAGCATAGTTTACTGTATATGTAATAATACTTATTTTTTAATGTTTAAGAACAGTTTGGACCATTTTTATGTTACACACAAATATAATGTCTGGTCTGCTTAAGAAAATTTATAAAGTTCAAAGACATCATCAGATTGCCGCTGCCTATGTCCCATGGATTGTCAACATCATTCCTGTGTTTGCAGTGTATACTTCCTCTACTCTTGGGGGCACGGGTGGCCTAGATGTCTAAGGACCGCAATTCGCCATGTAGAGTTGCGTCCCTTGGGCACGCCCAAAGCCTATGATTGTGGGTTCGAATCCCGGTTCGCCCCATTATGTTTCTAGGTTTGTCAGCACCATACCTGTGCTCGTGGGTTTCACCGAAGTGGTAAACGTCTGAGGCCTGCATCACTTCAGGCTTTCCTCCCACATTAAGCTGACACACCATGATATAACTGGGATAATGTTAAAAGCGGTGTGAAACCCGACTCAGTCACTCAATCTATGACAAGCAAGACAGAGGCAGCCGATTCTGACCTGTTGTATCTCTGTAGGTAGCTATCATGCCATCAGAGCTGGATCAAACAATACATTCACAACATCTGGCACTTAATACTTTTCTCACTCACTCACTCACTCACTCACTCACTCACTCACTCACTCACTCACTCACTCACTCACTCACTCACTCACTCACTCACTCACTCACTCACTCACTCACTCACTCTAATAAACTTGGCACGCAATGATATAACTGACAAATGATTCAAAGCAGTACTCTCATCAATAAGGTAGATTCTATTCCTACATAAACATGTGACCAATCTTTACTTATTCCAGGGAATATATCTCCATGTTCAAGGGGGCAGTGGACATTTTTAAAAATGTTGATACATTTTTCACGCTTTATTCAGGTGAGTGCTTAGAAAAGATCACAGTGTTTTCTTGGCTGTCCACAGAACTGGATCAACCAGCTGATCCGTGAGTGTAACCACGAGATGGAGAAGTTCCCTGCCAGCGTGTCCAACATGGCCGACCTGCAGAAGAGGATGGGCTTGAAGGCTAACATTGAGGCACACCAGGAAGGTAGGGTGGACTCCACTGACAGGTTTGATACAGCGAGCAGCTGCAATCTCTCCTGAACTCCATCACTGGTCCATTTATCCCACTTGTGAACTTGGTAAAAAAGACGTCATGCAAACATCCTCATATGCTTCCATGAAATTGGTCACTTATTAATAGGATAAATGAAAACTCAGTCTTCAGCAACCCATGCATGTCCCCCCTGTGTAAATCTGGGTTAGACTTGGCCTTCAATGACACATACCCTGAGTGATACTGCCTCAACAAATTTATCCTGTTTTAGTCTGTCATTGCAAAAGAATCAAAACAAATTGAAAATTACTCGAAAACAGCTGTTCGATTGAGCTGGGGTTAACTTTTGCTGTGTCACATGACTGTCACTGACTCGTAAACAATGTGCTTCGTAGTGAGGTGATTTATTCTCCAACTCAGAAATCCATGTGCAGCCTGTTTTCTTCATGGCAGGGTATAAGGGATTTATTACCCCGCTCAGAAATCCATGTGCAGTCTCTTTTCTTCATGGCAGGGTGTAAGGGATTTAGTCTCCTGCTCAGAAATCCATGTGCAGCCTGTTTTCTTCATGGTGGGGTGTAAGGGATTTTGTCTCCCACTGAGAAATATATTTCCCTCCCAGATGGGAAAAGAAGTATTTTTTATCAAGATCACCTGAACCAATCAGATCTCAACATTGTGATATCGGGGTAAGATAAAGTTCCTTGTTTTCCCCAGCGGTGCAGAAGACACTGCGGCGCTATGACATGCAGTACTGTAAGGATCTAGTGCAGCATGTGGCCGATGTCCGACTACAGGTATCATATTTCAACTTGCTTCATGTCTTCTCCATTTGTGCAGATAATGTGATGTAATGTGTGTGAATATTGTGCACGTTTGTCACACAAATGTACTTTTTTTCTGTACTTACGTATTTTACTAAATTTCTACTTATTTGCTTGCCATTCCTGCAAGTGTTTTAATTTTGTTTATTCAATACTGACCCCTTAAACCACAAAAACAATGTGTCTATCAAGTGTGTTCCGTTAGCATCTATTCAAAATTACCATGGAAACCATTATAGAAAATCTGTTTTCCCATTTGTTCTCATTCACTCTCGTAGTTTTATCATTGTTTACACATAGCTACAATGGTTTCATATAGAGTAGCATGTATATCCAAGGATGTGGATTTTATATCAGTTGTATCTGTCTTCCTCATGTAATAGACTCAGAGTCGGGTGAGCTGCAGGGCCTTCCTGTCTCTAATCATGTGTTTGCAGCAGTCCTCAGTCTTGATATCCACAGATATTCTTAATTTTCAGATTCACAAGGAGATACGAGAACAGATCCGTCACAGATTCGACAAGCTCACCATTCCCCGCAACATCACCATCAACGACCTCTGTCTCTCCTACGTCATCAACCTGGTGAGATCTAACTATATGATCGGTCCCTTCTTTACCTTAACAACTTTTATATTTTTAGTTTTACACTCCGCTGTGTCAACTTTAACGTTACTATGCTTTGTTATATACAGGTACTTTTCTCTGCAGACCTGTGAAGATTACGGGGTAGAATTGGTCCTCAGCAACCCACACTTGCCGTAAAAGGCGACTATGCTTGTTCTGTATGAGGCAACTAACAGGATCGGGTTGTCAGGCTCACTGACTTGGTTGATACATGTCATCAATCCCAATTGCGTGGATCGATGCTCATGATGTCAATCACTGAATTGTCTGGTCCAGACTCGATTATTTTATAGACCGCCGTCATATAGCTGGAATATTGCTGAGTGCGACGTTAAACAACAAACAAACAAACCTTTCTCTGCAGTGTTTAGATAATATGCTACTCTACATTTGATAGGATCTGTATGCAAAGAAAAATAACCGAACTATGTCTATCAACAGTTGAATAGTATACATTATGTTTGAGCATGTTGAGCTATCTCCATTTTGTTTAAGTTGACACTGCAGCCTTCGAAATTCTTCAGAGTTTGAATGTCTCAAGGTTTCTGTTTTTCTGCACTCGGAAATACACCAACTATGTGTAGTGAGATCTGGGATGAGGATGACAATCATGGGGGTGTCTAAAGTGGCGTGCATGTATGTTCCCCAGACTCTCACAAATGGTTCCGGGTTCTACATGATTGAACAGAAGGAGCTGCTCACCGAGGGTCGGAGACTGGTGCTCAGGAACAAGGAGACTGGGGAGTTTATTGATGACTTCACCAGTAAAAACAAGGGTAGGTCTCACCTATATTTACACTGTGGAACAAGGAGACTCGGGAGTTTATTGATGACTTCACCAGTAAAAACAAGGGTAGGTCTCACCTATATTTACACTGTGGAACAAGGAGACTCGGGTGTTTATTGATGACTTCACCAGTAAAACCAAGGGTAAGATCAGTGTTGAGAGATTATTTTATGTATGTCCTTCACCTTGACATGTCCTTCACCTTGACTCAACGTTGTGTTTTACAGAGTCTGTCAAGAAGTTTCTGCGTCTTCCTGACCTGAATGTGGTGGAGATAGATCCTGCCAAGTACCCTAAGTACGAGGTATGAGATCATATGTACAAATTATAAACTTTAGATTAAATCATCTAGATTTTAAGAACACCTATCTTTGTAAACTAGCGGATGTCCTGAATGATAGTTCAATGTTTGTCAGTTAGCATGGTTATTCAGGGACATGCTGTTTGTTCTGTTAGTGAGTTCTGGCGACTCTCGATTAAATGGTTTTAGTGTCCCAGTCATGAAAATTGGGGTCGCAGAGTGACCACTGTCTGCAACTTGACTTTGAAGGATCTGATAGATGTAGTGTTTCGTTGTTTGAAATGGAACCTTGACTGTACTTCTTATCACAATGGAAATAACAGTAGGTATGACATACAGGCTACAACTAAATGTTTGTTTGTAGTTTAACGCCGCACTCAGCAATATTCCAGTTATATGAGGCGGTCTGTAAATAATCGAGTCTATACCAGACAATCCACTGATTGACATTATGAGCATTGATCTATGTAATTGGGACATGATGATATTTATCAACCAAGTCAGCGAGCCTGACCACCCCATCCTGTTAGTTGCCACATACGACAAGCATAGTCGCCTTTTACGACAAGCATGGGTTGCTGAAGACCTATTCTACCATGGATTACAACCGATTGAGTTTCAATGATTCAAGTAACTGTTAGCCACTTCTATAGCCCAAGGTTGCACACAAGGTCATCCTGGATTGTCCAGTGTGTTATATCACCTGCTGTGTGTTGCAGTTCTACCTGGAGGCCCCGAGTCGCAATAAGCAGCTGAAGGCAGGAACGGTGTTCCTATACCAGGTGTTCCCCGGGAACACCATCGCGTGGCAGAGGATGTTCATCCGGGCGGCCAAGGATAATGAGTATGCCATCGTGGAGAAGATGATCTCGTTCTTCAAGGGAACGCCTTCCTTCATCAACTGCAGGGAACCGAAGACCGGGAACACAGCGCTTCACTGGGCCAGTCGCAATGGCCATTATGTAGGTCATGTTTACTATGTTTAGTCTGTTTACTATGTTTACTATGTTTACTGTAGTGAAATCTTGAGGTCTGCACCATACCATTGACAGGTCTGGAGGATTCAAATAAGAAAGTTTAGATGGGATGTACAAATCGGCATTAGAGTAAACGCCTTTATAGAATTACTGTATTCGACATAATAAGCGCCCAGGGTGCTCTCAAAATTAGAAATAGGGGGCTCTTATTAGAATATAATTTTTGTGAGAAAAAAACAGAGTTGAAAGATCGTATATTTGTCGTATTATACAAGAGAGATATATTTTCCAGAATTTAATTGCCCATAATTAAGGGTGCATATAACACATGATTGCGTATTATACACGAATAAACAAGTCGTGTGTACATTGATCAATCAGAAGGGGTGCTAATTGGGATTGTTCACTTGCCAATATATATATAGAGCGGGGAGCTTTTTACATCGAATACAGTAAATGAACAAGAATTTGTAGACAAACAAATATTTCAAGACTTCCAAGAAAACTTTTATCCTTAAGTTTTAATGTTATTACCACATCTTCATTATTCTGCTTAAGACTTAGTAGAAAAAGCAGTGAAACCTTGTACCTTGAATTGACGTGGACCTTTGAAACATTAAGTTATTGGTAGTGTCCTTATATAAGACAATAGAGCCAGATTCTCGTTCCACAAAGCTATTTTATCGCCAAGGTGATCGTAACTCCCATACCTTAACCTAGGTTTACCATCATCATAGTACAAAAATCACTTTGTGGAACAGGGCTCTGGGCGATATGTCAGGATAATGGGCTTCAAGTGAATTAAGTGTAGTACTAGTATTTAATAAATTCCTGCGACTATCATAAGTGTATGGTAAGGTTTCGGACTTAAGACGGTCGTAGCACTAATATTGCTTCGCGTAAGTGGACCCTGCTATGTTGAGGTGTTTCTTTTATAATGCAAGGGTATCAACCCATTTCAGGACATTGTGTATCTGCTTTTGGAGAGTGGTGCCAACATTGATGCCAAGAACAACTTCCGGTGCACACCCCTCAACTCGGCAATCGAAGGCCTGCACAGGAAAATATCCAATGTAAGTGCTTTCTGTATTCCATCAGGGTGATATACTAGATACTGAGTGAGGAAGTTGCATGAACACTTCTGAGAGAGAGAGTTGGGGTTTTTAACACTGCCTATAACAATTTCCCAGTTATATCAGTTTAATGTGTGAGGAAAGCCTAAAAATAATGCAGGTCTCAGATATTTACCACTTTGGTGAAACCCAAGACCTCGTGTATGGTGTTGTCAAACCTACAAACATAATCATGGATGGCGAACCGGGATTTGGACCCACAATCATAGGTTTCTAGTAAAGCTCCTTCCCAGCATGTGACACCTTCGTTACACTCTCGGTAACATCACTGCCACCAGTGTGGGTGCGGCCATTACAAGAATCTTGAATTTGCCCTCTAACTCCAAATGTAGTAACGTTCATACTTTTGTTTATGTCTTTGGGAATGCCATCATATTTCAATTTGAAAAGGTTCGCGACTGAGCATGTTTTCCAGATGAATTTACTTTGTTGTTTTAATGATCAGATTGGTTTGAGATTGCAGACTAACGGAAAATCAACTAACTTCTCCCATACATTCTTACTATATCAATAACACGATAGTTTTAATGAAACAGAAATTCAAATTGACAAACAAAGAAAGTAATTTATCAGCGGTAAGTGTATTCGGTGTCACGATAGTCGTCACTTGTTTGTAAACATAATGGTCATTCGGTTGCAAGTTCAACTCCAAGCATGGTTGTGGCCACCTATCACAGTGGGGAGTTTTGACTGGTGGCAGTGATAGTATAGAGAGCTCCGCGAATGGGCTATCGCTGTGAGGAGCTTGGTTTCTAGTGTGCCCAAGGTATGCAACTCTGCACGGTGAATTGCAACGTCTTAGCTGACTAGACCACCCATGCCACTGAAAGATTCTGAATTAGAATGTGGTTACCTCAGCATCAGAAACGAACGGTTTTAGTCAAGTAGTCCTTATAATGATAACATATAGCAAAAAAAAAGGGCAAATTTCTATCAGTCCTTATGATACCTGATGATTGGACAATTTGGCAAGGACTACAGGACTAGTGCCAATATCTAATGCTGTTACCTGCTGATAACAAACAGACAGTCAGAGAAAACTCACTTGTCATGTGCAAGAGTAGAACAGCTTATTCTTTTAAAAAGGATTTTGTCTCTCAAAGTTGTCTGGGCCAACTTTCATCTTGCCTGGCACACAGCAAGGTCAAGGTATATAGTAAGGGCATATCTGGGTTTGACAAAAATTACTATTTTGATGTTGTACAATACAATTCTATGCTAAGCAGCAATACACTCAACTCTCTCTCACACACTCATGGCATGTGACTGACTGACCGCCACTGTTGTATGTGATGTTGCAGCTGCTGATTGAGTGGGGATGTGACGTCCACTGTAAGAACAGCCGCGCTCAGAGTCCACTAGAGTGTGCCAAGAATGATGACTTCAGGAAATTCCTTATAGGTGGGTGTAGTGAGGCTTGGGAAATTCCTTATAGGTGGGTGAAGGAAATAAAGAACCCTTTCCATATCCAATAGAAATCTCTGCATGAAGCAGTCGATTGTACGATTCCGACTTTATCATGAGCATGTCTTTGTGAATCACTATAAAATAGTAATGATACTAGGTGGTGTTCGCGAAAAGGTGAGCGTATCCTGCCCCATCAGTGGCACCCATCACAAACACATGTAAAGGCAAGTCAATTGTTCACCTGAAAAAACATGTAAACACATGGTACAAGTCAAAATAGGGAATTGCATCGGACATCATTTGGGTCACTGATGTGTCAAATTTGGAAATGTCCACCACTTTTTGAAAGCTTTACTAAGGCTTGGGAAATATCTTATAGATGGATTTAGTAAGGCTTGGGAAATATCTTATAGGTGGGTGTAGTGAGGTTTGGGAAATACATTATAGTAGGGTGTAGTAAGGCTTGGGAAATACATTATAGGTGGGTGTAGTCAGGTTTGGGAAATACATTATAGGTGGGTGTAGTGAGGTTTGGGAAATACATTATAGATGGATGTAGTAAGGCTTGGGAAATACATTATAGGTGGGTGTAGTAAGGTTTTGGAAATACATTATTGGTGGGTGTAGTAAGGTTTGGGAAATACATTATGGGTAGGTGTAGTGAGGTTTGGGAAATACATTATAGGTAGGTGTAGTGAGGTTTGGGAAATACATTATAGGTGGGTGTAGTAAGGCTTGGGAAATACATTATAGGTGGGTGTAGTAAGGCTTGGGAAATACATTATAGGTGGGTGTAGTAAGGCCAGGGAAATATCTTATAGGTGGGTGTAGTAAGGCTTGGGAAATACATTATAGGTGGGTGTAATAAGGTTTTGGAAATACATTATTGGTGGGTGTAGTAAGGTTTGGGAAATACATTATGGGTAGGTGTAGTGAGGTTTGGGAAATACATTATAGGTAGGTGTAGTGAGGTTTGGGAAATACATTATAGGTGGGTGTAGTAAGGCTTGGGAAATACATTATAGGTGGGTGTAGTAAGGCTTGGGAAATACATTATAGGTGGGTGTAGTAAGGCTTGGGAAATACATTATAGGTGGGTGTAGTAAGGCTTGGGAAATACATTATGGGTGGGTGTAGTAAGGCTTGGGAAATTCATTAAAGGTGGGTGTAGTAAGGCTTGGGAAATATCTTATAGGTGGGTGTAGTAAGGCTTGGGATATACATTATAGGTGGGTTGCGAAATATCCCATATGTGGGTGTAGTAAGGCTTGGGATATACATTATAGGTGGGTTGCGAAATATCCCATATGTGGGTGTAGTATGGTTTGGGATATACATTATAGGTGGGTTGCGAAATATCCCATATGTGGGTGTAGTATGGTTTGGGAAATGCCTTTTAATATTGGTTGACTGGCTGACAACATATTCTATGGTTATACTGCTTCAAGTGACCTGTCAACTTTGAGAATCACAACAAACAGCATGTCTCAAAATAGGAATGTTATTAAAGTTGACGTTTCCAACGGGAAGATTATTTGCACACTCAGGGAATCGAAAAACACTGACTCTTGTAAAATCAGTACAACACTCATCTCCTGTAGTAATCTCTAAGGAACTATCACTGAATCTGAGGAACAGTTATACAACACTCTACCTGCTCTGCACACAGGACTCTACGACCACTACTCCACCGTGGTCCCCAAGATCATGAACGGAGATGTGCAAGCGCTGGACGAGGCCATCAAACAGCATGTTACTGGAGAGAAGGAGTTTGTCAGTCTTACCAGCAGGTGGGTGCAAGTCTCATAGTCATGGAGATGTACTCCCCCAAAACTCAGACAGTTTACCAAGCACCTGCACAACATCTGTTTAAAAACCTTCAGTGGAGCCTCATTGTATCATGCGTTTTTGTATCCTTAACATGCACTACATGAAGTCCAAAAGATAAAATTAAGGGACTGGTCATTTATTAAGGGGGGGAGTGGATTAGTGTTAGACAGTATCATATTTTTCTGACTCCTCCATTTTTATGTAATATTATTTTATCCCAACCAACCCAAATGGTTTTATGCTAAGTAATACTGAGCTACTCAAAATTAATTGTATTTCGTTTTAATGATAATAATCTGAATATAAAGTGCATAACTCCATACACAATGTCTGATCGAAGCGCTTTGTTATTATAACCCTGGTAAATGAATCAGTGTGCACATTCTCAGCTCCTTAGGGAGTATACAACCCAAGCAGCCTGTGAGGCACTCGAATGTTGACACTCACATTACCATCTCATCCTACCGGGTACCCATTCACTCAGTGTCAAGCTAACTGGTTAGCAATAAATCTGTTAGACATTGTATGAAAATCTTTTGTCTGATATATCAAAACATATTCAGAGAATACATGGTTCATGCACAAATGATTCCGTGAAGATCTGGGTAAAAAAGTCTTCAGCAACCCATGCTTACCGTAAAAGGCGACTATGCTTGTCGTAAGGGGCGACTAACAGGATCCGGTGGTCAGGCTCGCTGACTTGGGTGATGCATGTCATCGATCGCAACTGCGTAGATCAATGCTCATGATGTCAAACACTGGATTGCCTGGTTCTTACTCAATTATTTACAGACCGCCCTCATATAGCTGGAATATTGCTGAGTGTGGCGTTTAACAACAAACAAACCTAACAATGCTGAATCAGTTCTGTGGTCAATGCATGTTCATTGATAGTTGTCTCCGTAGCTCAGTGTGAGACACGTATGATGCAGTGTACCGACATAGATTGTGTGACTTCTTACATGGTGCTGATGTCACTTCCTGTGCAGGTGCATCAACGGCAGCACGCTGCTGCACACCGCAGCATACTATGGCCATCTGGATGCAGTGAAGGAGCTGCTGCAGCACCGCGTGGACATCAACCTCCAGGACTACAAGGGTGCCACGCCCCTCCACCGCGCCAAGGACCAGGACACCATACAGGTACGTGGACACTCTCACTGTTGCAAGACCAGTGGCATGCAGTGTTGCCATGGCTACACTTTGGCTGTTGTTGAGAGTGATTCAGTGGCTGAGTAGCAAAGACTTAAACCATCAGACTAGTTGCTGTATTCATTGTCAACTTGTTGATTTGTTGATTCTTTCTGGTGAAGATACAGCTAAATATATCAGTGTCAAGACAACAGAGCTTCTTCTACAACCCACATTGGGTCGAAAAGACCCAAGTACCCATGTTTGTTGCAAATGTTGACTAAAGAGAGGACCCGTGAAGATCCAGGGTAAAATAGATCTTCAGCAACCCATGCTTGCCGTAAAAGGCGACTGCTTGCCGTAAAAGACGACTATGCTTGTTGTAAGAGGCGACTAATGGGATTGGGTGGTCAGGCTCGCTGACTTGGTTGATGTATGTCCACGTATCGCCATTGCGTAGATCGATGCTCATGATGTCAATCACTGGATTGTCTGGTCCAGACTTGATTATTTATAGCTGGAATAGTGCTGAGTGCGGTGTCAAACGACAAACAAACAAACAAACTAAAACGAGGATCACATATGACGAGATTGAATGTCATTAGACCCAGACAGCGTGGATCATTGCAGTCTATTACAGGAGTAGTCACAGTGCCGTTGTGGTAGGCCTGGAATATTGTTGACTGTGACATAAAACTTTCTTGACTCACTACAAGCTTATCATCAGTTTATAAGAAGAATGTATGATTCTTTCTGAAAATGGAGGCATTGGTGGCCAAGTCATCCTTTTGGCACACCAGAAACCTATGATTGGGGTTCGAATCCTGTTTGCCTCAGATTATGTTTCTAGGTTTGTCAGCACCATACCTGTGCTTGTGGGTTTCACCTCTGAGACCTGCATCACTTCGGGCATTCCTTCAAACTGACTCGCTGTGATATTACTGGAATACCGTTGAAAGCATCTTCCCGACTCTAAAAGTCCAGTTTCCACCCTTGCCAAACTTGGCTGGAATCTCTGGGCTCAGTCACAACGCCACCAGTGCTATTACGAGTTATGTACCTTCTAGGCCCCCCCCCCCATTGACAATCAGATTCCACCTCTGATATCACTTGTATTTGCTTAATACAAAATGACGGTCTCATCGATAATCAAGATCGATATTGTAATAAAAAGGGCCTTACTTCGCGAGGTGTATCTGAGTACCTTGATTAAAAACATGAAAATATTTGAAAAATATCTGTTGAAGCTAAGTTAACGGTACACATGCATTGCAAATCCTGCAATCGACTGAAATCTGCACGTCAGTTTACCAACCAGATGTTGATTTCGTTACTCGATTTTGATTGGACTACGCAGACTCGTTAGTCCAGCCACAGTATAACTCCATAGTTCCAGCCTAGTTCAGCAAGGCTGCAAACTGGACTTTTATAGTCAGTAAACTCCCTTGCCTTGGAAAGATGAATTGAAAGCGGCATATCACTCACTTTCTGAAAAAGGCTGCTTTTTTTCTTTATTCTGATGATTTGTTTTAAATGATATGTTATGCAATTTATGATAAATGCTTTTCTAATGTGGAATGGTTTGTCAGAATGATCTCTGTGACACAAATGAGAACTTGAGTGTGATGGTAAAGAGGATGTTCTGTTATCCTCTCATTATGTTGCAGCTGCTGCTGGAGCACGGAGCTGTCATCAACGCCGAGGATGCAGAGGGCAACACTCCGCTACACGTCAAGTGTTACGGGGAGTCTGAGAAGCCCACGGAGCTTGGCTGTATCGAGACGCTGCTCACCAAGGAAGCGAATCAGATCAAGAGGAACAACAGAGTAAGCTACTTAAGCACTCCCTCCGCTGGACGCCTCACCGTGTTGCTTTCTTACTTGTATCTTGTTCTTAACAGAGCTACTGATAAGCTTTTTGTTATTTGGGTATTTTACCCAGGGGGGTGATTTTGATTGGGTATTCACAAGTTTAAGAGGGTTTTCAATTTTTTTTACCCACCTGTTTCTTGACATTTAGTTATTTAACTTATTTAAACCTTATTTGGAACCATCCCTGTAAATCATTTAAAACTATATGAATAGTAGTATACCTGTCTGCATCTGCTTGCCGCTCCCTATCCGGGAAGCCATTTTTAAGATACAACATGTTGATTGACAAGGTGTAATATATGCAATCGTTTTATATAATAGTTATAATACACAATAATTTTATTTCAATAGTGGATTTATAGTTTTTGTTGTGTATTTGATACACTAGTATTTGATTTGTCTGCGTATTTCAGTTCATTTAATGCGTATTTTACCCAAATATGCAGCATATCTCGAGCTCTGCTTAAGAATTGACGTCCTCTGTTAAGGGCATGATATGAGTCAGTATCATAAATCCTTATAGTCATTCCTCATGGGGATTTCATGGACAGGATAGATCCCCTGTTCTTCAGGATTGTCACAAGAGCAAACTGAGAAGTAGGGACTTACTTCTCACGATGAATAAACCACTGTTTCTGGCCAAGAGTTGAGTATTTACATACCACAATCACATGCAGTAGAACACATAAAACAAACACAGATAGAGCTAACAAACGGATACAACAAACTGTTGCAAAATGCCCTATTTTCTCCTCTGTCTTATCATATTAACTGTACGTATATAACAAACTCTCTACAGCGAATCCCCGGTTGCGTCCTACCAAAAGACGTTAAAACACGGTACTTGTTGTTACCCTGTCTGGTGCTCGGCATTAAGGGGCTAAAACAATGACTGGTCGCCTAGGAGTCAGTATACTGTGTCTGAGAGGGGAATTCATGTTAAACTGCGGCATGGTATCTCAGTGGGCTAGCACTATAAATCGGCATCAGTCCAGACTAGTACAAGCAGCCACACACACGCATGTCGCTATATAAGTGCGATAATCTTGAACGCGATGTTAAACCCAATTACACTTCACTCTACAGCGAACTAACGTATATAGCAAACTAATATCTGATCCCCGACAAGCCTAAATATCACTAATTAGTGACGTGTATAGCAAACTGAGTATCACTCAGTGTCAAATGTCACTGACAATTGGCTATATGCAATCACCAGCGAATCAACACAATTGGGGTGAATCAACACAATCAGCAGTGACGATTTTAACTTTGTTTAACTTGCTTTGTGTTAATCTTACTCATCTTCCGATCCACTGTGGGGCGGTCGGGTAGCCTAGTGGTTAAAGCGTTCGCTCGTCACGCCGAAGACCCGGGTTCGATTCCCGACATGGGTACAATGTGTGAAACCCATTTCTGGTGTCCCCCGCCGTGATATTGCTGGAATATTGCTAAAAGCGGCGTAAAACCATACTCACTCACTCGCTCCGATCCACTGCTGCACTGTTGAGTATACATGTATTGTAGCCTGTGGTTCTATGTCCAGGGTCTGCTGCCGATCCACTGCTGTGCTGTTGAGTATACATGTGTTGTAGCCTGTGGTTCTATGTCCAGGGTCTGCTGCCGATCCACTGCTGTGCTGTTGAGTATACGTGTGTTGTAGCCTGTGGTTCTATGTCCAGGGTCTCCTGCCAATCCACTGCTGCGCTATGCAGGGACGTATTGATGCAATGCAGATGCTGCTACAGTTCGACACATCGGGTCAGATCACCAACACTCTCAACAACGAGGAGGACAGACAACCTCCCAGCCTTCTCCATCTTGCCATCGCCAACGACTTTGTCGAATGTGCTCACTGGTGAGTGTGTGTGACAGTAACATTTTTAACATTCTTTGGCCAGTATTGCCGCAAGGCTAATCAAGGCCATGAAAATTTAAGAGGTTTGACTTGAGGTCTGCCCTGCCTTACTGATTTGCCCCATGATGTTTCAGGCTTAAATTGGTCTTCAGCAACACTGCTTGTTGTAAGGGTAACTAACAGGACCGGGTGGTCAGACTCTGCAACATAGTTGATGCATGTCATCCTATCCCAACTGCGTAGATCGATGTTCATGATAATCAACAAGCTAACAAACAAATGATTGTCTTGAACAATAGCTATCTCATTATTGTTTTGATGGCTTCACTGTAATATTTGTTTGTTTATTTGTAGTTTGATGCTGCACTCAGCTTATTTATTCCAGGCATATGATGGCAAAATGTAAATAATTAAGTCTGGACCACACAATACAGTGATTGATACTTTGAGCAATGATCCATGCCGTTGAGGTACGAAGACACACAATCAACCAAGTCACCAAACCTGACCACTCAGTCCATTTGGTCAACTTTTCCGACAAGGTTGCTGGGGATCAGATCTAACCCTGAAACCCCAATGAGTTGAATATAGCTGGAATATTGCTGAGTGCTGCATTAAACAAGAAACAAGCAAACATACACTCATTTAGCATACACACAAAAGCCCAGGAATTAACACGCAATGCCTTGAAAAAACCTGGAATTTGCAAAAATGATTATCTGAAGGCAAGCATAGGATAACTGCCTACTACTCAATGTTTACTGCTTGATATCATGTTGTGACATTCAGAAGACAACTGTGTGCCTAAATCCAGTTTACTAGGTCACCTCTGAGCACAGGGTCAGTACAGGAGGTTCGATGGGAGTGGTCTCCCCTTAGATAAAACTGTCCAAGCTCCTTCCCAGCGCGTGACACTTTCGTTACACTCTCGGTATCATCGCTGCCACCAGTGTGGGCGGGGCCATTTCAAGATGCTTGAAATTTGGCCTGTAACCACAAACATATTAACGTTCATACTTTTGTTTATGTCTTTGGAAATGCCATCATATTTCATTTTGAAAAGGTTTACGACGGACCATGTTTTCCAGATGAATTAGCTTTGTTGTTTGTATAATCAGATTAGTTCGAGATTGCAGACAAATGGAAAATCAACCAACTTCTCCCTTCCATTCTTACTATATCAATGACATGATAGATTTAATGAAATAGAAATTCAAATTGACAAACAAAGAAAGTTATTTAGCAGGGGTAAGTGTATTCGGCGTTGCGACAGTTGTCACTTGTTTATAAACATAACAGTCATTCGGTTTGCGAGTTCAACTCCAAGCATGGTTGTGGTCACCTATCACAATGGGGAGTTTTGACTGGTGGCAGCGATAGTATAGAGAGCTCCACGAACGGGCTATCGCTGTGAGGAGCTTGAAAAAACTGTCAAACAACTATTCCCAACTCATTTAATAAGCTATGAGTGAGTGAGTTTGGTTTTACGCCGCTTTTAGCAATATTCCAGCAATATCACGGCTGGGGTCACCAGAAATGGGCTTCACACATTGTACCCATGTCGGGAATCGAACCCGGGTCTTCAGCGTGACGAGCGAACGCTTTAACCACTAATAAGCTATGAACTTCTACTGAAGCTATACCTGTTACACCTGTTACACCTGTGTCGATAGATCATACCAGCACCAGGTAGCAGTGAATCCTGCTGCCATAACCGCAATGTGTAGACATGTGTTTGGTGCATGGCTTTCTTGTCTTTTCTTGTTGACTGTGTGTTGTTATTTCTTCAGGCTGATGGAAAGTGGCTTTGTGTTCAAGGCGAAGGAGACAGACATCTTGATGAGGAGGATCTTGACAGAGCAGATCAAAATGTGAGTCAGTTGAATGGGAAGGTCATTCTAAATAAATGTGGAGAGTGTCGTTCCATATACTGTATTTAGGCTACACTTTTTAATTTTTTTGTTTTACTGATTTATTCCAGCTTTTCCACACAAGATTGGTCGAAATAAAAATAAAAATAAATAGCTATGTCAAGCATTTATTTATTAAATCACAAATAGTTATGTAGGTATGGATTTTATATATAATATTTTTTATTGTATAAGAGGGTTTATATTATTCATGTTATTAGAGAGAGACATAAAAATTTTTTATATTTTTATGTTAATTAATTCCTGGATCTACTTTTCAGTAGGAGCGGTGTGCCTGTGAAACGAAAAAATATAAAATTGTGTGGCCTAAAGTGCTCACAGTATGTATGTCAGGAAGTGTTTAGTTAGGGCTTGATGATGACCTTAATAAGTATGACAGTGAATGCTAGTGATGCGGCTTCTGTAGTGACACATCCTCATCCCTCTGTTGCAGTAACAGTCGAGCCGATGCTGTCAAGTTTCTCCTGGAGTGTGGTGCTGATCCCAACCCTCGCTACCCCGGGGGGAACAGGTGAGGGACGGGGACATGGAACGTGAGACAAGGAAACATAGGTCTAGACCCGTGAAGATTCCGGGGTAGAATAGGTCTTCAGCAACCCATGCTTGACGTAAAGGGTGACTATGCTTGTCGTAAAAGGCGACTAACGGGATCGGGTGGTCAGGCTTGGTGATGGACTTGGTTGATGCATATCATCGATCCCAATTGCGTGGATCGATGCTCATGATATTAATCACTGGATTGTCTGGTCCAGACTCGATTATTTACAGACAGCCGTCATATAGTTGGAATATTGCTAAGTACGGCGTTAAACAACAAACCAACCAACCAAATATAGGTCTACCGTGTCAGTTTGCAACTTTCGCCACTAGGCCAAAGCCTCACTCTAGTAAAATTCTGTCCCGTGTAGAAAATATAAAACATCAACACCAGAGAATAACCAGTCTCGATTATCCACTGAAACAGATTCCTTTGGGCATAAAATGTACAAAAGCAGTGAAAATTATATGCAGGAATCATAGAAAATCAGTGATGACACCAGGTGTTCATGAAAAGGTTAAGCACGTCCTGCCCTACTGGAAGAACCCGCCTCTCACACAATTTGCATAACAAAATAATGTTTGTTTGTTGCCTGATGCAGTATAGCTACTCAGTCTAAAAATAACTTTAAAATCTACTGTAAACGATGCTTTTAGCCAAGTTTGGGCTTGCAGACTCAAAAGATTTTGGCACAGACTAGATTGTATTGGAATGAGATGACATAAAAAAATCAATCTATTCCAACAAGACTTTCAAAATGTTAATGTAATGATGTAGATAAAACCATGTTATTTTCCGATAGAATCTATTCATTTAACAGAATATTTCCATTAAGGTTTTACTTGTGAGGGTATATGTGAGCAATATCTGGAGTATTGATGTTAATTGCTTTCAGTAGAACTCAGTGTGCAATTTTATGTCAGTTTCATTTTCAAATATATGAAACAAACACATCATTTAGGGCTGCATCAACTGATCAGTGACCTGGGGTCAAGCTAAAAGACAAGATTAGCTGGGGAGTGGTCAAGTGACCACATGGTCATTGAATAGGTCATTAGTTCACTGTTGAAGCTAAGTTAGGATGAACAATGAATGCATTTCAGACTTTATTTAAATTTTCTTTTCATCTGTATTCACCTATAACACTCATCACTTACTTGGATCCCAAAGGTAGCATTGTAGCGAGGGATCAGTGTATTTATTTTATTTTTTTAGTGATTATTACCCTCATGTGCTTCCGTATCATAAATATCATATATTAGGAATGATATGAAGAGATCACTGATTAACACAAATATTATATATTAGGAATTGAAAATCTGTACTAGACTTGCCACAGGCTCCCATAATACTATTTTCATTCCTAATACAATGTATATGATATTCATGATACGAAAACACATTTGATTAAAAGAGATGCTGATAGCGTCAAAAATGGCAAAGGAAAAAAATGGATTCCAGGTGTTGATAAACTGGAACGTTTGTTTCAGACACGTTTCCTCTTAGGAGCAAATGAAGAAAGAGAAATGCATAGTGTGAGATGAGAACTGTATATAAATATACAATTACCATATTCAACGTAATAAGTGCCCACAACGATATTTGCTAATATATTGGCCAGTGAACAATCCTAATTAGCACCCCTTCCGATTGATCAATGTACACAAGACTTATATATTCGCATATAATACGCACTCGTGTGTTATATGCACACTAAATTATGGACAATTAAAATGTGGAAAAATATATCTGTCATACATAAACATTTCAGGCTGTCAGCATAAACCACGAAATTTGTCTTTTAACTCTGTTTTTTCCACATAAATAATATTCTAATAAGAGCCCCCTATTGCTAATTTTGAGAGCACCCTGGGCGCTTATTACGTCGAATACGGTAATTGTAAAAATTTTAATTACCTTCTCATCCCCAGTGCCCTGCACTATGCTGCGAGTCTGACTGGTCCCACTGATGTCCTGGAGATGCTGCTGTCGTTTGGCGCCGACGTTGACCAAACCAACAATGAGGGCAGTACACCTCTGTTCTTTGCAACACATGGCAACAACCAGTTTGCCGCCTGTGTCCTCATTGGTCAGGGAGCCAATGTCCGACAGAAAAATATACAAGGTGTGTGATCCTGTCTGATAGACGTATGATTGGCAGTGAGTGAGTGAGTGGGTGAGCGAGTGAGTAAGGGAGTGAGGGAGAATAGACTATGAAATGGTACATTGTCTGTCATCTGTCCTTCTTTCTGTTAACGTTAAACTTAAAGAAATGATGTGATATGAAATATTTTACCTAACAGAAACTGCTTTTGGTATACCAAATGTGGTGATACTTTACTTCTGGATGTGACAGAAATATTCATTTGTCTGTTTTTCTATTGACAGGGCTGTCCGCATTTGACAACATTGTAGACTTTGAGGAGTGGATCGAGTCTGGCTACTTCACTGATGATATCAGGGCAAGACTTCAAGGTACAAGTCATAAGTCTTCCGGGTCTCGAGTCATGTTGCTTATACCTTGGAAACTAATTGTATTGTTAAAAAACTCATGTTAACTATAAAGACCAAAACGTCATCCAATTCTAAAATGACTTCACAATAGTATTTCTCAACTGAAGTATGACAACTTTACCAACGTCTATATTGTATAATCTTCTTGAGTAAGAATATTGTCCTTTTCAGTTTTCACAGTGCACCAAATATTGATGGTTATCAGGCACTGCCTGCATCAATGAAACACACCAATGATGGCATGGTATTTCTTAGTGGTGGGGTGATATACAGATGCATCGGTGGATCGCGATTTTTTCCTTTTTGATACAAGTACCCATCACAGTTGCATACAAAGTAAAAAATTTCGATTCTGACCTTAAATGTTTGCTTTAATAACTGTTCCATTAAACATTAATCAGTAGTGCAGTAGTGCAAGTTAATAGGGAAAAGAGTATAGTTCATGTGTTGAGTGAAAAGGAGGTGTACGCCACTCGTGAAAATATCACCTTTTCCCCCGTCACGAGATGAGAGAAACATTCTATTTCACGAGACACATGGAATATCCTATTTATTATATACTTTTTGTGCAGTTGTCTACCGGAAAATTAAACTTGTTCATTACAAATGTAAAACCTTGAAACGTCAATTCTCCCTACCTGATGCACAGGGACAGTTCACCACCTCTTGTATTTGCCACTTAAAAAGTAGTTTCGTGTTTGCAATATCTTAACAAATATAAACAGTGTGCCAGGTATTTGGCCATCCTGTCTATGAAAAAGATGGCTTACGCACTACAGATAAGAGCACATGCAAGTATCATGATACATGTCAGATCGTGAGTAATGTATCGTGATACGTATCGGATCTCACAGTTGGTGTATCGTCCAGGCCCTAGTATTTCTGCTGTGGATCAATTACAAGTGCAGACACTTGATAAACACACCTTTTGTTGCTTGAGGAATCGTTGCCTATAAAGAACAAACAGTTTCTATAACTCTTCTCTATAGTTGTAATATTAGGGAACAACCATTTGAATTTCAGTAGGGGGTAGTATGGATGGGTGGCTGGAAGAGCTTAGGGGTGGGTAGGGGGTGTAGGGGCTGAGGGGTTGGTGGGGGGTGTAGGGGCTGAGGGGACAGGATATTGGTTTGAGATCAGCATTTGCTTACTAATGTTTAGGAGCTCAATGTTTTCCAACACCAACAGGTGCTCAAATTTTGTTTAAAGTAAATAAAAATAACAAACTGTTTTTATAAGACACTTTAATACACCACTGCAAGAAAAGGGCTTATTTATTGTTTTCCTAATGTTACTCCTCTATGTCAGATGTCAATTATACAATGATTATTTTCAGCCTTCAGTCTGAAACACGCGAGGGACCTGATCCGAGCGATCTCCAAGCGAGTGAAGCCCAATCCAGTGATGATGGCTCGCCAGGACCTCGCCCGGTCAGCTGCGTTGATGTCCCAAGTGTCCAGCAGTCCCATAGCCTGGACACGGTCCCAAATCTCCATCCCATCTGCCGGGTCCCAGAGAAGCCTTCTCCCACCCATCACGCCTGCCATCACCTTCTAGACATTACATGGGTTCATACAGTTGCCATGGTTACACATAGTTGCCATGGTTACAAGCAGTTAAGCATTGATGAGTGATGATTCTTTGTACTACACTGAGCAAGGGGTAACTCTAAACTCATGTTAGTGACTTGGCAAAAAGTATAATTATGTCTTATAGTTATAAGATGGCGAACCAGAATTTACTTCAACATTTATACGGGGAAGAGGTCCAACACCATCTTTCTGCCTTGAAATGAGAAATAGTTTCTTTTTAAGCTGACAGTCATTTCAATTGTTGAGTCCATTCATATTGTTGATAAATATAATTTCTTGATAAGCTATGTGATATGGACATTGTGTCTCAGACACATGATCTCTTCCGTTTCCAAGGGACCTGCACAAATAACCGGTTCCAAAAATGGAATGGTAAAATAATTGCAGCTATTGAATGAATATGCAAACGAGAAAATGAATGACGATGTGGAAGTATATTTAGTATCCATTGTATGTCAATAACATTTTGTTCATGTCTTTGTTTATATTAATCGTTTGATTAATTTGATGCCATCAACGATCAATTTCTTATCACGATCATCCTGGATTGATTTTGATACAGTTCAGGGCCCCGTTCTACAAGTTGCTGCAGAGCTATGTTGTTCACAACTCCTATGCTTTGACACTGACTTTTGACAGTCCTCATACTAAGATGTTGTTTTAACCGGGGCCCTGTACTCGATGTACCTGATGTCTAATGTCGACACTATGACAGGGTTTTGTCCTCCACTATGTACATATCCCACTGCCAACATCTCTGTATTCGGAGGTGTATCATGTAGAGTGGTCTGCTTGACGCCATATATCCAGCATTAGGATATAAAACAGTCAACATTTGCTAAGGATAAAAATAGTCATCTTTAGTCAAAGATGTGATCCTTTGCAAATGTTGAGTAGAATACCTAATGGCTGTTTATTTTGTAAGCACTCATATATATTATGTATATCCTGCTTTGCTCAATAATGTGTGTATATCTGTATGTACTTTGAATATTCAATAATTTTATAAATTATAAACAAATTTACAATGATTGTATCATTGAATATAATATATTCATTATGATGAACTAATATTGATATTATATTTTTACTATATATGGAACAGGGCCATATACCAAGCCCAAATACATATATCATTCCTTCTTGCCAAATTTTACTTCTGAATTACTTCATACCAAAGAGTGTGCATGTTTTAAAATGGTTGCTTTCTGCTTGTGAAAGAATGTTGCATAAGATTCAGTACGAAATAAACTAGAATAACATTCCCATCGAAATCCTTTCATTAATCTGGGTGACTGGAATTTTTCACCCAACAGACCTGGATTTTTAACAAAAAAGTCTGTTAACTTAGAAATATTAAAGTCGAGGCAAAGACTATTCCTGGTCAATTATGTTGATGCAGTGGACTTCGAGCGAACCAGTTGAGTAGGGCAGTGTGTGAAGATTGGAGATTCATAAATAATTTGGGAGGTGCTTATCTAAAATAAAACCAAGCACTGGTAACTTTTGGATACCTGTACTCATTTTTGGTCTATCAGTTTCACAATTGTTTTCATGGGACCAACATTGGTTTCATTATTTCCAGTTTATTGAATCAGTTCAAATTAGTTGAAATATTTACTTCTGTGTTCAAGGTTGTTTTTTTACATATGCTAGGGGGCACGGGTGGCCCAGTTGTCTAAGGCGCAGCAATTCGCTGTGCAGAGTTGCATCCCTTGGGCATACCAAACACCCCAATTATGTTCCTAGGTTTGTAAGAACCATACCTGTGCTCATGGGTTTCACGTGAACGCAGAGTCAAACATCCAAGACCTGCATCACTTCGGGCTTTCCTCCCACTTTAAGCTGACATTCTGTGATATAACTGGAATACTGTTAAAAGCGGTGTTAAACCCAACTCACTCATTCACATATACTACTCAAAAGAAGTTAAAGAGTACCTGATTTTTTCATATGACTATAGTCAATCTGTCCTGAATTGACATAAATCATGGCATTGCAGGTTCTCTCGAGTCATAAGAAAAAATGAATTTCTCTTAAGTACTATAGATGAACTATCCTGTGATAATCCTGTGTTCAAGCAGCCTGAGGGGGCACGGGTGGTCCAGTCGTCTAAGGCGCCGCGATTCGCTGTGCAGAGTTGCGTCCCTTGGGCACGCAAGAAACCAATGATTGTGGGTTAAAACTGGTTCGATCCAATTATGTTTCTAGGTTTGTCAGCACCATACCCGTGCTTGAGGGTTTCAGTGAAGTGGTAAACGTCTGAGACCTGCATCACTTCTGGCTTTCCTCCCACATTAACCTGCCGTGATGTAACTATAATACTGTTAAAAGCGGCGTTAACCCCAACTCACTCACTCACGCAGCCTGAGCATGATTCTCTGAATGTTAGTTACATTGTATATCAACAGCTTCATCCTCTCTTGCATCCATCACTGGCTGGAGTGATAGGAATTGTTTTGTAAATGGATTTCGTCAGGAATTTCCTGTTCAAAGAACGAATTGTGACGAATGGAAAACTGAATTTCCCTGATGTATATCATCCAACCTTAAGAGTAATGAAGTGATGTCTTGTTTTTCTTGAATTCATATATCTTATACTTTTTACAAGTGTGCTTTAATTGCACCACCAAACTTCCGTCGAGTAATAAACTAGGTTTTTTGCCATGAACGTGTCTTTATTTATTTTGAGTACACCTATTACACCAGATGTTAATGTGGGTCACACACACCTTGAAATAAACAGCCACCTCAGAGCCTGTAGTTCATCCAAATTAAATACTTTAGCCTTGATGGAAAGCACAGTAATAATGGAGTATAAAACCCATGGTGCTGTTTAGGCTAAGTCACATTACCATCTAATCCTACTAATTACCCATTTACTGCTGGGTGATGAGGCATATTTCTAACAAAGTAACATGCCTAAGGAGATAAGATCTGATGTAGAATAGGTCTTCAGCAACCCATGCTTGCCATAAAAGGTGACTATGCTTGTAAGGGGCGACAAATGGGATCGGGTGGTCAGACTCATTGACTTTGTTGATGCATGTCATCGTATCCCAATTGCCTAGATTTATGCTCATGATGTCAATCACTGGATTGCCTGGTCCAGACTGGATTATTTGCAGACCGCCGTCTAGCAGGAATATTGCTGAGTGCGGCATTAAAAAACAAACAAACAAAACAAAGCCTAAGGAGACACCACATTTACCATGTGCTTCAGTATGTGGCACCCAATGTTGCTCAACTTCACCCGATTTGTGATCTGTGTGCTGTACACAGGAACATGTACTATCACAATGAGTCACAATGAGTCACAGAGTCTCTTTGTCACAAGAGGCGACTAATGGGATTGGGTGGTCAGGCTCGCCGACTTGGTTGATGCATGTCATCGATCCCAATTGCGTGGATCAATGCTCGTGATATCAATCACTGGATTGTCTGGTCCAGACTCGATTATTTACAGATCGCTGTCATATAGCTGGAATATTGCTCAGTGCAGCGTTAAACAACAAACAAACAAACAAACACAGAGTCTCCACAAGGTTCCCATCTTAATTTCTTCTTAACACCAGGTACTGGAGACAACTCTGATCCACAATTCCCAAGGGTTCTGACAGCACATTTTGAGACTACCATACACAGTCGTGTCCATAGCAAAAACAATAAAACTGATCTTAATTCTTCATATTTTATGATCAAGAGATGACTTTTGTACAGAGCAAACAATGTCTACAAGCAAAGGGAAACATAACAAAATACAAAACATATGCACATTTCTAAAACGATAGGTTTACACAATGTAATATTGACAATGTTCTAATATACAATGCAATAATGAAGGTTAAAATGTCACTTCCTAATATCTGATGAAGCAAAGCATTCAACATCAATGTACCCATGTAAAATGAGTATTCCCACAAAAAAAAGTACATTACACAGGCAGCAATATGAATGGAAAGCGCCAGCCTTGTTTGTGCTGTCAAAGGCCTTTTAACAGGCCACTGTCATGTTCTTGCTGAGTCAGCATGAGGATAGAAACATGGAGTCAACACCTTATCCCCCATAGCAGCAGCAGCAGCAGCAGCAGGATTCGTTGTAAAGGATGAAACTTTCTGCTGTAAACAGATCCATATCTTCGATACCTTCACCTGTTCCTGAGAATCTTGCTGAATTCCAAGAATATTTGGTCAAGCTTTTGTTGGGATGACAGGTCATCTTGTAAACCCACCAGGTTCTCCCTTGATACAACCTCCATGTCGTAGGATGATGGTGAACAAAACTGACATTATTTACGAAATGACATTAGACGTCAAGGCTTTGCTTCATCTCGAGCTTAAGAAATGACCATAACATGGAACACGTGGTTAAATGATAATGACAGGCATGGTGCGAAATCATCAGCCACCACCCACACAAACCTGGAGCTGCTCATCCTCCTCCTCCTCCAGAGTTTGGTCCTGATGTGGCCACTAGAAACATTACCTGGTCTAACCAGTCTCATACTGGAGTCTACATTCACCTTAGAGAGGCACTAGGCTCGGTAACAGTGCAGTCCTAGCAAGTCATTTTAGTACACTATTTCCAGCTGATCTGGTACATACAATCTAACAATACCTGGTTACTCTTGATTCCGTGCACAGAAGGCAGACATAAGGCTGGAGACTGGAGATGGGCACATGATATACTGAGCTAACAGTGAAAAACACAAATAAATGCCTTAACTTATGTGAAGATTTGCCATTTGCACTTTCATTGTTCTCATTACAACCATGTCCCGAAAATTAGTAATTAGTAATCTGATTTATGTTCTGACAGGAATTCCGGTGTCACCAAAAAGAAACAGGAAGATATATCATTCCATTTGATGACAGGAATGACATCAACAGAACACAAACCTGTCTATGAAGAGTGGTTCTTACCTCAGTCTTACATAACAGTGATGGCAGTTCATTCAGGTACGCAAGATCAGTATGAGCTTTGGTAGGATAAGGCTGAACACATTAATAGTCTTCGTTGAGGGACAGTTTGTATATATTGTGTAAAACTGTAGAAATGCCATAAACAAAAAAAATAATTGATACGTTTGAAAACGTCAAAACATTTCTAGAAATATTAATATTGAGATAACGATAAAGCTAATTACACTCTTGCGACATCCGTGGTGTTCGTCTTTGTGTCTCTCGAACCACACCTACCTTCCTAGGCTGGTACTACAGCATCCCGATCAGGTTCAGCTGACATGTTCTAACAGCTTGTACTTACATACGGGGTAGGGTTTACACACCACCAACCTGAGCACAAGGAACTCCTACCTGACTGTCTTTCCGAACATGATGCCTCTACGGAAAAAAGAGCAAGTACAAAGTTGAGAAAAGTATATACTCACTCCCAGCTCTTATGGAACATCTGCAGTGTTACTAGGAGACATTTACATGCATGTAGATCATACTGTGCAGTGAGACCTGTTAACTCAAGCATCAGCAACACTCAAATATATCCAGTTATCTGCAGTTTGAGACAAGAGTGTTGATAGGAGGGCTCAGTGCTGTATTTGTACCATAAAGGTTACATTGTCTGATGTAGAGTTAACCAGGTCTTACTGGGTTAAACAGTCACATGATCGGGCTCCAGTCACTGAACAGTCCTGTCACAGAGTCATACTACCATGTCTTGCCAAGGAATACTTGGTCTCAAGCATCAAACCTGTTCTTTAGAGCTGTGTGTTGCGAGTTCATTGAATACCAGGGTCTTTAACAAAATTATTTGCTTCATAATACCAGTATTTGGGAGACGCTGGAAATGTGGGTTACTTGCTTCATGGAGACAAATAATTGAGTCAGTTGTTAATGTTGCTTTAAACAGTAGTTTAGTTATATCATGTCAGATAGATGTGAGAGTGAGTGAATGATTGAGCTGGGTCGGGTTGACGTCGCTTTGAACAGTATTATCATGGGACATCAGCTTAATGTGGGAGGAAAGTCCGAACCAATGCAGGTGTTTGAAACCCAGGATCACAGGTGTGGTACTGACAAACCTAGAAACATATTCAGGACAAATCTGGGATTGAAGCTCATGGTCCTAGGTTTATGGGATGCCTAAGGGACATAACTCTGCATAGCAAATTGCGGCATCTCAATGACAAGGCTACCTTTGCCCCTTGGAGGAAAATGTGGAGTGGAATTGGGCTGAAGTTGTTTTGAATAAGGGAAGTATTCAACTGATAAGTGATGCAGTTCTGAAAGTGTTATAAAGCATGAACAATCTACGTTGTCTCGGCACACCGACACACAACAGCCAGCAACAGCCTGATCCTAACTCTGTTCTTCACAAGTATGGTGTTGTAATCATCCATTCTGCCCCATTCTACAATTTCTAAAACACTACTGCTCAGATCATACAAGTTTCATTTCAGGATGGAGACAAGAGCATGTCAGAACAAATTCAATACGATTCACTTCAGGTAAGCTACAAAAACACTGCGTGTAACCTCTAACCATAGGTCCCCTGCACTCCTATGCTGATCATAAGAAAGGCTGCTAAAGTTGACCAGGTGATCAAGCAGTCATGTGGTCTGTGACCTGGCTGACTGTGCCCCAATGGTATCGCACATCCCTCATGTTGCAAGTCATTGGTTTGCATGGTCCACAATGCGTTCTTAGAGCCAACATGATCGTAACGGCCATACTTTTCTAAAGGCTTACGATAGGCATAGCACCATGATCGCTTTGTGGAACGGGCCCAGGCTGATGATTGCCAGGCCGCAGAATATAGCTGTAATACTGCTGAAAGGGGCGTAAAACAACAAACTGGTCAGTTTTCACATATCAAGCATGATGCCCTGGGTCTCTGTGACAGACTATTGAGTGACTGTAGCCATACCACCCTACCTTCAGGCTGACCATGTCGACACGGTTCCACAGCACCAGGGGTCCAGAGTTAGTAAGTGGAGACAGGCAAAACAAGGGCCCTGCTGGTCAATGGTTGTCAGGGGTTGTAAACTGTCTCATCAGGGTACCTTCACTGATTCAGCACATTCACCGATGCTCAAGGTATTCTCACACATATGAAACTGATTCTGCACAGCTTCATGTCAGAGACGCTCCATTTACCAATGTAACCTAATGTGCATAAAGAGTCTCACAAACTTGACTCTTACTCCATCAATACCTACGCTTTAGTGTCATGACAAAATCTCAACCATAAACATGATAGTGATTCAATAAAGTCAGATGTTTGAATTATTGTGAAAGGACAATATATACTGTACAAAAACAGTGATCAAAGTTTTGTAACAATTTCAATGAGCATTCTCAACATACAATTGGGTTAATTTATTCATCAATGGACAAAATTGTCTTTGATTATAGAACAATCTGCTATTGTCCTGATCTGGATGCATGCGGGTACTGGATCTATCTCCCAGGCAACAAGCCCCATTGCCAAGGAAACACTATAAATACAACTGAAGAAATACATAAAAGAATCTGTTCTCACTCAGACTACAATCACCAAAATGGCAATTTTCACTGTATTGTTAAAGTAACATTAACAGACCTGACTGCAGTTGAGAAATATGTCAACTTGACAGAACCAACACAGCTGGCCTTCAAGACGGATTATTGTTCAGTGTCTGTTCTGGATTAATAAAATTTCAAGTCAAGTCCCATCTCTCATCGTTACAGACAGAGCTGCATGAAAATGTTCGCTTCATGATGAAAAACATATCTCATGATTACGTAGTAAAACTGCAAGACCAATTTATATCTTTATATTTCTCATTCTAATATTCATTAAAACAGGCACATCAATTTCTTTCTTCATTTCTAATAGGTCTTGCAGTGACAACTTGCAAGCACATTCTTTCATTATCATACGCATGATGAATCTAAACAAGATCGTCCTGATCAATAATGTTGAAATAGACATACGACAAACATTCGCAGACTTTCATCTTCCGTGCCACCCTGCTGCCTTGGCGTCCAAAGCTCTAACATGTAATGGGCAATGGCTGTGAAATTCCTGTTGACAGTGTAGATTCACTGTAATATGTCATGTAATACATAAGTGAGGAGGAGATCTGTGTGGCTGTTTCACATGACTTCACATCTGTCTTCTCCATCACATCCCTCGTCGTCTCACCACCGTCTGTAACCACGGCCACGACCTCGGTTAAAGCCTCTGTATGATCCTCGTCCACGACCTCGGCCGCCCTGACCTCCTGGACCTCCTTGACCTGAAGTAATAATAGAGAGACAGAATAAGTCGCAAGGACAAAAATTAATGCATAGTATTCAAGGAAGTATTGTCTTCTTGTCGTGTTTTCTCATAAGATGTTGGGTTTGAATCAATACATCACTGTAATAAGCATCTTTACTGCTGGATGTCAGATAACAAAACCCAGTGGTAGAAACTAAAATTTTTAGTCCACTGGTCCTTATAATAACATATAGCAAAAATGGCAAATATCTACTAGTCCTTATGATAGCTTAACTATTGGGAAGTTTGCCAAGGATTACAGGACTAGAGTCAATTTCTAATGCTGAAACCCATATTAATTTATAGTTTCTTCTAATAATCAAGACACAAAGAGAGTAGAAATAATTAACCTACAGTAATAGAACCATGATAACGAGTAAAGAAGCCATATTTGAAGCAAATCCTCCAAAAACCAAAATGTACTATCATTACACTTTTAGCCATCAGTCACAATTACCTTGTGGGAAGGTACCAGCTTTTTCACTGAACTTTCCACCAGGAGGAGAGTAGAGTTGTCTCCCCTGTTTGTTCACTTTCTTTCCTCCCGACCCATCCGAGTCAAATGTGATTGGAGTGATTCTCTTCTGGCTGCAACATCAATGGACAGACATGAAATACACCTTGGAGTACATTCTGGGACCAATCTCTGGGAACACAGTCCTCTCACTTACCGCAACGCAGCACAGCATCTAGCAAACAGCCATTATTTACATCAGTATCATGACACAAAGTTCTTTATGGTTGTGCCTCCTCATTAAACGATCAAATAATTTGATGCAATTCTTGTTAGTTCATATATCATTTCAGGAAGTGACACTCTTAAGATGCTTATACCACATTGTATTTCCATGGAAACTCGAGCCATCAATTGATTCAGATGATGAATGTTTTAGTGTTTCCATAGACAAAGCTTTCACAATTGCATGAATCAAGCAAAAACAAAACAATACAAGAGGTTGTTAATGTATTGATTCTTGTTTGTTGCAAACGCAACACTCAGCAAATATTCCAGCTATATGGCAATCCGTAAATAATCGAGTCTGGACAAGGCAATCCAGTGACTGACATCATGAACATGATCTACACAATTGGGATATGATGACGCATCAACCAAGCTGGCGAACCTGACCACCCGATCCCATCTGTCGCCTCTTACAACAAGCATGGGTCCCTGAAGACTTATTCTAACCTGGATCTTCATGGGGCATTTTTAATTTTGAAGGGAAACCCTAGTCCACTACTTTAGTTATAATCAAGGACTCACCTTGCAGCGCCATTGGCAGCGTTTGTAGTCGCAGGTGCTGCTTTCTGTTGATCAACCACAATCTCAATTACACACAAATACATACATCAATGACATCCTAGCCTGTATATAGAAAGTGAAAAAATGTGTGTGTGTGGCTGCTTGTACTAGTCCAGACTAAAACTGATCTGATAGTGCTAGCCCACGGAGATACTATGCCGCAGATTAACATGAATACGCCATTCAGACAAATATCTTGACTCCGAGCCGAACAATCCTTGTTTTATCCCCTTAATGCAGAGTGCAGGCAGGTTAACAACAAGTACCATTTTTTAACGTCTTTTGGTAAGACGGAGGTGGTCACTGCATATTGTGGTCAATAAACAACTGCTCAGTTTGTCATTTAATACAACACTCTGCAATATTCCAGCTCTAAGGCATTGGCCTGTCAATGATTGAGTCTGGACTGGACAAACCAGATATTGATTTGAGCACCACCCACTGGGGTACAGTGACACGCAATCAATTAAGTCACTGAGTGACCACCCAGTCCATGAAGCTCCTCTCCCATCAAGCACGGATTGCTGGGGACTTTCTGGAACTTCCCATGTACAGAGAAAACCAATTAGTCCTGGACCTTTTACATTCTGGACGATTCAGTTCCCTACATTTAATTACACCATCATCATAATGATTCATTTATACTTGTTAATCTGGATGATTTCACTGGGTTTGTATTGTGCAGATAAACAGGGTTTCACTGTACACAGCCATGGTTGAGGGATCTTACCGTGATGGGTCTCCAGGAGAGGGTGATACAAGCTTTGTAAGATGGTGGGTTGTGGAACAGATCCTTGATCAGTGTGTTGATGTTGGAGGTAATCTTCAGTGCCACAACCTTGATTTTGTTCTGTAAACATCATACAGAAAGGTAGGGAAATGAAGACAATGTTACCTGTTAACTCAACATATGTTGAGTACAAATCAGTGGTCATCAAAGTCATTGGGCGAGATGGCTTAATGCTGCTTTGAACACTGTTTAGGTTATACCATGCTGTGTCCGCTTTGTAAAGGGGGTTTAAGGTTGCAAATGTTTGCTGTAACCATTGTAACAGATACGGATGACTATTGGGGGTATTTTCACTATTGCGATAGTATTGCAAAAGTACTTCACATTATTCCCAAAGTATTGTGATAGTTTTTATATTACTGCAATCATATTAAACCAATCATAATAATATTAATCAATGTAATAGAAATGAATAAAGTATTGCTGACAATGTCAAAGTCAGCCATTTTCCAACATGGCATTACTCAAACAAAGGGAAGTAACTCTAATCTAAAGTAATCCTTGCTAATAAACACACAGCAGGTTTGACATTTGACTGTAAAAACCGACTTATAATAAGGGATGGTGCTGACAAACCTAGAAAAATAATCAAGGCAAAATCAAAATTTGCACTCATTATCACAAGCTTCTGGCATGCCTCCGACAACTAGGCGCCCTTGTGGTCTCCAAGAATAGACTGTAGAAGCCATGTGTAGCTTGTGACACTACTCACCTCCTCTGTCTTGAGCGTCTCTCCAGTCTTTCCCTGCAGTGCTGCTCTCAGCTGCTTGATGTACACCTGCACACCCCGGGCAAAGTACTGTAACCTGGAGAACAACACCAGGCTCAGTACAGCTCATCACATGGTCATAATCATCATCTCTATGGACAACAAGACTTGCACCATACTCATTAAGCTGTTTCAGTGTAGGCTTAGTTATATGTCCTATCGTTGCATGATGTGAATGTCTGGATGTAGTTATTTGCTGTAAAGTTTTCACTGAAAGTTCTGACCAGCAACCTCACAAGCCCACAAAATCTGACAAATATAAAAGTGGGGAAAACTGCTGAAAAATTTATATATTATCATACAAAGTGTCTGACAACCAGCATGTTTTTTACAGCTGTTAATGAACTTTTATCTTTTTCACCAACCACACTAATACATAGCTAAAGCTAAGCTGCATGAAGTGGCTGATATTTTTCAAACCTGGCTTTGAGCAAGTCTGTGACCCAAGACAGAATTTTCACCAAATGGCTGAACTGAAAGTATCATTCGATATCAAATACATGTGTATCGGTTTGGGTCAAGGTCTCAATCTTAGAATGACAGTAAGTAATATACAGAATAATGTTCATCATGAATGAATGCTGTAAGTCCCTCACCAAAGACTCAGGATTCACACCATTTGTTCCCTCAAGACAGTCAATCTGTAATTCCTCATAGCGTGTTGGTTATTCTCTAATGGTTTCATGTCATGTCTACCTTATCCTGAAATCTTTCAGCCTCTCTGCATTGCCTTCATCTGTGAGGAACTCTGGACTCTTCCTGGCCAGCTGATGGAAAGCAAACATCAAGCATTCCACGAAGGAGAACTTGAGCTTGGGCTCCTCATTAGATGACAGCTCGTCGTTTTCTTCTGATGGTGGTAATGGCATGTATTCCTGGAAGAGACATTTCACAAGTGTTCTTACAGAACAATGTACCACACATACCTATCCTTTCTTCATGTAAATATTTCCTTAATCATGTTAATCTAAAATCTCAGCTGTAGCTTTTTATAGTTTCTTTGTTTCTTGTTTACCATCACACTCAGGAATATTTCAGCTATATAACAGCGGTCTGTAAATAGACAGGTCTGGACCAGACAATCCAGAGATTGACATTATGAGCATAGATATACGCAATTGGGATATGATTACATGATCAACCAGTCCAGTGGGCCTGGCCACCCAATCTCATCAGCAGCCTGGGTTGCTGAAGACGTGAAGTGAAATGGGGTTTAACGTCGCGTCGATGTGCATGCACATGTGTGTTTGTACTCTACGGACTAATGCCAAATTTATAGTGCTAGCACACTGAGATACCATGCCGCAGTTTAACAAAGATACCTCTCTCAGACACAGTAAACTGACTCCGAGCTGACCAGTTCTTGTTTTTAGCCCCTTAATGCCAAACGCCAGACAGAAAAAAATATAAATTCTAAAAAGTCCTAAACAGCAGAAAGCACCAGTTGACAACCTGGTGTTTCTGTGTGCAATGTTCATGAAAGAATACCTATTAGTTTTAGAGATCGTATGTGCATTAGTGCAAATATCACTTCACACGCACCAGCGTATTGTTTACGTCATTTGGACGGCATTGTTGTCATTGAAATGTTAATGTGATGTAGGTTGGAAGAACGTCACACTAGAAACAATATCTCAGATGAAGATTGTTGATGTCATTCATCAACTGCGATCGTGATCGGTACATTTTTTCTAAAGGGGAGTTCAAAAGGATTAAGAAAGAACTGTGTCATACTGATTTTACGAAATGAGTGTAGGAATTCATGTATTACCCTCATACTTGCTTGGGAAATACAAGAATTCTGACACTCGTTTTGTAAAATCAGTATGACACACATGCTCGTAATAATCTTTATAAATGCGATGTTAAAAAAACATCTGAAATTATGTAACCAAGAACTTTAAAAAATACTGGTTTTTTTCCACTAATAAACAAACACTCACCAGTAACCTGTCAAACACCTTCTCCAGTCGTTCATCGGTTTTCTCTATGTCCCCACTGAACTCTGAGATTTCTGCGAAAAGTTTGAGCATTTCCAGCTGAATGTTGACATCTTGCTCAGGACTGGCCAGGCTGGACAAGGATGGCAGCACATTGTCACAGATGTAGCCAACAAAAGCTTTGGAATGAACATTTTTCTGTAATATCAAAAACATACACATCTCAATTCATATACTTAATACATGATTGGTACAATGTGTGAAGCCCTATTCTGCCCCCCCCCCCCCCCCGTGATTTTGCTGGATTATTGCCAAAAGCAGCATAAAACCATGCTCACTCACTCACTAATAGTCATGAGGATTCATGAGTCATAAGTTCATATTTCCAACAAGCTCACATTAGTTTCAATTTCACATTGTTTCAAAACTTAAAACATGTTTAATCTTATTGATGAACACTTTGTTTCCACTTATTACTTTAACATAACAATTTGTCACTTCTATATAAAGCCTACACCAAGAACAGTTATGTCATGTGTTTGCCTTGCTATGAGATCTACCGTAGTACCCTGCTCTAATAGAAATACAACCCCAACCTCTATTCTAAGGTGAGTTGAAATGGGGTTTAACATGATGTCATCATGTTCAAGATTATTTCACTTTTATAGCAACGTACATGCATGTGGCTGCTTTTACTAGTCCAGACTGATGCCAGCCTCAAAGTTCTAGGCCACTGAGATACTAGGCTGCAGTTTCACAAATGCCCCCAACTCAGACACTTAATCTGGACTCCAAACCGACCAGTCCTTGTTTTATCTTTTTAATGCTGAGCTCCAGGCAGGGTAACAACAAGTACCATCTTTTATATCTTTTTGTATGATGCGTCCAGGGGATTGAATCACGGACCTTCCACTCTCCAGACAGATGCTCTATCAACTAGACCTAGGCGTCAGTAGTTCTTAAAACAAGTTCTAAAATTCGCCCCGTTTGTAGTTTTTATTGTGTTAATAAGATAACAATGTATTCAGAAGCTTAACCCCCTGGATGCTGAACACCTGGAACCAAGTCTACAGTTAGGCGGGAGGAGAGGTACTTACAGAGAACAGGGGGATGGCAGTTCGGACACACTGCATCAGGCGGTCTACACAATCTGTGTCGGTCACCTGCAAGTCCAAATACAACCATAACACACCAGGAACAAACACAAAGGCATTCAAAGTGACTTGACACAAACTCACATGTATGTCCACAGATTAATTCAAGTAAGAATATCTTTTAGAAAATGACAACTTTTTTTCACAAAAACAAGAGCAAGAAGCATGAGTGCTGTGGAGACTGGCGTGCTGTTGCAGTGTTTACGTATAAAAGTATATGCAGTCTTTAACAGGCATTTAGAAGTTGGAAGGACATGACATGAAGCCTTTATGGATAGCTTCTTTATTGTTTGTAATGACACTTCAGGGCTTCTTGCCCCTTCATCAGGTGAATTATTCATCTGGAATCTCAGAATTCAGAGGGGACATAAGAGAAAACCAATGAATAATTCAACTGACGAAGGAGCAAGAGGTACCCATGAAACGTTACAAAGAATAAAGAAGTTGTTGTCCATGGAGGTATCATATCTTGATATGTATGATGTGCTGCCTACTTCCAACGCTTGTCCGAGCTCTGCCTGCTCCGTGACGATGTCCACCAGCTGCTGCCTGCCTTGGACTGTGCTCATCACCCGCAGGTTCCGCAGGATGTCCATCACCGCTATGAATTCATCCTTCGTCACATCATCCAGTACCTGCAGGCAAAATAGCAAATACTGTCCTACTCAGGAAACTTATCAGGACTGATTCAAGCCTAACTCTAAACAGACAGATAGAATGGTGACTATAAGGATATCTAATGGAAACTTTCAATAATACAGAGGATTTACTCCATATGTCTTGTTTGTTGATATTCCAGCTATATCATGGCAGGATGTGCATAATCAAGTCTGGACCAGACAATCCGGAGATTGATATTATGAGCATTGATCCATGCCACGGTAGGAGTTTGATCACATGCCATCAACCAAGTCAACAAGCCTAACCATCTTTTACAACCAGGATGATAGCTTGGGACTAATTCTAACCTGCAATCCCCACAGCGCTTCTATATGTCAAAACAAGGTACAACAGGAATGTGTCAGTGAATGTTTAATGTTGCAGCCAGCAATATCATGAGTAAAGATTCATGTTGGAGGGACCAAGGAAACCTTGTGAGGCAGCTCAAAATGAGTTTAGCATCCATTGCAGCTACAATAGATTATAAAGAATGACTTCACATCAAACCAAATGACAAATGACTTCAAATGGATACCAAATCTCAAATTGTACTTAACATGCTTAATGCATTGATAAACGTCACAAGTTATCTTCCCTGTTGTCAGACACACCTCTCACAAGTAGACCCTGCCTAGTGCTACACTCTCCTCCTCTTGTCAGTCACACATCTCACAAGTAGACCCTCCCAGTGCTACACTCTCCTCCTCTTGTCAGTCACAGCTCTCACAAGTAGACCCCTCCCAGTGCTATACTCCCCTTCTCTTGTCAGTCACAGCTCTCACAAGTAGACCCCTCCCAGTGCTACACTCTCCTCCTCTTGTCAGTTACAGCTCTCACAAGTAGACCCTCCCAGTGCTACAATCTCCTCCTCTTGTCAGTCATAGCTCTCACAAGTAGACCCCTCCCAGTGCTACACTCTTCTCCTCTTGTCAGTCACAGCTCTCACAAGTAGACCCCTCCCAGTGCTACACTCTCTTCCTCTTGCCAGTCACAGCTCTCACAAGTAGACCCTCCCAGTGCTACACTCTCCTCCTCTTGTCAGTCATAGCTCTCACAAGTAGACCCCTCCCAGTGCTACACTCTCCTCCTCTTGTCAGTCACAGCTCTCACAAGTAGACCCCGCCCAGTGCTACACTCTCCTCTTGTCAGTCATAGCTCTCACAAGTAGACCCCTCCCAGTGCTACACTCTCCTTCTCTTGTCAGTCACAGCTCTCACAAGTAGACCCCTCCCAGTGCTACACTCTCCTCCTCTTGTCAGTTACAGCTCTCACAAGTAGACCCTCCCAGTGCTACACTCTCCTCCTCTTGTCAGTCACACATCTCACAAGTAGACCCCTCCCAGTGCTACACTCTCTTCCTCTTGCCAGTCACAGCTCTCACAAGTAGACCCTCCCAGTGCTACACTCTCCTCCTCTTGTCAGTCATAGCTCTCACAAGTAGACCCCTCCCAGTGCTACACTCTCCTCCTCTTGTCAGTCACAGCTCTCACAAGTAGACCCCTCCCAGTGCTACACTCTCCTCCTCTTGTCAGTCACAGCTCTCACAAGTAGACCCCTCCCAGTGCTAAACTCTCCTCCTCTTGTCAGTCATAGCTCTCACAAGTAGACCCTGCCCAGTGCTACACTTTCCTCCTCTTGTCAGTCACACCTCTGACAAGTAGACCCTGCCCAGTACTACACTCTCCTCCTCTTGTCAGTCACAGCTCTCACAAGTAGACCCCTCCCAGTGCTATACTCTCCTCCTCTTGTCAGTCACAGCTCTCACAAGTAGACCCTCCCAGTGCTACACTCTCCTCCTCTTGTCAGTCATAGCTCTCACAAGTAGACCCCTCCCAGTGCTACACTCTCCTCCTCTTGTCAGTCACAGCTCTCACAAGTAGACCCCTCCCAGTGCTACACTCTCCTCCTCTTGTCAGTCATAGCTCTCACAAGTAGAACCTGCCCAGTGCTACACTCTCTTCCTCTTGTCAGTCATAGCTCTCACAAGTAGACCCCTCCCAGTGCTACACTCTCCTCCTCTTGTCAGTCATAGCTCTCACAAGTAGACCCCTCCCAGTGCTACACTCTCCTCCTCTTGTCAGTCACAGCTCTCACAAGTAGACCCCTCCCAGTGCTACACTCTCTTCCTCTTGTCAGTCATAGCTCTCACAAGTAGACCCCTCCCAGTGCTACACTCTCCTCCTCTTGTCAGTCATAGCTCTCACAAGTAGACCCCTCCCAGTGCTACACTCTCTTCCTCTTGTCAGTCACAGCTCTCACAAGTAGACCCCGCCCAGTGCTACACTCTCCTCTTGTCAGTCACAGCTCACACAAGTAGACCCCTCCCAGTGCTACACTCTCCTCCTCTTGTCAGTCACAGCTCACACAAGTAGACCCCTCCCAGTGCTACACTCTCCTCCTCTTGTCAGTCACAGCTCTCACAAGTAGACCCTCCCAGTGCTACACTCTCCTCCTCTTGTCAGTCACAGCTCTCACAAGTAGACCCCTCCCAGTGCTACACTCTCCTCCTCTTGTCAGTCACAGCTCTCACAAGTAGACCCCTCCCAGTGCTAAACTCTCCTCCTCTTGTCAGTCATAGCTCTCACAAGTAGACCCCGCCCAGTGCTATACTCTCCTCCTCTTGTCAGTCACAGCTCTCACAAGTCGACCCCTCCCAGTGCTACAACAGACACGAGTCCTACCTTCTTTGACTGTGTCATGATGAACTCCTCTGCGTGTTTGTCCATCGCCTCTTCTCCCAGTGTCTTCAGTTTTAGCACCAGGAACTTGATTGCTCGATCTCTCACAACATCGTCCTCCTCATGCTCGGCTAGAATCTGACTGAAGAGACCCTCCAAGGTACCTGCACAGTCACAAAAAACATTAGCATGATTAGCTTGCTTCACATGGTAGAAGGAAAGGTTTGTCATACCTCTACAGGCAAAATTATTAATGTTTATACATTTTCAGACTTAGTCAAGGGCGGCTTCATATTGTTTGACATTAATATCCTTATGACTAATTTGGATGATCATATCAATATCATGTTAGTTTTGGTCTTACATGTCTAAACTAGATAAAATATATTGCAATGTGAAGATAACAAATACAATAGGATCATTCAAATGCATGTGATGTTCTTTCATACATGATACAAATCAAGACATCTGCATCATCCATTTACATAATAAAGGTTTTAAATATAAAATGTTACATATTCATTAGATATTATGTGTACAACTAATCAATATCATCATGAGCATGGACGTAGAAACCAATCTAAAAATGTGACATTAATGAACTGACATATTTCGTGTTTAAATGGAAGGTAATTTTATGTATTCAACGATGTTTCGAAGAAAGATTTTGAGAACAAATATACAAGGTATGGTAACAATTAATCAGAACACCTAGTATTGTTTGTCTGCATATTTGATAAGGTTGTAATTTGCAATCAGTCTGTATTTGGTATTTGCCTAGCTTTCATTTATACAATACGCCGTTCTGGCTTCTATCGGGAGCACTGGATGAACATGTCCATCTAATGACAAGATAGTATAGATGATCAACTTGTTTATTACAAACCTTTTGTATTGATGGAGAAGAGGCTGTAGAGGGATGTTTGTACATTGCTCAGCTCAGCTGAATCTTCACATGCCAACAGCTGAGTGAGAGCCTCCGCTATCTTTGGTACATGCTCAGGGCTTACTTTACACAGGGACGGCAAATCTTTGATGGCCTGCTTTCTGATCTGTGCACAAAACATGACAAACCACTGGAGACAGACTCAAAACACATAGTGTAGTCGTGGGGACACCACAATTACAATGAAGCTTTGATATATTGTATCAACTGTCATATCAGCATGATCAGTGAACATATCAAACAATCATTACTAACAAAAAATAATAAGGAAGTTTGAGTCACGTCATACTGTCTCGGGGGGCACAGGTGGCCCAGTCGTCTAAGGCGCCGCGATTCGCTGTGCAGAGTTGCGTCCCTTGGGCACGCCAGAAACCTATGATTGTGGGTTCGAATCCTGGTCTGCCCCGATTATGTTTCTAGGTTTGTCAGCACCATACCCATGCTCGTGGGTTTCACCGAAGTGGTAAACGTCTGAGACCTGCATCACTTCGGGCTTTCCTCCCACATTAACTGGAATAATGTTAAAAGCGGCGTTAAATCCAACTCACTCACTCACTCACTCATACTGACTCTTCATTTACTATGTCAACACCACAAAGTTCATTGGCAATCTCAAATATTATAATGTGTGTACTAATCAAACTAGTTGGTTGGTTTGTTGTTTTACGCCGCACTTTGCAATATTCCAGTTTGCATGGTTCGATGATCATGATGTCAATCACTGTATTGTCTGGTCCAGACTTGATTATTTACAGACCACTGACATTTAGCTGGAATATTGCTGAGTGTGGTGTTAAACAACAAACAAACAAACAAACAAAACATATGTGTGAACATGATATATGGCTTTTGTTGACACTAAAGCAATACCTGCTGTCGCCTAGGAGTCAATAACACTGGGCATACAGACTTACATTGACATCACTATCTTCACACAAATCAAACAGTGCATTGATTGCTTTTGGAGAAAGACCCGGGAAGTATTTGAAGAATCTAGCAATGAACTGTGATGCCAATCTCTTCTCTCCAGCTGTACCCTTGACTGCATCCAGGAAAGACATGTACTCTGTGGTGTGCTGCAAACAACACAATGACAGGGCTACAATATGTGCAGTGTACCAGCACATGTATGTCATTGAACGCATGGTGACAACATGGAACCGAACAAGTCAATCTTTCTTAAAATAGCATGGGCCTGCACTTCATTTACGGGAGATAAGGAAATGGTGTTCCATTTAATTGATTTTATCAATCTTAGCACTTGATAACATAGGTGATCAATCCTAGCACCTGATAACAGGTGATTAATCTGAGAACCTGATAACACAGATGATCAATCTTAGCATCTAATAACAAAGATAAATATTCTCAGCACATGGTAACACATATAATCAATCGTAGCACCTGACAACAGAGATGGTTAATCTTATAAGGCTTTGTGTTTATTCTAGGGTTCAACCATTTCTTCAGGTAGCCAACACTAAACAGGACAAGGCTGCAGAATATTTGCTGAGCCAAGCATGTGTTTTAAATTTAAACTAATCTAACCAAGCTAAATTTCAGGATAAAAAAGCACGAAAGAGTTGAATAAGATGCTTCATGTTACAAAGTATAAGATTGGTGTTGCATTCATTTTTATTTTCTTGAGATGTGCTTTACAATGATTATGTTGTCACTCTAAGAGTACGGGTTCAAAGCACAGGACATATTAGACAACAAGAAAGTGTTCCCTAAGAGAGAATCCTTTCAAAGCCTGTTTTGTACATGATGCATCTTGTGTTATCTGAGCTGAAGGGGTCGTTGTCGACACAGGTACTACAGATATGTACCATAGCCAAAATAGGGTACATATCTATAATACCGACAACGACCCCTTCAGTGTATTAGAGTAAACCAGAAGTTGTTAGCCATAAAGGTGTACGTTTTCTGACCCTTTCAGCGTTATCTGACTGATAATGGTATGACAGTTATCAAAATGAGTATCCAGCAGTGTTTCCTACCGAAATCCTTCAATAGAAGGTATAAAGCTAACAATAGAAGATGTTGTTTTCTTCCAAAGATAAGCAAAATGAAAACAAAAGCGATGGTGAGCACTCGTGGCTTCTTCATCACTCGCATGAAGAGAAATTACAAAAGCTCAGGATATTTACCTCTCCGGCTTTATCTTTAGCATCTGCTAATACCCCAAAATTCTTATACAGTTCTTCGACCGATACCATTTTGAACTTTTAAATTAGTACACGTTATTACTACGAATTTGTCTCAACGCGTCAAAAAATCATGCGTGCCGAATGCGCACAGGAAGTCACAAAAATGGTCCCTTTTAACTTCCGATGTTATGGGTTAACTGGTTCCACTCTATATACGCGCACATGTTTATGCGGTTTATAAACAACACTAGACCGGAAAACATTCAATCGATATAGCGTACAATTTTAAAAATAAAATCAGATCATACAAAAGCATCCACTCTAAAATGATGTGTGATAACTAATAATCAAACGTGTTTTTTTTCCTTGCTTACCAAATTTAACGAAACACTGTAGACCACATGACCTGCATGTCACATGATCAAAAGATGGCGGCAGTTATATAAGCGCCAGTATTGTCAGATGAAAACTCCATGTTAAAGCATTAAGCTTGTTTTGTCCGCTGTGTCAGAGTTCTCAATTACAACTGTAAGATACATTAGCGTAAAAGTCATTACCTGTGCAAGGATAACTGTTTTTCTTTGTTGACTATTGCACATTTAGTTTGTATAGATCTTCAACAGTCGATCAAAAGAAGTATTATCAACAACATACAAGTTCCAACGAATACCAACAACATTACCTTTAGAATCGCAAGACAGGACGCAGAATCATGAATCCATTATATTGTTCTATGTGCAAAATCAGAGTTGCACTTGGAATTTGTTCATACGGCCTGTGATTAATTTGCATTGTTTTATCATCACTGGGCTGAAATTAATCAATTCAATTATTGAATTAGATCACAACAGTTTCCAATCAGCAAGATCAATGCCTGTCATTAGCATGTAAATGTAGCAGGGTGTGTCATCCCACAGATCTGTGTTTCAAATCCGAACACATTACTCTGAACTTCTATGGCTGTTGTTAACGGGACAGTACATCGATGGATCTATGTAAAATAATGCAATAGATCATTTCTGAGTGTGACATCACAAGCTCGTTTCAATTCTCAAGCGAAAACAATAGAGCTCTGCACAGTGAAGCCGACAACACAAGCACTGCAGAGAGTAAACTGGCTTCAGTCTTGTTTTTCTAATAGTGAGTGAGTGAGTTGGATTTAACGCCGCTTTTAACAGTATTCCAGTTATATCGCAGCGTGTTTTTTTAATAGAGGCAAATTGAAGAGAAAGCTTGTGTGCTGTTATCATGGATGAGATACAAGATCATGATTACCAACTTGATCAGATTAGAAGCCAGTGATTAGAAAAGCCTAGATTGCAATATAAATATTCCTGTCGTATGAAGCCAATCCCTTTCCTACCCTTGTTCCTTGCGGACAGGCGAGTATCTCTGTCACGTCGTCACGTCTTAAATGTCAATTCATGTGTTTTCATCTGTTTCATTTTGGCCGATTCTACACATTTAGATAAACACTTTTCATGAAATATTTAACTTTCATTGAGAAAATATCCTAAAATGTGAAAAACTATTTCCATTTGCACGTTTACCCTCCACGCCCGGTCGTCAAAGGCCTTTCAGGGAGCTGGCAATATACAGTCACTGTGATGTGTAAAGCTATATTGTCATGCACCTCACTGTCACGGTTGTAGTAGTATATCTATATAATTGTGAAAAATAATATTTAAAGTGCACTGAAAGGCTTGCATCAGGTCCATCTGTTCATATTTCAGAATATGTGCGTTTGTTAAAAAAATGTGAGGAAAGTCTGATCACGCGATAACCCTACACCCATGAGTGTGGTCACTGTAGCAGAAAATGAATAAGGCGAACAGAGCAGAGTAAGCTCGGGGATAATAGGCTTCAGAATGGTCTCTTTAACATCACAGTACCTGTTATATGTCATAAAACATCCTAGCAGCAATTAAGTTATACCCTCATCCGTATCATTATCATCAGCTGTTCTTATGTCACCAATGAGAGCTAATGATAGGCAGTAATAAGTGTGTGCTGTAGGATCTACCGATATACATATCAGAGAATATCTGAAACTACAGCCACTATAAGTTGTAGCAGGATCATGAGAGGTACTTGGGGTTTTATGCGTCCCGTGTCAGATTTTATACCACAAGCCGGTATAGACCCCGAGGGATACTGCTGCAACAACTTTATCTTACCGACAATGTTTTAATCTGCTGTTGTGAAAGAATTAAAACAAATTCAAAATTGATAGAAAAAATCTATTCGATTGAGCTGAGTTTATCGTGTGCTATGTCATGTGACTTTCACTGACTCGTAAATACGGCTCTTTGCTTCTAAGTGGGGTATAATGGATTTATTCTCCTGTTGCGAAATCCACGTGTAGTCTGTTTCTTTGCTGCGGGGTATAAGGGATTTATCCTTCCTCCCAGAAATTTATTTCCCTCTCAGGTGGGATATCTGATCTGATCTTGTCATTCTGACATGGAAGTATGATAAAAGCTCTAGCTCTCAGACACTTGGAATGTTATCCTGTATATCATATCTATATGTTGTATCAGAAATGTCACACAAGAGTAAACATTAATAAGCAAAAGAAATAACAGATGTTACTCCAACAGACATCGTCACTGCATATATATTTTTATTATCCAGTTAGAGGGAGAAACATTAAGAGATACAATCACTAAAGATGGCATCAGTTCCAAAGACAACACTTTCTGGTGGTCTGGAGATTGCAAAGATTCTGAATGGAATGTGGCAGGTCTCTGGTGCCCATGGCAACATAGATCCCAGCAAAGCAGGTACCAATTACAGTTTTTCCCTTATATGTCCTTATTCATGTTTTGTGTCATTTGGGCCATGCCAGTGTGACCAAGTTAAGTAATCTTATTTTCCTTGCTTGTTAATCCATTAAGTGTCAGATATTAAATCTTGATAACAAGGTAATATGACATAATAATGTGTTCTATCCACCGTTTTCTTGGGCAAGAAAGCAGTTGTTAAAAATAGTGTACATCCTTTGAAAGGTTGTGTGATTATATCAACTGGCCCACTTTAGCCCTCTGTTATATGTCTGTTGTGCCAAATGACCAGCAGTTAAGTCAACCAGTCATTTGTTGTTATGTGTCAAGGGGTTGACCATTTGATGTTTTGGGGGAAACTTGTGATATCTTGTTCCAAATCAAACTGAAAACATAATGTACTCAGGGTTTTTTTCCATATCCTGAATGTCCTGAAATTTCACAGAAAACAATTGTGTGATTTGAAGCATTGACAGAAAAATATCCTGTCTCCAACAAAATTGCATTTTGAATTGACTGACAAATACTGTGAAAATGCTGATTTCAGTTGGGGAAATGCTCAAGTACTATGATGCTGGCCTCACAACCTTTGACCTGGCAGATATTTATGGTCCAGCAGAAGAGATATATGGTGCCTTTGTACAAAAGGTAAACTGTTAATAAAAAAAATGAAAAGCCGAATGACCACAGGTCAATGACATGTACCACATTGCTGAAACCCCAAAGCATGGTACAGTACTGACAGACCAAGGGTCATAATCAGGGGGGTGGTGGGGTAGCCTAGTGGTTAAAGCATTCGCTTGTCACATTGAAGACACAGGTTTGATTCCCCATATGGGTAGTATATGTGTGAAGCCCATTTCTGGTGTTCCCCGCCGTGATGTTGCTGGAATTATGCTAAAAGAGGCTTAAAACCCAAGGGAGTTAACCGACTATTAAAGTCCAGTTTCCACCCTTGCCGAACTATGTCTGAATAACGGGCTCAGTTATGACCCTTCAATGTCCCTCCTATTGACCAACCAGATTCCACCTCTCATATCCCTTGCATTTGCTTCGAACAAAATGGCGGTGCCCACTCAAGACAATCTGATTGATAATCAAGACAATATTATTATTAAAAAGGGTCTTACCTCGTGAAGCACACCAGATCATTTGAGCACCATGATTAAAAACATGAAAAGATAAGAAAATATCTGTCGATTCGCTTTGCAAATCCTGCAGTCGACCCGATATCTGCACATCAATATTCTTATTGTTTACAAACCGGATGTCTCATTTGTTACGCAATGTTGATTGGACTATGCATGGATTTGTTAGTCCAGCAAAAATGTAACTTTGGAATTCCTGCCTAGTTCGACAAGGGTGGAAACTGGACTTTTAATAGTTTTATAGTCAGTTAACTCAGTTGCCTCGGGAAGATGCGTAAAACCATACTCACTCACTCATGATCAGTGTTGACAGCTGACAGCTGGCCTGTTTAGCTCACCTTGACTAGAATAAGAAAAGAACATTGTATCCTATCATTTTGTATTATGGTTTTTATACAAAATAACTAGTTTGGCACAACCTCATCCCTTAGAGAATAAGGTGAGCTAGCTTCAGTACCTGTGTTACTCGGGTGACTTTATTTCTTGATTGTTGTTGTGGTCAATCAAATCTATCTCCCCCTCCCCCCCTTTCAAAAAAAAAAAGACAAAAAAAAAAGACATATGCCCAGAGTGACATCATGTCTGTCTCACAACTGGAGAGGCCATGGGGAGAGAGAGTGCCCCGAAAAATTGCAGATAATTTTGTATTTTACAAAGATGGTAATCAAGTGTTTTCAGATTTGCGGGTGTTATTGATTATGTTATGCCTGGCTATTACATCTGGAACCCATGTCTTTATAAGGAGATTTCAAATGTTAACATTTCTGAACCTGGATGTCTGCCTCTTCAGTGAGTACTTTCCCTCTTTACCAGCTCCCCAGCCTGCGAGGGGAGGATGCTGTATCCAGGTTACAGGGCCTGACAAAGTTTGTGCCCCGACCAGGACCAATGTCACGACAGGTAACCATGTGTAGGTCTTATATTTAATGCGAGTTAGTTTACAAACCAATTGACCAAAAGAAAACTGAAATAGAAATAAATAAAATAACTTTTGACTGAGATTAGTGGTGAGACGATACACTGATGCATTGGTGGATCGCAATTTTATACTTCTTGATACAAGTATCAACCACAATTGCACACTAAGTAAAAAGTATCAATTCTCACCTTAAATGTATACCTTTTATAAATGTTACACCAAACAGTAATTACTAGTGAAAATGAGAAGTGAAAACGTAAATATTTTCATCCATTGTGCCATACTTGACACTGCCAACTGTAAATCGTCAGTGTGCCAGGTATTTAGCCATCCTGTCTATGAAAAAGATGGCTTACTCACCACATATACCAGCACATGCAAGTGTAGCAGGGTGTGGAGTTGTCCCACAGATGACATCTTTACCTTGTCAGCTTGCTGACGGGGTTAACCTCTTTGGTCATGTGGACAAGGCAACCGACCCCTGATCAGAATCCCATCACGGGACTCGGAAATTTTATGGCCGCTACATTAGCGCCCAACGTGGGGCTGAGCACGCTCATATTAAATTTGAGCAAATTAAGTCTCAGTACCCTACTATGCGGCCCGGGACGTGCCTTCTGTTGACGGGGGAGTATGTAACAGGGCGTGGAGTCGTCCCACAGATGACATCAGCTTGCTGAGGGGTTAACCTCTTTAGTCATGTGGACAAGGCTTCCAATCCAAACTTCATTGACAAACTTCAGACTATATTTGCAAACAAGTCTTAAGACAGGGATAGCTGTGGGAACTTGAACCAATTGTCATCGTTCATAAAGTGCTTGAAATTACATCATGATAATGAAACCAATCTCATTAAAATCAGATATTAGTTTTTGCTACCGCTAAACAAAGATCTGAGGACATCCCATTACGGGTCACGTCAGAACGACCTTTCGCGAATTTTGACTGACCAATGAAATGACTGACAAGAAATCGACATTAGCCAATCAGAAGGCAGCTTTTTCGAGCTTTACGATGCTAGTTTCAATTTCGCGACTACTTTTCGAAACATATTTTGACGTATTCTCGATTAAAAAAATTAAAACTGATAAGAAGAACATTCTGGAATGGCTTGTAGATGGCCTAGATTGTAATGGATATAATCATAAAACCCGTAACTGTCGTTTGGAATACCCCGTGTTAAATATTTTTCATGTTTGCATGATTAGAAAACACATTCAGACTGTCACCTCTCATAATCTGGTAAGCGACACTCTGATTGGTTGGATGAAAGGTCGTCCTGACGTGACCCGTAATGGGATGTCCTCAGATCTTTGTTTAGCGATAGTGAGAACTAAGATCTGATTTTAATGAGATTGTTCTGGAAGGATCCTTGACATCCCCTTTACCTTCCATAAGTTGCACATCTCTTGTTTATGAGAGTAAATTGCATCAGAAGAGCTACTAAACAATTCTCATATTTTTCTGTCATAAATGCAAGGAATTTCATTCAATGCCTGGAATATATTAATGAGTATATAATATTAATATGTTTGGAAGTTTTGACCATAATAAGTTCTCAGATTGTCGCATAAGTGATACAATCATCAAGTATAAGTTGCTAAAAATTGGAATATAGATTTTATTGACTTATGTGTGTCAAGAACTCCATGAATTGCATGGAACCTAAATATAGAGTTGCTTCCCTTCGGTGTGGAGTTGCCTCCCTTCACCTGCGTAGTCTGTGACTGTCTTCATAAGACTTGAGACTTGAGTTTGGGCTGGCTTGTTTATCATGCTTTAGATGTGAGACATGTAACTCTGCCCTGAACCCAAGTCTTCCACTTCTTCAGTTGAAGCCAACTTCAGCTATTTTCATCTCCAAGTGTCCGAAGACACATTTCTGATTCTGTTTTCATACCTACAGGATATAAGCACGATCTGGGAATTAAAAACATACGTTTCAAATCAGTTTATGTTAGCGACCATACATTGTGTTATGAGAAGGATTCTTAGTTCCTTGTAGTCACAATATTAGGCTTAAAAATTTTTTAAAAATTGCTTCTCAGGTTATGACTTCTGAAAATATAGTGTGGGTGGATGGTGTTTTTTTGTTTTTTTGCTTTTTCAAACAAATATGTAACCAAATAAACAGTTGTGTACCATCAACCTGAGACAGGGCCTCCCTACATAAACAAGTATACAAACTCCTATTGCCGCCATGACCATAACATGCGATGCACAGTAAAGCAGTGTGCATGTAAAGGGAAGTGACTACGTGCTATTTTGGATCACATTGTTTTTAAGTATTAGGATTTTAATTTTATTTTTTTTGAAAATGGAAATCAAAACGAAACGTGCATCAGTCTTTATGATTATGTGGGTGGTGACCGAGAACCAAGACTTTTATTTTTTTAGCCTATGATCTGTGTGCTGATGTTGGCAGGTGGTGGAAGGGGCCATTGCTCGGTCAATGAAACGAATGAAGGTCTCTCGTCTGGATAGTGTCCAGTTTCACTGGTGGGATTACTCGGACAAGCGGTACCTAGAGGCACTGAAACACTTGCAAGATCTCCGGAAGGAGGGAAAGATAGGTAGGCCTGAATACTAGGTGCAGTGAGACTATGTTAACTCTGTGCCTCCGTGGTCTAGTGTATAGAGCATCTGCTCGGAGAGTGGAATGTTTGTGGTTCGATCCTCTAGCCAACTCTGTGGTCTAGTGGATACCATGTCAGACTGGAGAGTGGAATGTTTGTGGTTCGATCCTCTGGCCAACTCCATGGTCTAGTGGATAGCATGTCTGACTGGAGAGTGGAAGGTTGGTGGTTCGATCCCCTGGCCAAATCCGTGGTCTAGTGGATAGCATGTGTGACTGGAGAGTGGAAGGTTGGTGGTTCGATCCTCTGGCCAACTCCGTGGTCTAGTGGAAGCCATGTCTTCCCCTTAGAGTGGAATGTTTGTGGTTTGATCCTCTGGCCAACTCCGTGGTCTAGTGGATAGCATGTCTGCCAGGAGAGTGGAATGTTTGTGGTTTGATCCTCCGGCCAACTCCGTGGTCTAGTGGATAGCATGTCTGACTGGAGAGTGGAAGGTTGGTGGTTTGATCCCCTGGCCAAATCTGTGGTCTAGTGGATAGCATGTCTGCCCGGATAGTGGAAGGTTTGTAGTTCGATCTTCTGGCCAACTCTGTGGTCTAGTGGATAGCATGTCTGCCAGGAGAGTGGAATGTTCGTGGTTTGATCCTCTGGCCAACTCCGTGGCCTAGTGGATAGCATGTCTGCCCAGATAGTGGAAGGTTTGTAGTTCGATCTTCTGGCCAACTCCGTGGTCTAGTGGATAGCATGTCTGACTGGAGAGTGGAAGGTTGGTGGTTCGATCCCCTGGCCAACTCCGTGGTCTAGTGGATAGCATGTCTGCCCGGATAGTGGAAGGTCTGTAGTTCGATCTTCTGGCCAACTCCGTGGTCTAGTGGATAACATGTCTGACTGGAGAGTGGAATGTTTGTGGTTTGATCCCCTGGCCAACTCCGTGGTCTAGTGGATAGCATCTGCCCTGATAGTGGAAGGTTGGTGGTTCGATCCCCTGGCCAACTCCGTGGTCTAGTGGATAGCATGTCTGACTGGAGAGTGGAATGTTTGTGGTTTGATCCCCTGGCCAACTCCGTGGTCTAGTGGATAGCATCTGCCCGGATAGTGGAAGGTTGGTGGTTTGATCCCCTGGCCAACTCCGTGGTCTAGTGGATAGCATGTCTGACTGGAGAGTGGAATGTTTGTGGTTTGATCCCCTGGCCAACTCCGTGGTCTAGTGGATAGCATCTGCCCGGATAGTGGAAGGTTGGTGGTTTGATCCCCTGGCCAACTCCGTGGTCTAGTGGATAGCATGTCTGACTGGAGAGTGGAATGTTTGTGGTTTGATCCCCTGGCCAACTCCGTGGTCTAGTGGATAGCATGTCTGACTGGAGAGTGGAAGGTTGGTGGTTTGATCCCCTGGCCAACTCCGTGGTCTAGTGGATAGCATGTCTGACTGGAGAGTGGAATGTTTGTGCTTGATCCCCTGGCCAACTCCGTGGTCTAGTGGATAGCATCTGCCCGGATAGTGGAAGGTTGGTGGTTCGATCCCCTGGCCAACTCCGTGGTCTAGTGGATAGCATGTCTGACTGGAGAGTGGAATGTTTGTGCTTGATCCCCTGGCCAACTCAGTGGTCTAGTGGATAGCATGTCTGACTGGAGAGTGGAAGGTTGGGGGTTTGATCCCCTGGCCAACTCCGTGGTCTAGTGGATAGCATGTCTGACTGGAGAGTGGAATGTTTGTGGTTCGATCCCCCAACCAGCTCAGTGGTCTAGTGGATGGCATGTCTGACTGGAGAGTGGAAGGTTGGTGGTTCGATCCCCTGGCCACATTGTCAGTATACTGGCTTAGAGTCAGTACACTGTGTTTGAGTAGGGTATCCATGTTAAACTGCTGCGTGGTATCTCAGTGGGTGAGCGCTATGAAAACGTCATCAGTCAAGATTAGTACAAGCAGCCATACGCACATGCCAGTTCGACTTTAGTTGCTATGGAAGTGCAATAATCTTGAACATGACGTTAAACCCTATTTCACCTCGACCTCACCTGGCACCATATAAACATAAAGACAGTAAAATGTTAAGGACAACAGCCCAGACAACTGTTGATTAACTTGCACCAAGTTTCCATAACCATTGCCAGGGGTTCTCTGCAAGCCGCATTGTTGATCCCCCACCTTGAGCCATGACAAGTGGTCTTGAACTTTGACAATGGCGATGTTTTGGTTTGGTTTGTTTGTTGTTTAACGCCTCAGCAATATTTCAGCTATATGACTGCAGTCTGTAAATAATTGAGTCTGGACCAGACAATCCAGTGATTAGTATCATGTGCATTGATGCACGCAATTGTGATCGATGACATGCATCAACCAAGTCAGTGAGCCTGACCTCCCGATACCGTGAGTCGCCTCTTACGACAAGCATAGTCACCTTTAACGGCAATTCATGGGTTGCTGAAGACCCATTCTACCCCGGATCTTCACTGGTCCATTGGGGATGAATAATATCAGCGATATCACTGCCAATTATATAATAAATTGTGTAATACTTCATGACTAGTGCTAATATTAAATGCCAGTGCTGAAGTTGATTTGGCCATGGCCACAATGTATGTAGAGTTAAAAAGTTTTCAGCTGTGACTTTATGAGGTCTAAAATCATTAAAGGGAGTTAACTGACTGTAAAAGTCCAGTTTCTACCTTCGGCCAAATAGGCTGGAATTTATGGCCCTTCTATGTCCCTCCAACTGACCAATCAGATTCCAACTCTAATATCACTTACATTTGCTTCAAATTCAATGGCGGTGCCCAGTGAAGATGACCTGATCAACAATCAAGATCTATATTGTAATAAAACGGGTCTCACTTTGCAAAGTGCATCAACACATGTGAGCTAAGTTGACGGTACACGTTCTGCAAATGCTGCAATCGACTGAAATCTGCATGGCAGTTTACAAACCTGGTGTTGATTTCGTTACGCGATTTTGATTGGACTATGCACTGACTCGTTAGTCCAGTCAAAATATAACTCCATAATTCCAGCCTAGTTCAGCATGGTTGTAAACTGAACTTTATGGTCAGTGAACTCCCTCGCCTCGGGAAGATGAATAGTTTATGGCTTATCTTTACTAATATTCACAGCTGCATGTATGTGTGATATTTACTTCACACTGTGGATGTGTTTAGAAGCATCCCATTGTGCACATAGACAGTCTATACTTCAGTTGGGTAACACTAACATGCACTGTGGATGTTCTCACAGGTGAGGTGGCGCTAACCAACTTCGACACGACTCGTCTACAGGAGATCATTGACCACGGAGTGACCGTGTCCAGCAACCAGGTCCAGTTTTCGCTCCTTGACATGCGGCCAGCAAGGAAGATGGCGCCAGTCTGCGAGGCAAACAATGTCAAAATACTGGCATATGGTGTGTTAGGTGAGAAGTTATAGTTGTTCGGACATCAGCAGCTTTATTATGTGCCTTTTAAGAAATGATTTCAACATTTTGCATTTCTGGAGGTTTGCAAACCGTTTTTTTTACATTTATTTAAGAAATAAACAACGAGTGGGAGTTGTTTATTGTACAATAAAACACTGCCGGGAGAATGAACCATGAGGGGTGCAGCAGTTAAATGGTGCCAAAGATAAACAATGACCACGAGTCGTTTATTTCTTATATGAGATATCAACATTTTGTACAGCCTCTTTAAGGATGGTAAGAAAATTTACAAGCTTTAAAAATATTTATTTAATTTAATAATGATGACTCCCTGAAAACAATACTACCTCGGCAATGTCGGACAAGTTCATTTTATGAACAGGGGAGTTAAGTTGGGTATTTCCCGCATATTCTCATGAACCTCACGTTTGATTTTAGTACCTTTTCTTCTAATACCGATTGTCATATTTCGCCAACTTTTGGATGTGATCGTTTGGCCATTGCAATTTTCTGTGTTGCCAAGCTACATGAGTTGTTACATGGGGAACATTATTTTGAAATAAAACATGCTTTGTTCTTTGTTGTTCTTTGCTATTTATCACATAGCTATCTTAGTCCATAAACTCAAAAACATATTAAAGTCAGTTCTTAAATCAGGGTCAAAGGGTATCAGGGTAGGGTCACAAAATAAATTTAAAATTATGGCCGTGTCTTAGGGAGAGTCATAAATACATTAATACACATATTTATAATATTTTTGGCATTTTTAGGACATGGAGAGGGTAATCCAAAACTGTGACAAGTATTAGGGGAGGGTCATTATTTTGCATCAAAAACCTGAACACCGCATGAACGTTCCTGATAACAGTGAAGGCTGTACTGGTTAACTGTCTATAGGTGTGACAGTAACACATACATAGCTCATATCACATGTGCTGTCAGTTTAAGGTTGGACCGGCTGGGTCAGTGTACCTAGCAGGTTAGGGAAGGGACTTAAATTGAAAAAGAACGTCCATTATTCAAACACTTGTAATACATTCACCACATCATACCTGGATTTATAACCCATTCGTAGATTAAATAATGACCCCAGACACAATGTGAGCCACTGAGTGCTTTGTAACCTGGACACCCTCATAGGCAGCAGTGAACGTTATTGACATATTTTGCAGTCTTTGTCAGGTAATCATATTAGTTCTACAACTAATTATACCTGTAGTAAAGTCCTTATCTGAGCTTCAAGTGAATGACGACAAATACACAGGTGGAAGGTTGTAGTATTAATCATCCACTCAAATGCAAGGATTCAAGGGGATTCAAGGTTTCCCAATTGGCCCCTCGCTGGTCAGAAGCCCAGTTTCATGGGTCGCTGTCGCTCATTGGCTTCTGGTGATTACGAAGGCTACCGGTAATTAAAGTGGCGCTGGCGAGACAACTTGAAGTTGGAATGTTGTTTCCCTTTAAAATATCTTTTATTTATTTATTTTGTGGTTTTGATTAGTATTTTATAAACATTAAAACACAGGTAATATGCACACAGATCTGCCAGCATCAGATGTTTAACAAAAGGGGAAATAACTCTTATTACCTTGGAAAATATACTACCACGTATTTACTGATATGGAATTTCAGTGAAGGTGAAGTGGACATCTATTTAAGATGGCTGCAGATCTGCTGAAAGAGGATTCTAGTTTCCCTGAGATAGGTTTGGTCTCACTGTTTGAATGAAAAGTGAACATATTTTGACGTGAGGAATACTAAGGCTTACTAGAATTAAAAAATTGGTTCTCAGGCAATGTTTTTTTAAAACAGTGAGGCGGATGGTGTCTATTTTTTTGGGGGGGGCGGGGGTATTTAAAACTGGTATGTAACCAAATATTTTTTTACAGTTGTGTAACCAAATGAAAAGTTGTGTACAATCAACCTGGGAAAAGACCTCCCTACATAAATGTATCCCCTGATGAGTAAAATACTGGAATACAGTATTTGACTATTGTTTGACTCGGAATATTTAAGTATTTTTTTTTATTTTTAAAAAAATGGAAATAAAAACAAAACGTGCGGCCGACTTTGAGATGATGCGGGCGGGGTCCAAGAACCAAGATTATTAATTTTTTTTAGCCTTATCATTTCATACTGTTCTTTGTTTGGTGAAAAATTATGTGTTCTCTTTGTTTTGTCACAAACTGTATCACTGTAAACTCCTTTAGAATCCACTTTCCCGAGACAAGGGAGTTAACTGACTATTAAAGTCTAGTTTCCAGCCATTCTTAACTACTCGTAGGTTGGAATTTCGGAGTTATATTTTGGCTGGACTAACCGGTCTCTGCATAGGCCAATTAAACGTGATGAAATCGACGTCTGGTTCGTAAATTGCTGTGCAGATTTAAGTCGATTGCAGGATTTGCAAAGCATGTGTACTGTCAACTGGGCTTCTACAGAGATTTCCAAATCTTTTCATGTTTTAAATCAAGGTGCTCATGTGATTTGATGCACTCCGTGAGGTAACCTGTTTCATGACAATATCAGTCTTTATTATCGATCAGACCGCCTTCACTGGGCACTGCCATTTTGTTTGAAGCAAATGTAAGTCATACGAGAGGTGGAATCTGAAGGGAGGGACATAGGAGGGACATAACACATAATACCCACTCCTGCCACTACGATTGAGACATGGAATTCCAGCCTAGTTCGTCAAGGATGGAAAATTAGACTTTTAAATTCAGTTAATTCCCTTGCCTCGGGAAGATGTTAGAATCAGTTTCATGAATTTGGTTTAGTGGGAACAATGTCAACTTTTTAATCCTTAGTATTATTAAATTTTTTTATATGTTCAACATAATGATGCAACTATCATCTTTAATAAATGTAATAGTAGTTGTGATACTTTTTAAACAGTTGATTAAATGTATAAATATATAAATATTGTAAATTGATATATTTCCTTTTAATTTTAAAGCTGCAATTTTTCACATTGCCAACAAATTCCCAGGAACGAAATTTAACATTGTTATTTGTCCTAAAATGTCCAGCCAGTTCTTCATTTGCTGTGAGTGAGTGAGTTAAAATTTCATCGGCATTGTTTCGTCCACTGTGCAGATGGTGAATTGACACTGATATTGTACATTAGGGCTGGGACGGGTAACTCGGGTACTCGGGTACTTGGGAACTCGGGTTGGGTGGGTCATGACTTGGACCCGGGTACCCACAGGACTACCCGGACCCGTGGTTAGTCATGTGAATTATTGTTTAATGACAAAAACTCACTATAGCTCAGTGGTTACACTTCTTTCTGACGATACATCCCTTCCTTTTGACTTGCATATGTTTGAGTAAGAATAACGCTTCAGTCAACCTCCGTGTACGCATGATCAGATCATTTGATACATGTATTAATAGTTACTGTGTGGGCTGCGGTAAAACAATTCCCAATCAGACATTTTGTTCCCAACTCTTGAGGCCTGCAGTGGGTACCCAGGTAGGGTCAGGTAATAGTGGGTTGGATACCCAGGTAGTAGATTTAGAATCGTCCCAACCCTATTGTCAGAGCTCCAGATAACTTTTTGAGCAATTGAGTTTTTACTCTAGGGTTTCTATTTTAATTGGGTTATTACATTTTTCAATGGGTAACCAATATTTTTTTACTCATCTATTCATCACTCTATTGGGTTTTTCCCAAAATCAGTGAACATTTTAAGATTTAAAGAAAATGAAATCATGTTTTTGATGTATATAACTGTTTTAAATATATAGGCTTAACTCCGAAAATAAATTAGCTTGCAATTGTGTTTCGGAAATTAGGTCCTTTGTACGCATGCTGAAAAAGCTTCATTAGGTATTTATGCTTGCTGTTTTTAAAATTTGACTTTTTCATTTAATGCATGCGTTTCTGTACGCAAGTTAATTGAAAGTAATTGGGTTTTGAATATTTTGGGGGGGTATTTTACGCAAATACGCTGCTTATCTGTAGCTCTGTATTGTACATAAATATTTTGAACATCACTTATCCTTGAGAGATTGCTTCATTCCAGGTGGTGGTTTGATCAGTGAGAAATACCTGGGGAAACCGGAGCCAAAGGGTCGATCCGTCCTCAACACTGCCTCGCTCAGCAAGTACAAGAACATGATAGGTGAGCTTAGCCCAATACTATCAGTAAAACACTCCCATAGGAGTAAAACACTCCCATACGTGTAAAACACTCCCATAGGAGGTCACACCTGGCTTGGTTCATGGCATGTTAGCGTACTGCTGTTGTAGTTGTGGATTGTTGCCCATAGTATCAATCACTAGATTGTCTGGGCCAGACGAGATTATTGCTGAGTGTGACAATAACAACACATGCATACACGCACCACACTCACACGTACACACACTCGTGCACGCATGCATACAGGGATTGATGACAAGTTCATTTCTGCTTTATGACATAAACATTAAATCATGTGACATGGTTTCTGATTGGTGCATTGACATTGATTGTTGTGAAAAAAATTCTAAAGTTTCTCTTCAAAATGGGTAAGGTTACAAGTGAATTCCCTGAATCCTGAAAATGTTCCAGAATATGCCAATGTGAGATCATATCTAAGCTCACCTGAACAGGCACGGTGTTGTCCACTGCACATTATACTACAACATTTTCTGTCAGCTCTGAAAAACCAAACTCTGTTGCAGTTAAGATGATCTCAATATTGTTTCTTTCCCCAAACAATTTTCAGAATTTTAACATCGTGGCACCATGGCACTCACATATAACATATCATTTGCTGTAGTGAGTGCGTGAGTGAGTATGGTTTTACACCGCTTTTAGCAATATTCCAGCAATATCACGGTGGGGGACACCAGTAATGGGCTTCACACATTGTACCCATGTTGGGACTGAAACCCGGGTCTTCGTCGAGACGAGCGAACGCTTTAACCACAAGGCTACCCCACCGCCCCTCATTTGCTGTATGTATATGTTGTTGTATTTCTAGTCAGGGAAAAACTAGATGTTACTTTTTCCAAGTAATTTGATATTTGACCTTGAACTCATTTATCTACAAGAATTCAATAAAACCACAATTGAGACATCATCTGGAAAGTTTATTACTTTGAAATGCAGGATATATTCAAAACATGCTGAACCAGTTTGAAAACAAAAAGGCCACATAATGTTTAACCTTGTAACCTTTCATTTCTACTCTTAAAAAATGGAGGTGATTTTTCAAAACTGTAAGAGATATAAGTTTCCAGTAATAGTTGTATGATAATAATGAATGAATTGGGAACAGGTTATTAAAAGTAGTGAAGTATGACCATAGATGTTATGACCAACAACGTTTCCTTGACGGACGATAGGGGTCAGATGGAGCATCCCAAAGTTGACATTTTTGGATCTGTAATGCGTAATACTGCCACCATTATCAAACATTCATGTCCCAGAGGTGTTCAATAGGGGAAGGGGCTGGGCTCATTGCTGGCCATGGCATTCTATGGATGTTGGGCTGCTGTGGGTGAGTATTGATGATTCGTGCACGGTGAGCCAGGGCGTTCCCGTCCTGAAAGACAAGACATCGACTCAGATGCCTTGCAAACAGGGAAACAAAGAGTGTCAGTATGTTGTCCTAATAGTACTGTCCAGTGACCCTTCTTTACACGATGTGGAGTGGGGTTCACCATAAACATTCCACCGCCAAATCTGTCATCAGGTTGAATCAGCTTGATGTTCATTTCAACGTCGCCAGACAGGACCACGGCTATCAAGGAATCGGGACTCATCTGAAAAAGGACACGTGACCAGTGACGTTTACCCCAGTTTCAACTTTGTGTACAAAATCAATATGATGATTTGTAAGGGGCGACACAACACGTGGCCATTGAGCCGATGAGCTGCATGTAGACAATTGCTAATCGTCTGACCCTTAAGTCATACTCCAGTAGCCTGATGCAGCTATTTGATTGGCCGTTTGGGCTCGATTTCGTAGAGCCTGGTTTCATGCTGTTGACCTGGGTGCCCTGAACGGGTCGACTGCAACTTGTTTTTTATGGTACCTGTTCCATAGTCTGCTGATCACAGACTGTGAAACATTGAACGTATTGGCCACTGCAAGTTGACTTCTGCCAGTTTCCAGCATGCCAATAACCTGTTTTGGTATTGTGCTTTACAAACAAACATTCTTGCGTAGGATGTGCGTCGTCAACACTTATCTTTGTTTTAATACTTGGCATTAACATCAATAGTTCATGATCCCCTACTTGTTTTGAAGAGCATGTACCTGGTTTATATAACCTTTGATTGTTACTGTACTGTTCCATCTACTGGTAGGTATTCATATTTACCCCACTTACTCACTCACCCACCCACTGTTTGTTGTTTAACGCCACACTCAGCAATATTCCAGCTATATGATGACGGTCCGTGCTCTTGAGTTTCACCGAAGTGGTAAACGTCTGAGGCCTGCATCACTTCGGGCTTTCCTCCCACATTAAGCTGACACGCCGTGATATAACTGGTAAACTGTTAAAAGCGGCGTTAAACCCAACTCACTCATGAGGGACAAGGGCCAATTTGCCCGACTTGACCACCCAATCCTCTTGGCAGCTCTTACAACAAGCACGATACCCTGAGAGCCTTTTCTTGTCTGGGATGCTGCCATTGAAAAGATTTTTCAATGATAACTTATTACCTCTTTATTTCCAATTATTGACAATTTGATGTATTATTTATTGTATTCAGAATATGAAAGTGTGCTTCAGAGCCAGAAAGTTCTTGTTCTGTTGTCTTATTTAAAAATATGCATCTAGAAAATAAAAAAATGGAGCCCAGAACAATCCTTAATTTCCTCGAACTGATGCAATCTGGAATTGCCAAATCATTCTAGACTTGAGTTGGACGCCTTTTTTATTTTTTTTCTCTAGGGTCTGGGAGACATAATATTGGCAATTGTCTGATATTGCAAGAATATATCATTTATCATACTACTGGATTTTTATCATGGAACCCATTTTGAGATGATAATGGTTAAATATATTGAAATAACTTTGTTTGGTGACATTAGGTGATAATAGGCAGGGTGTCGTGCAGGATGCTTCCTTCCAAGCCCTGAGGGCTTTCCATGTTTGTGTCATTTGTTTGAGTTTTGTTTATTTATATTTTTTGGACGAAAGGGCACTGAACGTTTCTTTGGTCAGTTTCATAATACATTGTTCATCCTTCTTGTCAAACCTGTCATGCAACTTGTAAGAGTCGTGCAGAGTTATTAACCCTTATAAATCAAGGCCTGTCACTCTGGAAATATTTCCACTCCACCAAGACGTATTGCAGTAAATTTTTTATTGTCTGTTAGTCTTGTCATTAATTAGGCTAGGCTTTTTTATACAGATGCTCCATAGCAGTAAAGTGCTTTTATTCAGTTGCTTCACCAGTTTACAATATTAACCCTATGTCACATTTCATACCCCCAGCCAACAAGTGTGGGTTGTCTCTTTATTTAAACCAAATAAGTTTAAAGGGGAAGTGTACACACAAAAATCACTTTCTATCTTTTTCTAAACAAAACGCATTTTAGAATTAGTTAGTATCTGTGTTTGAAAATATACACTCATTTTTTTCACAGTGAAAGTAGGAAGCTCACAATAGTTTGAAAATGATATGCCGTTATGAGGCCTTCGTTTTTCGAGCTAAACAGGCCTGAGTTATCCCCCTTAGATTATGACGTAATTGGTGCAAATTCAACTGGGTCCCTGTCTATTCTCAACGCAAAAGAAATCAGGTACCAGTTTGTGGTAAAACAACATGGCCTCAACACACTCCGGCGCAGTGGTGACTCAGCATAACACTATGCTGGCTGGCATCTGAGACGCTAGAATCACACACCTGTACCTACACCACGTGAAGCGGCTCTAACAAACCATGATGACGTCATAATGTTTGTCAATTGGCACCAATGACGTCATATTGTAAGGGGCATAAGCCATGGTGTTTTTGTTATGGAAACAGAACACTTGGTAAATGTGAAAAATATAAATCATTTTAATGCAAAAAATATGTCAATTATTAGTGATATTTTTATATTTTTGTCTATGACACTTCTAGGTTAACACTTTTAATGTGGAAAAAGTACAAGAAAAATAGGTTCATTTCCATGTGAACTTGCCCTTTAACACAGTTATTCTCACATAGCTTGAATGCTTGATCACAGTGTTTAAAATACCCGTCAGATCAACCATATCAGACGGGCTATTGTCTTTGGACTGTCTGCCAACTTGTGTAAAATGCAAAGCCGATGGTCTGGCTGATTTCTTTTTCTATATTTACCGTATTCGACATAATAAGCGCTCCGCTCTAATAAGCACCCAGGGCGATATTTTCTAATATATTGGCCAGTGAACAATCCTAATCAGCACCCCTTCCAATTGATCAATGTACACAGACATATATTCATGTATAAAACCCACTCATGTGTTATATGCACACTTAATTATGGTCAATTTAATTCTGGACAAATATATCTGTCGTACATAAACTTTTCAGGCTGTCAGCATAAACCACAAAATTTATCTTTTAACTCTTTTTTTCACTAAAATAATGTTCTAATAAGAGCCCCCTATTTCTAATTTTGAGAGCGCCCTGGGCGCTTATTACGTCGAATACGGTAGTTTATTAGTTTATATTTAGTTTATATGTAGTGGCTCATGATCCTGTCCACATCACACAGGCCACAAATCAGGTGAAGTTAAGCAAAGTTGACCATGCTCGACAGCTTGACTCCCTATGAGTTTCTAGGGCTTTGGTCCTGCCCCACACTAAAGCCCTTGTCCCACATGTGGTGTCTCCTTGGGCAAGTGACTATTTTCAAAATATGCCTATGTTCACCCAGCAGTGATTGGCTCCCCAGTAGGATAAGATTTTTTACTATTACCGGTAATTGTCTAGTGCCTCACAGGAAGCTTGGGTTGTATATTCACCATTGGGCACAGAATGACATTTTAGTCACCTTGACCTAGCCATCACTTTAGTTATAGCTGCTTCCCCAGCCGCGTCATACCAAAAGACGTTAAAAGATGGTACTTATTGTTACACTGTCTGGCCCTCGGCATTCAGGGGCTAAAACAAGGACTGGTCGGCTCGGAGTCAGTATACTGTGTCTGAGTGGGATATTCATGTTAAACTGCGGCATGGTATCTCAGTGAGCTAGCACTATAAATCGGCATCAGTCCGGACTAGTACAAGCAGCCACACAAACACACACACGTACATGCACGTTGCTATATAAGTGCAATAATCTTGGACGCGCCGTTAAACCCCATTTCACCCTCATCACCTAGTTATAGCTGCATTTACATGATACAGGAATTATTTAATTCTCATTTGGGACTTTTTACTGACAATATTATTGCTGCAGACTTGGGATGATATCAACCTCGGAGCAATACCCGATTGTTTTGATTTCTTTTGATTCGGTTCAAAGGGTTCATACCATTGTGTTGATAGTCATTGTAACACCTATCATCAACTTTCATGAATAAAATGTACAAGAAACGTGACAAATAGTTGATATAAAGATGTACATTGTAATTATATAAGATAACAATTACTTTAAATCAATCATCTTTCTATATGGTTTTCACCATCAGACAGCTCTTTATTGTGAAAGATAGTATTGTTCTGTTTCTTCTTGCCAGAACAACTTGACATTACAAATGTCTTTCAGTAAATTTCTATATGATTTCAAGCATGGTTGTATTTCTTTAATATTTGTTACGTATATATGTCCTTTTGCTAATATTAATAGTCTCAAGACAAGCATTATTTGCTTGGGACTTAATCCTACCCAGAATTTCCTTGGGGTACATAAGAACTGGACATCATGTTCAAGGAGACATATTGATGGAAATTACTAGAGATTGGTTACAAAATCATTTTTCATTAACTGCTATTAATTACACTAACAGTGACTTTCTACATACTAAATTGTATATTATGAAATGTATTCTATGCCATATATATATCCATATATCTTCCCTGGTTATGAAATGTATTCTATGCCATATATATATCCATATATCTTCCCTTGGTTGATTCTGGGTTCGAATGCATCATGTTTGTTGAACCCGAGGGTACCTGGGTTGAAACGGTTGGTGTATTGCTGAGCATCATGTTAAACAACGCACCCACTAGGGCTAGGACGGGTAACTCAAGTACTTGGGTCGGGTGGGTACTGAGTAGGACCCAGGTACCCACAGGACTACCCGGACCTGTGGTTAGTTACGTGATTATATTGTTCAATGGCAAAAATTAACTCTATGGTTACACTATAAGTGACAAATGTTCACATTTCTTTCCGACTATGCACACATTCCTTCTGACTTTATATGTTTGCATAAACATAAAACTTCAGTCAACTTCAGTGTATGCATGACCAGATCATTTTATACCTGTATCTAAATACATTTTGACAGGAGTACAGTCAAACGTTTCCCAATCGGACATTTTGTACCTATCTCTTGAGACCTACAGCGGGTACCCGGGTAGGGTCGAGTAATAGTGGGGTGGGTACCAAGCCCTAGCATCCACACATCCATAAACGCGCCCGCACGCAAGCATGCACGCACATTTGCCTGGTCTAGAGTTGATGAGTGACAGACAACCGTGCTAAATGGACTCCCTGAAATATCACTGTAGGAGCTAGAAGATAACCTGGTAAAGCCAGACCAGCTCACAGGACTGAGTAAATTTAACCATCTGTTGTGAGTCATTGACTGTCCTCTGATCTGTGTGCCTCATCAACTGATACATTTCCCACATCTCTGAAACAATAAAGTCTATGAAGCTAAAACTTGGCATGACTAGTCCCAGCAATGGTGTCTCTAAAACGTACCTGATCAGTTCTGATCAGATTACTTGCCATGCAAATTTTGTCCTCCATTACTCCGTTTTTGCATGTGTAATTATTAACTTTGGAATTCAGCAAGAATGTTGTATCAGAATAACAAATATATTCTTGACATACCTGGACCTCACTTTATATAGATTCCACTGTTATGGAGGTGAGTTCCAAGCAATGGTTTCTCCAAAATGAGCTCACAGATTCCGACACTCAGCCATTTTGCCTTGTATCATTATGACCATGTGTCCTTGACCATGGGGGCGGTCGGGTAGCCTAGTGGTTAAAGCGTTCGCTGGTCACGCCGAAGACCCGGGTTCCCGACATGGGTACAATGTGTGAAGCCCATTTCTGGTGTCCCCCGCCTAGATATTGCTGGAATATTGCTAAAAGCGGCGTAAAACCAAATTCACTCACTCACTCCTTGACCATGCATCTGGAATACTGTTCAAAGCTGCATAAACCTCACTCACTCACTCACTCACTCACTCACTCACTCACTCACTCACTCACTCACTCACTCACTCACTCACTCACTCACTCACTCACTCACTCACTCACTCACTCTTTGATGTTTTGTTTCTCATAATATTTTGTGTAAAGTTTGATTGATGTGTTTTCAGATACATGGGGTGGATGGCCGTTGTTCCAAGAGCTGCTTGAGGTACTGGATGAGATTGCCAAGAATCACAATGTATCAATACCCAACATCGCAGCCAACTACATCCTTGCGCAGCCGGCGGTTGGGGGTGTCATATTGGGGTGTCGACTTGGAGTGCCCGGCTGTGAACATATTGATGACAACCTGCAAGCTCTCACAGTCAACCTTACAGACTCCGATAAACTTGAAATTGACTTTGTGTTGAAGAAAGGTCGTGACCTGATGACAGCTATTGGAGATTGCGGAGACGAGTACAGATGATGGGTAGAAAGTTTGGTGTTATTCTTACAGGTGATGTGACTGTTACTTAGCATCGAATTACTGGAACTACCCAGTTTGTAGCTCCCCTTCACGAGTTGCAAAAAGGCAATTATCACATGGTTATGAAGAGTTTTATTTCTTCTATTCTAAAATATGATGATCTGGATCTTTGTGTGTATTACTTCGCTAATAACAGCTTACATATGTAGAAAGTCAGGTCATGATGTTGTTGAATGACGGAAGGCTGCATTTCATCAGGGCCTTGTCCCACAAACTGATCTGGGGGCACGGGTGGCTCAGTTTTCTGACGCGCTGCAATTCGCTGTGTAGAGTTGCATCATTTGGGCACGCCAGAAACCTATGATTTTGGGTTTGAAGCCAGGTTGCCCCAATTATGTTTCTAGGTTTGTCAGCACCATACCCGTGCTCGTGGGTTTCACCCAGTGGTAAATGTCTGCGACCTGCATCACTTCGGGCTTTCCTCCCACATTAAGCTGACACGCCGTGATATATCTGGAATACTGTTAAACCCATCTCACTCACTCACAAAGCTATCTTAGCACTAAGACGATCATAACTCCCCTACGTTAACATAGACTAATGACAATCGTAGCACCGGTATTGCTTCGTTGACCCACAACATTACTGCTTGGAAGTCTTTCATGAAGTGCTTGAATCACCTGTCGTTGTATGAATGTACAATTTCATATGTGCAAACACTTTGTTACAGTGCTTTTATTTATTATGTCATGTAATTTTCTTTAATTATTAATAAAGTATTGTATGGAAGCACATGAAAACTGCTAACAGGGTTAGAACTAAACTCAAAAGCTTTACTAACCCAGGTAAAGATAAAATGCCCTTGTAATGGCAAAAAAATGGTAAATTTCAGAAATGTGTACTCCCACAAGAATTTTTACTAGCCCAAAGCTGGCAGGCTAGTGTTAAGTTCTAACCCTGGATAATATCATTATTTGTTGAAAGACAAATTGGCACATCACACCTACTCATGTTTAAAATATAACCTATTGAAGAAGAGCTGCAGTACCTTTTGTACTCTGATTATGTATGGAATGGAGATCTTATCTGTAAAAAAGATTAAAACTGTTGACCACATGGATATTGTGATTTTTACTGTTTACTGATATGGAGATGTGAGGTGGAGTAATGAATTTGTAGAAAAAAACATATTTTAGTTGTAACCCGTGAAGATCTGGGTTAGAACTGGTCTTTAGCAAACTATGCTTGCTGTAAAAGGTGACTATGCTTGTTGTAAGAGGCTGGTCAGGCTTGCTGACTTGGTTGATGCATGTCATTGTATCCCAATTGCATGGATCGATGCTCATGATGTCAATCACTGAATTGTCTGGTTCAGACACAATTATCTGCAGACCACGGTCATATAGCCGGAATATTGCTGAGTGTGGCGTTAAACAACAAACAAACATAATATTCTTGTAGTATTTCAGCTGTATCACTGTGTGTGTGCTCCATGTGGAGGATGTCCCAGGTGATGCTGACCCTGTGTACCTCCCTGGTGAAAGCACCTAGCATCAGTAGGGTGCCGAGTGTAGGACTGATTGAGTTAAAATGTAACCAGCCTTATTTAGGCCATTTAGCCACCAGAGCAAGTTTTAAGAGTATGGTGCTGACAGACCAAGAAGCACACTCATGGTGAATCTAGCATTCAAACACGTGATTATAGGATCCGGCATGCTTATGGGGTACTAACTCTACTCAGAAATGGCAGTGCTTAGGACTTGGTCACCCTTCCCTCCCATCTGCTGAAAAAGTGTTAATTAGGTTTAGGTGAGGTGAGGTCAAATGAGGGTTAGCGTTGGGTTCAAGATTATTGCTTTTGTTCACATTAAAGGTGAGTGAGTGAGTATAGTTTTACGCCACTTTTAGCAATATTCAAGCAATATCACGGCGGGGAACACCAGAAATGGGCTTCACACATTGTACCCATGATGGGATTCGAACACAGGTCTTCGGTGTGACGAGCGAACCCTATAACCACTAGGCTACCCGACTGCCCCTCACATTAAAGGATTCTGCTTCAAAGCTGATGTACAATTAAAATAGGAACTAGACTTGGAGCAGTTAGCAGTCTTAAGAAGTCTGAATCAAGTCGTCCCCAAGTTTTTTATCCATCTGTTAAAAAGTTTCATGATAAATCTGACAATAAAGTATAACTCAAATTTCAAAACTAGTCTCAGTTTCCCACAAGGCATGAGTTACAATGTCAATTTCTGCACAGAAACTAGGCATCCGGCTGTGGAACATGGTCAACTTTTCAGATGAATTTGAACAATTGTATCCCATTCCCTAAAACAATCTAAGTGCTACAGCTCTTTTTGTATGTGAGTTACGACCGCCTGAACACTACAATATCTTTGTGGAACAGGGACCTATATAAATGTTCATCTGTAAAAATCCCAACGTCCGCATTGACCACAAATCTGTTGATAAATCCAGTGTGTTTACGTAGGCAGGTGACAGCAAGCAAAACATACGGTAGAGGCATGCCGTGGGAGACACTGGCAGCAGTACTGATCTTAGGATTGGCAGATGTACAGGTGAGGTGAAATGGGGTAAATGTCGCATTCAAATTTTTGAAGTTGTGTTGCGAGGTGCATGAACGTACGTGTGTTTGTGTGTGTGTGTGTGTGTGTGTGTGTGTGTGTGTGTCTGTCTGTCTGTCTGTCTGTCTGTCTCTCTGTTCGCTGTGGATACCTCGCTCAGACACCGAGTCGACCTGTCCTTGTTCTATCACCTTAATGCCGAGCGTCTAGACGGGTAACAAGAAGTAACATCTTTAAGCGTGTTTTGGTATGAGTGAGTGAGTGAGTGAGTGAGTTGGGTTTAACGCCGCTTTTAACATTATTCCAGTTATATCACGGCGTGTCAGCTTAATGTGGGAGGAAAGCCCGAAGTGAGCAGGTCTCAGACGTTTACCACTTCGGTGAAACCCACGAGCACGGGTATGGTGCTGACAAACCTAGAAACATAATTGGGGCGAACCGGGATTCGAACCCAAAATCATAGGTTTCTGGCGTGCCCAAGGGACGCAACTCTGCACAGCGAATCGCGGCGCCTTACACGACTGGGCCACCCGTGCCCCCTTGTTTTGGTATGCGGGGCGGTGGGGTAGCCTAGTGGTTAAAGCGTTTGCTCTTCACGCCGAAGGCCCGGGTGCAATTCCCCACATGGGTACACTGTCTGAAGCCCATTTCTGGTGTCCCCGCCATGATATTGCTGGAATATTGCAAAACGCGGTAAAACCCAACTCACCCTCTCAATTTCGGTATGACGGGAACGGGGAACGAACCTGTGACGCCCGCTCTATCCACTAGATCACGGAGGTGGCAGATTTATGACCAAAGGGTACACCTTATACAAACTGTCATTGTTGCGGAACTATTTCTTGTCACTGACCTGTTAAGAGATTAATATGCCTGACATATCAACAGACTACAGACGCAAGTTTGACACTCTTCCAACAAAGACATTGTATTCCAAGTTAACCGAGGTTTGACCACCAAAACGTGCTTGCAGTGTTGCAAGTCATAGAGGTTTACCACCAGCGGGTTGGTTGGTTGTTTAACGCCGCACTCAGCAATATTCCAGCTATATGACGGCGGTCTGTAAATAATCGAGTCTGGACCAGACAATCCAGTGATTGATATCATGAGCATCGATCCACGCAATAGGGATTAATGACATGTATCAACCAAGTCAGCGAGCCTGACCACCCGATCCCGTTAGTCGCCTTTTACGACAAGCATAGTCACCTTTTACGGCAAGCATGAGTTGCTGAAGACCTATTCTACCTCGGAATCTTCACGGGGACCACCAGCGGGAGATCGGCGAGCACGGAATAGCGGTGGCAGACAATGGATCATTATCAAGCGAATACTGAGATTCGAACCCATAACTCAGCAGCCTGTATTGCATGCCTTAGACCTATTCGCACACCTGCCCCGGGGAACAGAAGGCAATAGGGTTGTTGCCGTCTCGGAACAGTGTGACATGATCGCCGTGACGTGCAGTACACGGAGTATCAAATGGAGAAAATGACAATTTGATGATGAACATAAAAGTATTGCAATAAAGACAGAATGACGTGCGAGTACAAGGACCTTTTGCATTACATGCACAGATTGTCTGATAAAGGCTCAGACATGAATCCATACAAAAGTGGACCTTTTGCATCAAATGCCCAGATTGTCTGATAAAGGTTCAAACATGGATTCATATAAATGTGTCACTTTACACGAGAAGTTGTTAGTTTACGAGGGTTCAAGCATGTTCGAGCCATCATATTTGCCATTTCGAGAAGTCTTGCTGCAAATTGTTTTGAGCGTGGGTGGACGTATAATGTCTCAATGTAGAAAGATGAAAATACATTGACCATTGCAACGACAAAGCAAGCTAAAGCCCTAAACAGATCGGGACTGTCTTTGTAGAGGAGAAATGGCAGTTTACTTATGAGTTCTTAATTAATACCAATTACCTGAATTATGTATGCTTAGAAGCATTAATAACACACTCCGTTTGTTAGTAGTTGTCAACGAGACCTCCTAGTTATTTTCTTAATGAATATCATTGTAACGTCTCTAGGCATGACGAGGACAGGTATTAAACCACCGACCCTCTGCTTTGAGTGAGTGAGTATGGTTTTACGCCGCTTTTAGCAATATTCCAGCAATATCACGGCGGGGGACACCAGAAATGGGCTTCACACATTGTACCCATGTCGGGAATCGAACCCGGGTCTTTAGCATGACGAGCAAACGCTTTAACCTCTCGGCTACCCGACTGCTCCCTCTTGCAAGAAGACACAGTGAGACCTCATAAACTCGAACTCACCAGAAATGGTTTAAGACGATGGTTTCGCCTTAAAGCGTCTAGTTGCACAGCGTCACTACGCTCGTCTCGAACTGTGGAAGAAGAAGTCGGTATATACTCTTGGTAGAAATCATCATATTATTTACAGACCGCCGTCATATAGCTGGCATATTTCTGAGTGTGGCGTTAAACAAATAGATAATTACGTAAGCACAACCTTTGGAAAATGAACAAACTTTACGAAAGTGCAGTGATCAAGTACTGGCAGGAAAAAGAGTTTAACAACAAAAGCCATCCATGAAGAATGAGTACAGTGAGTGAGTGAGTTGGGTTTTACGCCGCTTTTAAAAGTATTCCAGTTAAATCGCGGCCTGTCAGCTTAATGTGGGAGGAAAGCCCGAAGTGATGAGGGTCTCAGACGTTTACCACTTCGGTGAAACCCATGAGCACGGGTATGGTGCTGACAAGCCCAGAAACATAATCGGGGCGAACCGGGATTCGAACCCACAA